CATGTATCTCCACCGCAGCCAACGAAACAATATAAACAAACACGCTGTAACGTGCAGTTCCCTTTATAGCAGTATGAAATAAACGAAGCACAATGATACACAAAGAATATCTGAATATTGAAAAATTAAATATTGCAACGTTTGTTTTTATAAGTATTATACATATATGACAGATACACTGTAGAGTAGGGTGGTGTAATTTCGACCGATTATTTTTTTATATTTAGATTTGTTCAAGTATGTCACTGCCTATTACATGTATTACGCTCAACATTTACTGGATTTTTTTCCATCGGAATACCTTTTATTGTTCAGATTACATTGTGTTATATGTATTATTCGTCATGATATAAAATAAATGTGTTCGATTTACAAGATGTGTGTGTTGGGTAACTTCAACTGCACACGGGGTATTTTCGATCGATGTGCAAATATAAATGAAATTATTCGCGTCATCTCTAATTTAAAAAAAATACATATATTTTAATTTAAATTATTCTGTTGTAAAACATAAAAGATTGTGAAAAAATGCTGACAAAAAGAAAAAAAAGCAATTTTCAAAATGTACCTAATTTGAAGACATTAAGTGCACCAGGTGCCTAGAGACTAATTTACCGATTTATCAAGGCATGCTACAAATATATATATGCGCAGGCATCTAAACCGCATGTAAACAAAACAGATGATTTTTTCACGGTTATAGAACTAGTTTCTACGGAGTATTCTTGTACATAATATTATCCTAATACTTTTTTTATACGGATGGTGGTCATGATTTTTTTCTGGTAACAAATAGCATTGCGTCATTTTCATTGGTCGAACTGAGTTACCTGCTGACGCCGTATTCATGCAAAGGGTAACTTCGGCCGATTTCTGTTCAGCTGATTTGCATTTTATTTGTAAAAACTAAATACTATAAATTTAAAAGGTATGAATTTAAGTTGCAAATTTAAACATAGTTAATAAATTTCACGCCAGGAATATCCACTGTGTCTTTCTGTATATACAAGATATTTTTAGAGGTGATAAACTGATAATTCCCCGCAATGGTTTAAAAATACTCGTCCGTAATTTTTCGGGCGATAAAGTTTCTTCTTGGATGTAATTTTCCAGTAAAGAAATAAATTTCGCCTATTATTATCAACATTGATTTGTATATGAAAAATGCATTTTCTTTCTGCATAAAATAGATGTGTGTACACTATAATGGGTTATAAACAAATTATTTTAAGGTATTTATGAACAGTCGAAATTAACCAGGTGGTCGAAGTTACACTCGTCTGTGACCATCCTAACCTATATCCTGACGTTAAAAAAAGTCTTGTTTCTATGTAAGTAAATTACTGCATAGTTACACCATTTGATAAATAAATACATCAATTAGTGGATAGGTTTGTAACGTAGACCTTCTGATTTTAAATTCATTTATTTACCTCACTCGGCACACCTCGGCCGATTCGTACCTCATCTGGATGAAGGTGACGGAATCAGCCGAGGTTTGCCGAATGTTATTTACCTTCGACCAGCCTTTAAATATTGCAGTATTTATAGGAAATTGACATGTGCTGTCTACCCTTCAAACGAAATCGGGAGACGTTTTCCGCTTTGAATAATTATGAGATAATATTCATAGCCTAGGGAATGCAAGGTTTTCAGACTTGATTTTTAAGAAAACTGATACTTGGTCATAAAATAAAATTACCATTTTTTAATTGACCATTAATTATAAAACCAAAGTATGGCATTATTAATATTAGTCATGTCATATTTTGAAAATTTTAGGGGGGGGGGGGGCGTGCGCCCCCAAGCCCCACTTAAATCCGCCAGTGGGGGCAGGCCCCCTGAACCTCCTCTAAATCTGTCAATGTTTTCTTTCATTATACGGACTTGCAGAATAAGCGAAATACTCCAGACATTTAATAAAAATCTCAAACCCGATCTAAAACGCGTTGACAAAGTCAAACCAGACGGTTTTAGTTTTTACGGCATTTTCACAGTGATATGAGATAAGTCGGATAATTGCTGTTAATTTTAAGAAATAAAGTTCGGCATTTTTCAACCTCGTTCGGTAAAATATAATTTACTGATAATTTTTTCCGTTAAGGAGGAACACATGGACGAAGGATAAAAAAAGAGGTATTCTGCATGTACATGTACACATCATTGCTATAATTGTGTACTCGGGATTAAACCCAAAATCCTTCGTTACATTGTATTTGGGTATAATTTTCACATGTTCTCAGGCGGATAATCATTTATTTTTATCTTTCTAAAGACAATAATTTCAGTTAATAGAGAAATGTTTTTATTTCGTCGTTTTTTTTCCATCCTTTTGGTTTACACGTTTGCTTTGTACACAAAAGCGTGTGTTCATATACCGCTGTTTCTACACGCTATCGATGTGATCAGGGAGAACATGATATCCTCCAGCAATTTACTTCTTATGAAAACACTCAATGAAAACATATTAGGTGAAAATATATACACCCATTAGTATCTTAGTACCTTAGTATCGACCTGTTTAATTGCAATGTCACCAACCATAACGATCGCTGGCCAGGACTTGAATATAATTTATTACCGTTATTAAAACAACTCGTCAGCTGAGTGGACCTATGATTTAAACAGTAAAACAGGGAAATTCCAGAGTTCGAAGTGTATTTATTTTGGGCGCTCTTCCGCATAAACAAATTAAATCGCATTTACGCGTACTTACATGCATGTACCAATAATTTGTGTCATGGGTAAATTCAATTTATTAGATGAAATAAAACAAATGCATAAGATTAATCTTCCTAAACAACACGTTTTTAAAACAATCTATCTGATATAATTGACGGTATAAAATAACAAAGAAAATAAAGGGTTTGTGTTTGTATTTAATTTGGAATGAGAACAAATAACTTATAAAACATACTTCGTTTTCCAGACACTAATTGCCATGCGTAATCTTCACATGCACTGACCAAGAGGTCACAAGTTTGAAATGTATGGCTTCTCATTGCGTGAGTTTTGTCAACACATGTCGGAGTAGACTATCTAAGCCAATTGATTCCCAAAGAAAACTGCATAGGAAGGGTTCTTTTTTGGTACACTTTTTAACGGGTAAAATTCATTCGACGCTCGATAGAATTTTCAAATACAAGTGAAATATTGAGGCGGTTAAGTTACATGCGTCCGACCTAGTATTTTGTATGCAATAATATTGTAAGTTAGGAAGAAAATAATAGAAACTCGAAAGTACTTAATTTTATTTTCGATTTTCCTGACAATTAAAAATGTGACCTCTACATACAATTATCGTTTTTAATTTTATACATCCTGTTTAATGTTCATGAAAGAAATAGCAACTCGTTAAATAATAACATTAGAGAGATAAATAAACTGTTTCTTTAATACGCAAAGAAAGAGGTCTTTTCGGCATTCAAAATGCATTGAATTTGAAGTGAATAAGTGAAAGGCACTTAAGACTAGCTGATTAAAACGAGCGAGTGATAATTAAACAGTAAGACGGAATCATATGAAAGATTCGAAATGATTTTAAAGTAATTTTCCACAAAGCGCAATTATCTCAACAATGCAATGTTTATAAGAATAAATATGCAACTTTCTTGTAATTGAGCGAATAAAATATAAATCGAAATGTACTAGCGACTTTAATCAAAGATATGAAATAATCTGAAAGATTCAACATATTTATCCACTCATCACTTAGTTAAAATGTATTTGGAATGGCCATTCTATGGTTTGATTTGCGTATGACCTTAGGTCGCTGGTTCACACGCCGATTGATCCTCGGTGACCTCCTTTGCCACGCGCTATCGAGGGAGGGGTTACATAATTGTAAACACACCAGATGAATGTAAAAGGCGTGTACTTAATGGCTGTGAATAGTTTATGTTTAAAGTTTTGTTTTATTTTCTAACTTTATTGTTTGTTTTTATATGATAAGAAGAAAAGGTTATCTTTTTTTCCCTGTTTAGTACACTGGTTTATCCAAATTTGAAAACAAACGAAATAAAAGGGAAAGTTGTCAGTAAATAATTTGGAAATAAAGCACAAAATACTTCAAAAACCTGATTCTAAAGAATATTAGCATCTAATATAGCAAGGTTTATTATTTATAGTAAGTTTATTTTAATTACACGCATGAAGAGCTCTTGTTTACTTGCTGAATGAAAACACTTACCTGTATATGTGTTATGCTTCTAGCTCATTTAGAACACAAGACTCAAACAAAATAACATTTTCTTGAGATCAATAAGATGTTAAATAACAACTTTAATTACGGCAGCTATTTCGAAATATTTACCGTTTTTGAGTTATAAAGCAAAAACTTTAAAGGGCCCCAGATCCCTAATTTGAGGGGCCAGACCCTTTTTAGTGGTCTCAAATGAAAGGCCTTAAAATTGTGCACAACTTTTATTCTACATGTTTTATCAAAATATTTTTAGTTTAGAAGATAAAAAGGAAAATATGTGTAAATTTTCGCTCTTTTTGGCGTTCTAATTTTTGACCCCTCTCTAGCGCCATTTTGAATACAGAAATTGAAAAACAAACACCGATGTGCACAACTTCAGTGCTTCTATTATTTAAATTCGGTAGAATTTCTACTCCAGCTTAAGTAGTCTCTGAGCCTTTGTCTGGAAATGAAGCGTCCTAAATTTTCATTTAAAGGGAGATAACCCAAAAGCGGAAGTGGGTTTTTGAAATGTTTGACAGCATTCTGATAGAATTTTGTAACGTCTTTAAACCCTGCAAATTTGAGCAAAATCCGTTGAGAAATGAGCAAGATATGAGGTCTCAAAGTTGGCGTCTAGGAAAAAAAAAAAAAGAATAATAAGAATAATCTTAACCATCAGAATCAGTAGAAGGTCTTCCGCCTGGAGCGGAAGACCTTAATGAAAAATTATTCTAATGAATATAAAGTTTAAAAAAAAAATTAAAGGCTAAATTTTACAGTCAAGAGCAGTGTCTTGAACAACTGTAGATTTCATTACCTGTGCTTTTATCTGCTTTGTTCCCAACATGCTAACTTCTAATGCTTTGGTTTTTGTCTCATCTTCTGCTTTCGAATCTTGATGCAGCTCTGGAGTTTTGCTGTTTAATATATAAAACTTTCCAATTGAGAGATATTGAAGAGTTAAATTAAGAATATTCCAAGACATATATTCACGTCAGCTCACTCTTCACATCTTATCTAAGCTTAAATATAATTACATTCACAGACAAATGACCATTAAAAAGAGAGTACCTGCTATAGTCAAGAGCAATCTTTGGCGTTGCTTCGCCCTTTTCAGCCACTTTCTCGCGAGTTGTGTCTTCTTGTTGAGAAGTTTGGTTCAGTATGGAAAATCTCTGTAAAAAATACCAATAAAAAATGGATTCTATTGATATTCTGTTATTTTCAACAAGAAATTTTCATATTTACTTGTACTTGCGGATAATTCCTTGTTTGCTAGTACAAGGAATTACTAGTAATCTTGTAGGGTGAGAGTCATTTATCTACATGTATTCAATAAAGTATACGCTCTGTTTCAATTCATTTTTTTTTTCATAGAAGACATGCATATAGACCAAACGTATTATTCTATTTTTGCTCCATTGACAAAATTAATAATCACGTATCAAATTAATTCTGAGATTTTTTTTTGCATAGACATGAATTGGTCTACGGGTGTATTTATGAGATTAAGGGGCAAACGAAATAAATTTTTACCTCTGTTTCTTTCTCTTCCTCTTCTACTTTCTCCGCCCAACTGTATGGAAACTTGAGTATTTCTAATTTTGCGTCCTAAAATAAAAACATCTAAAGTTAAATTTGGTAAAATCTACTCGGTTTGGTAGAATTCGATAATTATATCTATTTGTTCAGTGCATAATAAGTTAAATCAAGAAAAAAAACATGGTTGACCCATATCATCATAAAAACGTTATTTCTGGATAAAGGCACTTTTTTCAGTACATTTCACTGAATCACATGATTTATAAAACAACAACAAAACAGCAGATCTCTACTTACCAAATTAGTCACCACTTCATTGCCGAAATCCAAGAGTGGCTCTCTGAAATAAGCAAAGTGAACATCGTGAACACGTTATCAAATTGTCATATCGTAGATAAAATACGATGACATTCACAGACTTACATGTATAGATGATTATCATAATGTAGAGGAGAATACCTGACAGTGTCTCGGGCTATCTCTTGCTTGGTCTCACTCTCTTCAGTTTCTTTCTGCAGCTGTTGATATGAGCCTTCTTGTAAGGTTTGGTTTAGAATCAAATACTCCTGTAAAATATTTTGATATAAAATCTTTGGTTGTATTGATATTCAGTTATTTACAACAAAAATTTACATAATATATTTGTACCATTCTTCAAGTACTTAGTTATCATTTCGGGTTATATTCCTTTACCTACATCTTTTCTAAAAATCAATTAGTACACTCTCTGATTAAATTCAGGTTTCTTCATAGACACACGGCTAGAAGCAAAAGTAATCTTTCTTCCCTCAACTGACAAAATTTATATCCACGTACCAAATAAATTCTGAGATTTTTTTTCAATGCACAGACATGAATTGGTCCACGGGTGTATAATGTATGAGATTAAGGAGCAAAGTTCTTTTTTACCTCTGTTTCTTTCTCTTCCTCTTCTACTTTCTCTGCCCAACTATACAGAAACTTAAGTATTTCTAATTTTGCGTCCTGAAATAAAAGCATCCAAAGTTAAATCTGGTAAAACTTATTCAATTTATATAAAACTACTCCTTGAGGTAGAATTGATAATTATATCCACTTTTGTTAAGTACAATATTATAAGTTTATAGAATTATTTTAAATTATGAAAAAGAATAATTGATCCATATCATCAAAAATATAATCTCCAAAAAAAGATACATTTTCAGTATATTTCACTATATCACATGAATTGCACAACAACAACAACGGCAAAACAGCAGATCTCTACTTACCAAATTAGTCACCGCTTCATTGCCGAAATCCAAGAGTGACTCTCTGAAATAAGCAAAGTGAACATGGTGAACATGTTATCAAATTGTCATATTGTAAATTGTGAATTTACATGATGTTACTAAGTATACGTAAAAATATCAATAATATGACATATTCAAGATGAAGAGAAACATATATTACTATTAAGTAATTACATGTATTATAAAATTTATAATACTAGAACACTTATCAACACTCTGTTAGTGTTAGTGTCAGTGTTACCTTGGTACTTCCTTCCATTCTTCGGTGAATGTCTTCACTTTGGATTCGTTCTTCTTTTTATCCTCTAATGCTGGTACTTTGACTTCCTAGAAAAGGGATTAAGAAAATAATAGCTTACGTCGTTTTTTGATAGATCTTTAATGTTATGAAGCATACCCTTACCACAAATAAATGTTTATTTATCTTCTTTTTTCACACTTAAAAAGATTATATATTTAATGAAATGCATTATTATGATTACATTCAAAGAGAATTTACGTGTGAAATTGTCAGAATTGTAGCCTGTGTTATTGTATCATTATTACACAACCATACTAAGATATCTCTATGGATCTAAGCGAGGTATATATGTACCTTCATTAGTATTTCTTGTTTTTCTACTTCTTCTGCCCAATTGTAGCTAAATTTTAAGATTCCCAGCTTTGTATCCTAAAAAAAAAAACAACATCAAGAATGTATTTTAGGAAACCTTAAAAAAAAATTAAAAAGCCATTTTTGGAGATAACCTTTTTCTAATGTCAATCCTATTTGATACACTCCAACATTATGGTCTAGTTATTCAATGAATTTGTATAGCAGAGAAAGATTTTTTTAAAAAAGTGTACTTTTTGAAGCATTTCCTCGACATTTTTACACAAGATGTGTAACTTTTGCCAAACTACTTACCACGTCATTAACGACTTCGTCCCCGAAATCTAACATAACATCCATGATTTTCTACAAACAAAACGACATATCTTTAAAAACATTGCACTTACAGTAGAGAAAAACATGCAAGAAAAGCAAAAATTTTAAGCCGTGATTTTTACCTCTAATATGTCTGACATCTGCATCCACTTTTGTTGTGGCGATAATTGTTACGTCACATCGATTATTACGTTCAAGTTGTGTGTGTTTTTATGACGTCATACACAATTTTTGTGCAAATATTTTTCACGTTGAAATCATGAATAAAAGCAAATATTTATTGATACTGTATTTTTTGATTTAAAGCGACTTCTTCATATGTCAATAGTGTCATTTTGAAATCTGAAAAGGGCAGCAGAGGACATTTTACTTGTGCGGCTTCTTTTTAAGCATCGAAAAAAATCTGATGATAACCAGCATTTATGATTTTTAAAAATGAAAAATTATTCCTTAGAAAGGAAATTAATTGACCTCCCAAAAGCTACTGTTAAAAGTAGATCCAAAAATTAGGATAAATTAGTAAAAAAAAAAAATAAAAATTCTCCGCAATTTTAAACTAGGATAAATGGATAAGTAGTATCGATAAATATTTTCATACGCCAAAGGGCTGAAGAATTAATGTGCAATGCTAAAGAACATGAGGAAATTTTGGAGAAATTCTATGTATAGCGTAGGGACTTTTTGGTAAAATTGTGGACATGTAGACAGGTGGACAGGTTGACAGGATGACAAGTCGACGGGTTGACAGAATATTATATATGCAAAGAAATTTTATATACTCACTCTTTACACGGTCCTTTTGTTTGGTTGATCTTTCTTTGGTTGGTAAGATAATGTAATTGTTTCGTTGTAGCCATGACGTCACAATGCAAGGCTACTTACATGCAGTTACGTCAATCTCCTGTGAAGAGTATTCGTTCTTTAATAGATATTAGTGTCAATGTGAATGATTTATTTTGATAGGGATGCCATATCATATCCGTTCAACATTTTTTTGTGATGATACCAATCAAATCGTACTTTGCATAGATAATGAAAACTGACTACCAATGGATTTCCAAAGAAAACGACAGATCTGAAGACAATCAAAGGAAAAAGGGTTCCATTGTCTTAAGGAGTCTCTTAGAACTTAAGAAAAATGTTTTGGGATATTGAGAAAATTATAATGTATAAAGTGGAAATAACTAATTACTGGGTTTATCTAATATTTCATTTTCAACATACGGTAGCAGCAATTTTTCCTTAGGAATAATGCTCAAAGACAACGAAGTATTGATGAACAGACATCACTGTTTTCTTAATTCATAGGAAAATACATATAATAAAGAGTTCAATTAATTGGTCATTGCGATATAAATTGTTACATGGCCGTAGGAACCGGGGGCACTGGAGGCCGTGCCCCCCCCCCCCAATAATTTTGCCGATATATAAAAAAAAATATATAGAAAACTTAGCTACTATATTCTTGTGTCCCTAAATGATAACGTTTGATGACCTTTTTTTTATTCATTTATTTATTTATTTATTTCATTTTTTATTGATTTATTGATTTATTTATTTATTTTGCTTGTCAAGAAATTTTGGTAGTGAATAGTACCCCCCTCCCCAACCGAAAATGTATGGTTGTGCCCCCTCAAAGTGAAATTGCTTCCTACAGGCCTGTGTTAAGAATTCTTAAATTGATCCCAAATTGAGTAATACCTGTAAATTTCAATTTCTTTTATCTAAGATCTAAGGGCAGATCACTCATAACTGAATAAATTTGGATCATTTTGTGTTTAGTGTAGTCCTCTCTCTCTCTCTCTCTCTCTCTCTCTCTCTCTCTCTCTCTCTCTCTCTCTCTCATCCTCACCAGGGCTCTAATTGGCGACTAATTTAGTCGCCATGGCGCCTAAAAATTATGATTGGCGCCTAATTTTTTTCTATAAGTCGGCAAATTGACTTGGTGATAGACAAATTACTGAACTATAAACATTTTGAATTTTTATATATAAAGAGCAGAAAAGAAGTTTAAAAGTTAGAAATTGACATGTCTCTATATAATGACTAATATCAGTTTTTAAATTGGTACCTAAAAAAAAATTTACCTGGCGACTAAAAAATTTCATTGGCGACTATTTTTGTTATTAGAAGCCAGTTGGCGCCTAAATTTTAGAGGTTACATCATGTACATAGAGGCCTGCCCACAATGTCAAGGTTTTGTGATTTCGGGACTCCACAAAACAGGGTTTGTGTGGAGTTCCCGAATCGCAAAACCTTGACATTTTGAGGATCTCTCTCTCTCTCTACTGCTGTATGATTATATTATTGAGGAAAATTCTTCGAATAGGGTTCCATAAAAATATGTTCAAAGTCTAATTTTTGTGGAAAAAAATATATAGTGAGGTACTGTATGTTTATACCACAATATATGTACATGTACCACAATCAGATTGCGTCAGGGACCTGCTGTATCTGTTAAGAATATTCTGGGATTCTCTTGAATGGAGTATGCATTAGTTTTAAAAAATTTATTTCTTTATGGTATGTACATTCCTTATCTATCATTTTCATGCATCACTTTTTCTGAAAACGATATATAAGTTGTACTTTGATTAATTTCATTCATCATCTACATTTTTATTTTATTTTCTCTGAGTGGAGTCCCACCACAGAGACTTTTACTTAATGATTACTCCTTGCGGATATGACGTCAGTGTACCTATAAATAGCGATGTTAAATCAAACAGCATAGTCATTGGTCACCATTTAGTACTCGTCTAAGGAAAGTGGAAAAGCTTGTGTATTATAGAAGATGGAGTTTCCAGACTTAGGCCAAAATTGCCATGAGAAAACTTGTAAACAACTGGGTATGTTATTTGAAAGCAATTTGTCCCATTTGTACGGGAAAATGCAAAACGTTACGTAGATATATACACACTATACGGATATGCCAAACACAGCCACTAACACACTGTAACAGACTAATATATCAAGATATATAGTCCATTAAGTATGTATACAAGAATGTTGGAAATCATACAACAGCATCTAAACATTGATATTACTGAACTGACAGTGTGTACATGAAAATGACTAGAGTCTATCTTTCCTTTCAGATTTCCTACCCATGAAATGTGATGCTTGTTCTCAGATATTTTGGTAAGTAATTTAACAATGTTATTTAAATGACTTGTTGTCCATTTTTGGGTCCAGTCAATTGATTATGTTATATATAATCCTACAAAGGTCCACCTTTCCTTAAAATTTTGCCAGAATTTCTCAAAGTTACTGTAGTAAGTCTTAATCAGTATGAACATGGTGAAAGACAAATGATACATACAGACTTATATGGTTGCATAAGTATTTGAATCTATTTTATAATCACAATGGAAACTGTATACACAGTTCCCCTTTTTGATTTGTAAGTAAGACTATCTTCTGTCATAACCATATTTTATTTTATCAATATCAAAATGATAATTATAAGCACTGTCAATCAAAATTAATTTTGCTTGGTATTCATATGTCTTGTATTCTTTTGTAGCAGAGACCACATACACTACAACACACACAACTGTCCAGAATCATACAAAAAGGTGAGTGATAATGCCTCATTTAAATGAAGAAATATCAGTCCAGCTCCATGCACTTCTAAACTTAAAAAATTAAAAAAAATAGTGCTCTTCAACATTTGTTTATATATTTTGAATTAGGATAACCAAGTACCTGTTTGTCCATTATGTAACACTCCAATCCCTGTGAAGAAGGGGGAGATGCCAGATGTGGTAGTAGGCCAACATATAGACCGAGATTGTCAATCTGATCCCGCCCGCAAGAGGAGAAAGGTATGATGTGTCTCCATAGAGTCAGCTAGTATCCCATGTGTAGTTTTAGTATAAAATAAGGCTTAGATAGTTAAGTTATCGTTGACATTTGGCAGTCGCAGATAGGAAAAATCTAGCAGCTAAATTAAGGGTTATCAAAATAATCCAGGCTATGTTCAGTTTATGAGAACTTAAGGCTTTTGGGTGAAGAGCTTCAATCTGAGAATTGTTGTGATTTTGTTAACTTTTATGTTTTAATTAACTAGCTTTGGCAGAAAAAGTTGCATCAAGTACAATTGTATTTGTATACTTGGCATTCAAGAACTACAACCATAATATTCTTTGAGATTGAATTCATACTGTATGCCTATAGTGACTCTATCCTTAACCACTAATTTCTATGTGAATAAGTGTCTTTAATTTGAATTTTAGGTATACACTAACAAATGCTCATACAAAGGCTGCAAACAGAAAGAGGTATGGAAAAACTAAAGCTTACACCTACATAGCACTTTATCAATATCTATCCTAAATCTATAAGATTTGTTAAAGTACATGTACTTGAAAAAAGGAAAATACAATGTGTACCTGAAGTTTATGAAGTAAACTTAAAAAAAAATTCATTCTAAATATGTTATACTTTTCATGCTATTTACAGTTGGTTCCAGTTTTATGTGAAAAATGTCAACAGAACTTTTGTCTGAAGCATCGCTTTGAGTCGGATCACAACTGTAAAGGATTCCAGGACACGGGGAGGGGGATGTCTAGGACGGGGTAAGGGGAATAGCAAAAGTTGATATGTAATGTTAACGTATTTGTCGCAGCGACATAACAAAATACGGGAGCGTAAAGGATCTAATTTTAATTAGATTGTGCAAATGAAGTGAAAACATTTATATGTATATGTTTCTCTGAAATTTTCAGTACATTATTTTGTAATGGAGCAAATTTACAGGTGTATTCTACTCTTGATATATCTTCAGTAACTGTCATACATCTTTTTCTGTACGAATTTAGAACAAACAATAATAATGAAATGCATTTTTTTCAGTGCTGCGGCTATATTTAGAAATATGCAGTCTTCCAGTAAGCCGACGACAAGTGGTGCTAGTAAACCGATGACAAAACCTCAGACCACATCCTTATCACAACTGGGCAGGGAACTAGACAGGTGGAAATCTATAAAAAGTTTCTTTAGTAGTGTGTGTATGAAAAAATAGCAGTAGAATAAGAATTTCATTGTAAATTATATATTTTCAGTGAGAGAAGACAGAGGCAAGCCGCAACAGCTCAGTCTGTTCAGGGGGGAATGGTAAGTACATTACATTCTATTATTGAGAATGATTTTTTTTTAAAAATTCTAAAGATCACATTCCCTTCCTATAGCTCCATTTGTAGTTATTCCATGTAGCAAAATAGGATCTTTATATTACATATAATATTACATTTAAGATTGTGAACAATTTGTTAATCTATCTTAGAATGTAATTTTCTACAATTGATGTTTTTTTTTTAATGAACTCTGCATTTCCATATACCAGACAGAAGATGAGGCATTAGCACAGGCAATTCAACAGTCTTTGGCCAATTCATCTCAGCCACAGCCACCCTCAAAACCGTAAGGACAAAAAAACATTGCAGTTTTTCTGTTAAACCAAATTTATCCCCTCTCAATGAAGTGGAGGGGATATATAGTGAAACTTGTCTAATTCGGATGTTGTGTAATATGAAATCTTGCCTAATATGATTTTAACTTTAAGTCATTTTCAGTTAATGCAATTTTTAAAAATGTTGTCTAATCTGCCTTTTTTCTTTGGAATCAATGGTGTCTGGATAAGACAAGTTTTACTGTAGTAACATGCCTGTGTGTGTGTGTGGGGGGGGGGGTGCATAATGGAAGTTACACAAGTAATGATTTACATGTATTTTGGGGGTCGATGTGCTCCGTTTTCCTAGGGAATGCTCTGTTTTCACTTTACAGTGCGCTTCTTATAAATAAATTTGAAAAATTCAAATTCTATTATTAAAGTGATTCTGATTATACATAATGCTACATGTAATTCAAAGTCTATTTCACTTTGTTTTGCAGACTAACACAGCAGGAGAAAGAGGACCTACTTTTAGCTCAGGCCATAGCAGCTAGTCAGGAAGAGAACCAGCGAGAGCAAAGGAGAAGGGTAAGTCTAAATGGTCCCTAACTGGACACAGAAGTCTATATAGCTGCATCTTTCTCTGCAATTCTTTTTAGTAGACTGTAGTGATAAATTTTAAAATATAACAATTTTAATAATTGTTTCACACATAAAAGTGGAAGGTCAGAGACATTGTTTGCAGAGAGTACAAACATTCCCTTTTCATTATTTACATGAAAACAAACAAAATCCATAAATCAGCTAATGCTTTATACATGTTATTTGTGAATCATGTGTGAAAAGATGTATATTTTCCTTTCCTTTTTACAACAGATGCTGTTGGCAGCAAGATAGAAAACAGGTTAGAATTCAGCCTTGTCTGTTTTCTATTGTAGCAAGAAGCCGCTCAGCGTAGAGAAGCAAATAAAACATCATGTCAGCTATCTTGACGACTACAACATTTTATTCAGGAAAACTGTGTTCTCTTTTTATTATGATTGTTAACATATTTAATATTTTATATTATATTATTTTATTGTAATATTTAGGTGGTCATCTTGAATAGAAATTGTGAAAGTATTCTTGTATTTTAAAAATGCATACTTTTTATTATGGTAAGCTATTATTGCACTAGTGTGAAGAATAATAATTTTTAAAGATACATGTACATACATGTACCAAAAACAATTTTCTTATCTTGCACACGGAAGAATTTATACATGGCATTTTTTTATATTTCATTCATCTTAAATCCATTAAATTAGGAAATTTTAGTGGTGTAAGAAATAGAGACTTGAATATGTTCCCAGAAACTTTACAGTTAAAAAAAACTTCATGTATTCCTAAAACTTCTCATAAATTATTGACTGTAAAGTTACATTTACCCACTTTTCAGCAAATTATTTGGCTTCATCAAACAGAGAGTTGTTTAACCAACCAGATACATGTATCACTTCTTTAGTGAGAGGGGCACCTACATGTATTTAAGCGCAGACATTTGAATTTTGGAAGAAAAAAATTGTTATATTTATCCTCTGGGATTTACATGTATCTTCTCCATTATTTTTTACGCTTATGCAAATGGTTATCAGACATTGTTGCATTAGCATCAAAGGTTTTTAATCCACTTTTTTTGTTAAAAAGGCAAGATGACAGAATTATATTTATTAAGAGTCTTCATTTTCATGAGCCTTTGCATTATTAACAGATCAATTTCAACCTGAAGGTGGTGATTTCAAGTTTTTCTTTGTTTTGTATTTTTAAAAAGATCAGCAAGATATGAGCTTAATATAGTATGTGTTATATTAACACAAAGGTGGAAATTATAGTTCATAAACATTACTATGATTGGTTTTGATTAAAAAAATGTCAGTATATTGACTTATCAAAATATTGTATTGTACGCCTTCTAAAAATTTATTTCAATTTTTTGTCCTATTTCAATACCTAATATACATTTTAATTGTTGAATACATCTGGGTTAAGAGCTATGTATGTTCATGACATTGTTTTTATTGTTGACTAAATAAACTATTTTAAAGTGTTTAATTTTTGGTTTCTTAGCATTTAAATGTACCTAAAGGAAAAACTTTGAAGGTGGTTGAATAAAAAGGGAGATTATTTTAAGGTAGAGGATTGCATAATTTAAAGATATAACTTTTCACAAGCATGGGGAATTGTGCCAATTTATTATGTCATACATAGATAATGTCTTCATCAAAACAAGATATTGACTTGCACTTGCTAAAGCATTTTTATAATGTGATCAACAAGACAAACCTGGTTTATAATATGTATTTCTTTTGTATATATAACTCTACAGGTAGAGCAAAAAGGGAGTCCTATCATACCTACCGGTACTTCTTTCTCCAGATTAGTACCTTAAGTGTGATAATCTTTAGCATTGGTGATCATCCTCATTTCATTATAAAGATCATACTTGGAGATCAGAGTTTAAATGGGAAGGCATCATAAATTTATCTTCCATACTGACAAGATTTTGGTGCCTGCTATCATTAAACTTAAGGATATATGCAACGTAGTTTGAACTATATTGTCTTTTCCCCTGGAGTTGAAGAGTTCCGATACTTAAAGGAACCATGTGCTACATATTAATGTCTATATATGCTGTTCTACACTTCTTCTAAAACAAGTTTGGATAAACAAAACATCTAGAATATGCCTTTCGTAAATTTGGTATATTTGAATTACCGGTATACAAAAATTTCCATCAATTGATATCTTTTCAAAACCCCTGGTAATGCATGCTGATTTCTTGTCTATGAACATCTGATGGCACTATAATCTTAAATTAAGAATATCTTGAAAAATTCTCAGTAGGCAAGGTACGTTGCGTATGTCCTTAACAGAGTTAACTACCGGTATATGTTAGTAAATTCAACTGCAAAGTCCAATCAGATGGTTTTTTGCAATTAATTAGAATTAAAATGCCTCATGAATTGATTTTTATATCAACATCTTCAAAGTGATTCTGAGGTGAGCATTGTTGCCAACAGTCTAACCTCCAAAACTTAAGAAGACACAATTTCCTCTGTTACTGGAAATGTATGTTAAGTTTGTAATTTACTACAAAAGGATTCTTTATGATAATATTTTCAGTATTTCCATGGACTTCTAATGCATATTGTACTCATACTTAATATACAGTCAAACCTTGTTATCTTGAACTCAATGGGACTAGGATTAAATTTTGAGATATCTGAGGATTTGCAATAAGATGTTAAAAACATAGTGAAGTTCAGCTGTATGTGCAATACATTTAACTCAACGACAGACACCACCGAGAACACCATTAATGTTATTAACAATATTTATTATCCAATAGTTTTTATCACATAACATTTTTTTATAACTGATTTTAACAACCATCCTCTTTCATTCACAAAAACCTTTACAAAATGAGATTGATGCATGACAAATTGCATACAATTCTTGTCTGGTCGTTGACTTTTTTTTTTGTTTAAGTTGACCAGAAGTTACAGATTCACATATTAATTAAATGAAAATTGCAATCATTTCAGAAATATACAATATGAAACTTCATGTCAAACAATTTTATAAATTAACCCCCCCCCCCCCAAAAAAAAAAACCCAAAACTTTTTTTGAAAAAAATCAAAAATACAATGTACTTATTATTAGTGCAACTGTCTGTATGAAAGTTAGCACAATAATTAATGCAAGAAATATGATCTGTTCTTTAAAAACATCTGCCTACAGATAAATCAGAACATATAAAAAATGTATTGCACAGAGACTACATGTACAAAAGTAACAGAAACATAAATACAAGTGTACGAAAAGTCTTGATTAACCATTCCAATTTAATATAAAAATGAAAAGCTTGAATTATTTCAAATTGTACGATTAAATTTTTAAAAAAATAATGTTTGATTTCTTTCTCTTCAAGAGTATTGTTTTAAAGTTACATTTTTTGTGTATCTACTGGACTGATTAAGATGAAAATGGGCGGAAAGACAACAAACATATTTATATGATAAACAATGTTGGACGCTCAGAATCCCTTTATGTAGATAAATGTACAGTAAGACATGGTTACAGCAAACATGCTTATAAAGAATTCATGCTTACAGTGAAGTATTTTCATTCCCCATAGTTTTAAAGCATATTATAAACTTAAAAAGATAGAACAAATTATGTTTATAACGAATCAAAATTGTTTAATGTCCCTAGCATTTTGCTATAAGCGTGTTTTACTGTATCTCATGATATAAAATCAATTGAGATTAAACCCTGTTTAAAGCTTTTCTGAAGAATTATTTTGGAACATTCCTAAATTTTTTTCATTCATAATGGATGCATCTGTGAACATTTTCATGTGACTACAAGAACTGATTTCCACCATGAATTCAGGACCAGTTTAGGAACATGGAACCAGTTTATGAACCTCAGGACCAATTTAAGAACTCTCACACAGTCAGTTTTTCAGCTCCTATATCCATGTTGTAGTATTATTTGAGTTAATTTTTCATCCTTTGACCTTCTGGCATGACACAACTAGAATGAAAAAAAAAATTAAATGACTTAAAGATAAATATAAATTAATGGGGTGATACCTTCAGCAGATCACCATGGTTATCCATAACTTTGTTTTTCTTGTATTTCATTGTAATTCTAGTATATACATGCATGTACAATTTGTTATTTCTTTGAATAGGATAAAAAGGTTTGTTAAACTGTATACAGCTGAATTTCGTTATCCCGAACGTCTCAAATAATGTATATCACTTTTTATTTGCTAGAACTTAATATTTTTGTCTAATTATGTGAGTCTGTCTGCTTGTGAAATTTTGTTCTCATGCTTATTTTTATTAGCAAAGATTATAATATAAGCAATAACAAGAATTCGTGAAAATTTTGTCTTGCTTCTAAGTACCAAGTACCCTATCTCACAAAAATTTGAAGATCTACAGTACCTAGGATATGTCAAAGAGACTTTAAAGCCCCAACCACTTTTTCTTTACATATTTTAACCTTTATATCTCAAATCATTGGATATCTCAAAGTTTTAGGTCAGTCTCATAAGGTTTGAGATAAAGAGGTTTGACTCTATAAACCATCGTCGGATAACCACGGGTGATCTTGTCTTTTACTCATCACTGATGAGTAAAGAACTAGATCACCCATGGGTATCCAACAACGTCTATAAACATGTTACTACTGTAATCGCTACATGTGTGTTCAATCATATATTACATCAAATTAATTTTATGTATGTAAATGTATGAAATTTTCATTTAATTACATATATAATATATCAGTGAATATAACTGCATCAAAGACTACATGTCTTATCACACAGTTTAATGAATACATGATACTTACACTTCTTGTTTGAATAAATCTCTGTTTAAATTCCTCTACGTCCATTTTTTCTACAAAAAAATATTTTGATATGCAAACATAAATTACATGTACTAGCTCTTATCATTAGTCAATGGAAGCTAAAATATTTTAACAGTCTTTCCAAGTTTGGACTTTTCCAGCCCTTTGCACTGCCATGCTTTTTTGATTCAAATTAAAATCTGCCTGTGATAAGTATGAATTCACTAACTGTCTAAAGAAGTGAGTTGATGAATTTCATGCACATACTATGCCTGACATTTTCTTTTATTAATTGTTGAAACTAGAATTAGGATTCAAAATTTTAAATAATAATGTTTATATAGATTTGTCTAGGAACATCAAGACTAGAATTTTGTCTACTACTCGTATGTTATCATCAATATATAAACTCTATGTGACTTAGTTTGGGGTACCATGAAATGGGGAAGAAATGCAAATCAGATGATGCTCTGGCCCATGAGTCCCCTTTCACATTTTTAAAATCTAAATCTTTTAAGTCTTTAATTACTAAATGCAACTCACTTTCCAGGAACTGATCCACAATGCTTTCAGATTCCTCTTCTGCTTCCATTAGTGCCACCTTGAGGTTATTCTGGATCACGGAGGGGTGAAAATCCTCAGATTTGGTCATTAGTCTCCTCTGATGTTGCTCAAACTCTTCTTGTGTTTTTTCATAAAGGTTGTTCTACAAATTATAATTCATATGCAAAGATGAACACACACAAACACAAGTCATTCTCTCTCTCTAAAAAAGGAAATATTCTGGTTTCCAATGCCCTGAAAAGGCTACTATCAAATAAAAAGACATATACCCCAGTAGACTAATTTGTAATGCCCTAAAAAAGAATAACTTCACCAAGTATTATATGGGCACAATACCTTTTCTGAAATCCATTGCCTGAGTTGTTCCAGTACTGGTTTATAACTTAAATTGCTTCCTGTAAGAAACATAGTATCATGTTTTAAGACATCTATATTTTCATAGTGATCCTCATATTTTTCCAACATATTCTTATTTTTCACAAAAAAAACAATGGACAATGGCAAATTGAACAAGCACTCTGAGAGTATTGCATTAGCAATACTAGTCCCCTACCGGCAAGTGTAATCTGGTTCCCGTTAAGAATTGAAAATGCCATAATTCCGTCAAAAATTAATGAAGCGGGACGAAATGCAAACTTGATCTATAACTAATCAAGGTAAAGCCACATACCAAAAATCAGCTCAATATCTACAAGCGTTTAGAAGAAAATTGCGGAAAACCCGTAAAAATTGAAAAGGCCGTAATTCCGTCAAAAATCAATGAAGCAGAACGAAATGCAAACTCGATCTGTAACTCATCAAGATACACTCACATACCAAAAATCAGTTCAATATCTGCAAGCGTTTAAGAAAAAAGTGCGGAAAACCAAGTGGGACAGACTGACAGACAGACAGACAGACGGACGGACGGACAGACGGATGGACAGACTCAGAGGAAACTTATAGTCCCCTCCAGTTTCACCGGTAGGGGACTAAAAATACATGTATATGCAAATACAGTAAAAAAAAATAAAGCCCTTGCTTCTTTATATTTATCAAGGTATCTGAATGCCTTTTGACTACTCACTAAATAAACTGTACAAAGCAACTTACTAGCCAATTCAATGCATTCACTGGAAATTTTCTCTCTTTCCTCCGCAAATTTTCCCACTTCTGGTAGTGTCTGGATCATTTCCAAAATTTTGTCTTCTTCATCTTGTAGTTCATATAATTGTGTAAGGCTGGAAATAAATGTTAATTAATAATGCATTTATGCTAATGACCAAATGATATTTTTTTTTATTATCACAGTGGTAGCTACAATAAAATTAACAAAGGTGAAAAAAAATATCAACTTCAAGGTCAAAGACAACCCACTCCCCCATCCTTAATCTGTGCCCCACTATTGACATCATCTATTTGTCAGTAGGTCAGATTGACATCATCTAGTTGTCCAAAGATCAGGTTGACAAAATCAAACTGTCAGTAGGTCAGGTTGACATCATCTAGTTATCAGATTGCCAGGATGATATAATCAAGTTGTCACTAGGTTAGGTTGTCATCTTCCTTGTCAGCAAGTCAGGTTGAGATTAAGTAGATGTCAGCAGGTCAAATTGACATCACCTAGTTGTCAGTAGGTCAGATTGACATCATCTAGTGATCCAAAGATCAGGTTGACAAAATCAAGCTGTCAATAGGTCAGGTTGACATCATCTAGTTGTCAGATGTATAATCAAGTTGTCAGTAGGTTAGGTTGTCATCTTCTGCTTGTAAGCAAGTCAGGTTGAGATTAATTAGATGTCAGTAGGTCAGATTGATATCACCTAGTTGTCAGTAGGTCAGATTGACATCATCTAGTTGTCCGAAGGTCAAGTTAACATAATCAAGATGTAAGTAACTCAGGTTGTCATCATCTAGTTGTCAGTAGGTCAGGTTGACATCATCTACTTGTCAGTAGGTCAAGTTGATGTTTTCTAGTTGTCAGTAGGTCAGGTTGCCATCATCGAGCTTCAGTAGGTCAGATTGATGTTATCTAGTTGTCAGTAGGTGGGGTTGATATCAAAAAGTTGTCAGTAGGTAAGATTATCATCATCGAAACGTCAGGTTGACATCATCTAGTTGTCAGTTGGTCAGGTTGTCATCATCTAGTTGTCAAAAGATCAGGATGTCATCATCTACTTGTCAGTAGGTTAAGCTGACATCATCTACTTGTCAGACAGTGATACATGAAAGTAAAGACTATCAGTGAAAATGTTCCATGAGAGGTAAATGTAACTGACAAACCTTTTAGTTTTAAGATCTGGAAAGGCTGTAAATACATCAGGAACTCTACCTAAAGATACTCCATCCTGCTAGAAAGCAAACAAATAAAACTTGTCAAATTCTGTCCATGAACAATGCTGCAACATTTTTGTTTATGATGGAAATTATTATCTTTCATTGTACCTCTGAAGAATTTTCAGTGCCTTGCATTGGTTCTGGTTGGCTGGTTCCATACTGAGCACCTGGTGGCTGGTAGTAACCCGCCAAACCCCCTGAACTAGAATAACTAGACATTGAGGAAGTGGACGGGGGAAATGGAGGAGGTCCCACTACACCACTGAAAATAATTAAAGTAGGGATGTCCTTCATTTATTCTTTAAGTGTACAATAGAAAATAAGCTAATGAGCTATAAATGAAAACAAAATATTTGAACTGTTAACCTGATTTATTAGTTTCCTTTGAGATATTTAATTAGAAATAAATTACTCCTTTGAAAATACTTTTCAGACTTTCTTTCTGCTTTGAGCCTATCAAAAATTGTGCAAATATTCAATTCAAACCCATTTTTGACCAAACAGCACATTTATTCCACAAGTTTTCTCATAAATATTTTGTAAATATGGGACATGTACAATAGACAAATTGAGTTTTTTTTTTTTTAATTGACAAATATTGTAAAAAAAAAAAAAAAAAACAAAAAAAAAAAAAAAAACATCATAATAATTAGTAATTAATCTGAATCAAACTTCTTTCAGGGTTAACATGGCATGAAAACTGTTGAAACTTATGACAAAGTATTGTATCTATGTGTTCATAAGACAGGAAAAATATTTTTGAAAAATTTTCTAGCTGTTGGAATGTTCAAGAAGAACTGGTACTGTTGAAACTTAAGGTAAAATGTTGTACCTCTGTGTTCATAACACTGTAAAAATATTTTTAAAAATTTTCAAGTTATTGGAACGTTCAAGAACTGGCACTGTCTGAGGATAAGTTGCAAACAAGTGTAAATATATTGGCATAATATAGCAAGACCTGATGCTTACAAATTATTTGACTGTAGTTGAGGAGGATGTGACTTAAATTCATCAATGATGGACTGAACTACTGCAGCTAGACTGGAATGCATGGAAAACTGAAAAAACACATTAATGCTGATTACAATGCTAGTACAGAAATTGATTACAAGGCACTTTTCTTTTTTTCTTTCAATAAAATCAATAAATAATTATTTCATCCTCTCATGAAAGAATACCTGTTAAATGAACTTACCGATGAGAGATTTGGACAGTTGATAATTTTTGATGTTGAGTCGACCCATGAGTGATATACAGGGGGATGAACAGATATTGAGGGTGGATCTTGTGGAAAAAGGGGAGGAAGAGATCTAAAATATAAGAAAACATGACAGTTATCTCCTATTTTGCTCAATGTACATGCACCTCATTTATGACATCAGTTTCAAATGTATAATAGTGCAGATATACATATCAGTCTGACATGTAGAGTTTATTCAATTAATAATTTTATCCTTCAGTCTAAATTGAGGGCATTTTATTGATTGTTCTTTCATTAACCTGCTTTTCTCCTATGGACCTGGTTTAACAATAATATATCCCATGTCTTTGCCAGTGGAAAATAATCTAAAGGTTTTTTTATGAATGCTAAAGATGGACCTGAATGTGAACATAGTGGATAAATTGAATGTTGATTAAATGTGTTTAATATGTCCTTAACTTATGCAAGATTATTTCAAACAATTAAAAGTGTTATTTCCACCCTACCACACTTGCAAACAATTCTGCATCATTATAAATTTGCCCAAAGACAAATGTGCATGTTAAAAGACAGATAGCTCTGTCTCTTTTGAATTTGCCAAATGATAACAAGGGCCATTGGGCAAAAATAAAATAGACAAAAATCTCCCTTTATAGAGTAATTTTTTGATTGGAATGTGGTAGTGTGTGATACACAGCTTCCTACTAGCTTGGGCTAGTGGGTTATCCCTTTAACTCAATTGATTGAGAACTGGACTGGCATGCCAAAGGGCCTGGGTTCAATCCCAAGTGGAGCACAAACTTATCCCTTTTACATTTGGCACCTATGTTAGGATGGTATTCTCAGGCAGGCAGAAGTGTTTGCCCCACAGGCACTGGCACTCCAAAGAAGATAAGGACATCTCTATCTCTGGAGGGGGACAAACCTGTCCTGGTTACAGGAAGTCTTATATGAATTCAAAAAGTTTTTAATAATTAATTTAGCACATTCATATAAGGACTTCTCTATCTCTGGAGAGGGACAAAGCTGTGCCTGTACAGGAAGTCTCTTGAGAACTCAATAAAGTTATTTTTTAATTTATCGCTTTCATATACAGTTGAACTTCAGTTTCTCGAACACATATCTTGAATACCATGGATATCTCGAAGTCAGTTAAAAGTCCCAGCTACTTTTCCTTTGTGTATTTTAATCTCAGTATCTTGAATGCCTGGATATCTCGAAATTTTTTCTTGGTCCCATCGAGTTCAAGATAATGAGATTTGAGTCATTTGACTGTAGATGTGTATTTCCTTCAACTTCTGTTTATCACTTTATGATTGCCAAAATCAAAATGAAGTTAGGTACCTTACAATATTTACATTTGAAAATATTTTTGCTTTAATAATTAAGACACTATTTTAGCATGTGTATCTATCACTGTAGAGACACAGTTTGTCTCAGCTAAGACCTCAACTTTACTATAAAGTCCTAAAAAGTCGATGTAATTTTTCAGTGATATCATAAAATAAATGGGCTGATGTGTTCGGGATTCAACTTATATCATTTTGAAAAAATATTAAGATATTTTAGAAGATTATAAATCAACAATTTTATTATAAATAGTCACAAATGTAAGTATCAGTAATAAGGTATCATTTTTAAACATCTATTGGGATATCGATACGGGTTGGTACTTGGTACCTGATTAAATCTTCCATTCAGCCCTTATGACTTTATGGGATTTTGCAGTACCACACGACTTACTTGTACTTATATACCAAGAAATATGTTTTAATTAAAATGATACCTTATTCTTACTTGCAAGTATATGTATCATAATCTAACTGTAGCACTTGAGGGCCTGTTTTGATCGAAACACAGACTATTCTATGCTGCTTGAGGGTGACTCCAGTGGAATATTTCAAAATAAGTAGAGTGAAATATGATTATGTTTTCGGAATTAAACATCATGCACATATAATGAAAATGTTTAAGTAAATTCTACCAGGGACCTATATACTAGTATTGGTATGTAGGTCCCTGATTCTACTTACACAACTAGAGTTATGTTGTTGTTTCCTGAAACGAATGTTATTCTGTATTCTGTATTTGGTAGAACTTCAATTGGACTACAACAAAAGATTTATTGTTAGTACATTTTTAAAATAAAAAAAAAAACAATGACATGTTTTTTGAAGAGTACGTGTTTCGTCATTTTTATTGTATTCCATACTATGAAAGTATGAGTCATGAAATATTTACAAATTATTGGTTACTTACTTCAGATTTGCTTTCTTTAGAGAATCAATCTGTTTTGTCCTGTGGGCCTGTAGATTTGTTTGTGATGAAGATGTGTTTTTGTTTTTATTTCCAAAGATCCAACTCATTTTGTATATTTTGACAGCTTCCCTACGTCTACGACACAACTTTTCAGTTTATTTTTCAGTCTGCCAAAATGAAAACAGGAAGTCTATGAACGTCATCAAATTCTGTGATAGTCTGATTTCCGTTTGAAAGAGCATGCGTGAAATTTGCACCTTGAAGACTTGACCATTATAGAAAGAAATGTAGACGCCTCAGCACTACTCACTGATTATTTAATTGCTCCTGCAGTTAAGCACAATATCTCGAATATAGATAAGTGTAAGTAATATAAACTGTGAACATTAAATCCAGTGTCCATTCAAGAAAAAAATCGTTTTTTGTATTGCATGCATGTTGTGTTTGGTGTCGGGTGGTTACGTTCCGATTCCGTGTTCGACCCGCGTGGTTACGACCCAAGTGGTTTCGACCTACTCTAATATATATCCCTACATGTCAATACCTGAGTACAGGGGTATACACTGTGCGGTAAACAAATGGATATCCGGTAGTTGTATAGTATATGGCTTCAGAGATGTGCGTGTCAATAGGTAGTTGTTTCCGTACAGTATGTGTAACGTTAGTCAACATGCAGGTTTCCTAACATTTTTTTCTACTATCGCGGAGCATGAATGTTGATAAATTTGATTTAGTAATGAATTGTATTTGAACAGTTTTCCATAAAAATTAATCAAATACTTCTTCAAAAATACCGTGATCACATATGCACTGTCTAAACAATGTACGTTTCTCCAAATTAAATTACATACGATAATTAACACAAATATACGTGGTCAATATAAAAAAAAAAGGTAGACGAAAAAATAAAATGTAAAACTTTTGAAAGTGTTAATTAATTTCGTTCCGAAACAATTAATTGTTAATTAATTGCTTTGGAACGAAACCACGCGGGTCGAACATGGATTCGTGTCGAAACCACGCGGGTCGAACAAGTCATCGGAACGTAACCACCCGCATTCTTGTGTTTTACTGAGCGTGATGAAATTTAAAAACATGTAATGTTCACTGGTTAGGCCTACACAGAAACAAAATTTATCAAATAGTCAAAGAATATTATTGCTGCAAATGGTTGTGATATTACATTGTTTTTATATTGCTAGAATTAATATTTATCAATACAGAAGAACCAATACTAAGTACAGTACTCAGCAGTTTTTGTTTGTAATAATGAATGATTTCCATCAAGAAGTAAGGTATCAATTTTAAACATAATAGAAATGTAAATACAGGTTAGTCATGTGATCAAATTTTATTAATCTGATGATTATATCTAACCCATATTCATATGCCTATATGGATGGTTAAAATTAATTGTTTATACCATACCTGCCAACCTCCAACATGGAAAAAGAGAGTCATATGACCCTCTTTAAAAAGTAAAAATTCAGGTCATAATGTACTGTCACTACATATTTATCATGATTATATATTTATCTTTGCATGTATACAATAAGCACTTGTGTATTTAAACTTATTTTATTGAAAAGAAGTAAATTACAATGGCAAAATTTGAGTATCATGAATTTAATTCATTGATTAAATTTACATGATAAAAGGGCATTGAAGGTCTCATTGTTTAGTGTTGACCTGAAATAACTGTGTATTTCTGAATGCCCTTTCAGTATCTGCATTGCTATTTGAAAGAGCAAGGGAAGTTCTAGCTAATTGTGAATGTATTCAAAATCGGGGACCTTTAAATGTCACTGTTCAAATCTTGGTTTTGGACTTCAAGATAATTTTTTATCTCGAGACGTAAAAAACATTTTAGATATTTATATGCACGGTCTCGTACTATCGTCAGTCACTTTACTTCATTTTCCAAGATTCTTTGATATGTACAATTTTTGTACATAAATATTAATTTTCTTTCTATTGTTGTTGTTTCTGCTGGCCCTGATAACAATCTTGTTCTACCAGAAGCCATTTTATAATGACTTTAAACTTCAATTTGTCAAAATGTCTCCCAGATAATTGTTAACACCTGTTCTGGTAATCTACAGATACATAGCCTACTGTATTTTTATAATCATTGACATTGTTTACATATAGAGCCAAGTTTGGTTGATAACTGGAAATGACATGTGCAAACTAAATTACAAATCAAACCCAGAAATTTTATACAGAGATTTTCGGGTTGCTCAGCAAAAATCGGGTGAAAAGCATGACCCGCCAAGTCATATAAAATATTTGGGTTAAAGGTCGGAAAATTGGGTGTAACCAAATGACATCGGGTATGTACACATGCAGCTGAGTTAACAAATACTTGTATTGTTACAATTATCTTAATCATAATTTTTCAAATCTCAGTTGGACACAAGTTGAATCTGTAAACACATTGACCTTTTGTATCCACTGTGAGATCGTGTAAACTGTTTATAACTTCACAGTTATGAAGAATTTGACAAGCTGATTATACCCAACAAAATTATGGTTCAAAAAATTGAAAAAATTATTAAAAAAAAAAGTAATGCCATCTACCACAAACTCGTTCCATCCCTAGTGATACTTTACCCAACTGTTGTCATAGGTCTATTCTAAAATAACCCACAGAACCCCACCAATAAATATTATCTATTCAACACTTTTAAAATTCTTGGGGACAAAAGATTGAATCTTGGCCAATGGATTTCCAAATTAATGTTTTGCAAGCACTAGGTTGTATAACTGTTCCGTCAATGTTCTGTTTCTCCTTTTTTATGAAGGATTTCTTGCATCTTTTAGGAATACAAAATACTGGACCTACAATACCTTTGTTGTGGATGACGAATAAATTTTAATTTTAGAACCACTTTGAAGCATAAAAAATTTAAAACTTATGTTTTTATGGATGCTATTACTGTAATTACATATGAATTTGGATATTATATAGCCCTAATGATCATGACTGAACAGACAGAACTCCTGTTTCGGTGGCTGCTATCTCTAAAGATGTGTACCAGCATTGCATTCCTGAATTAGTTTTTCTAAAGTACTTTGCCAAAATGTTTTATCTTTGTCTTACTAATGTCTGAAATCTAATGTTTTCAGTCATAGTTAAAGGCATCTCTGATATTCAGCAATATTCCTTACGTCAGAAAGTCAGAGGTTTACGTGTTTGCTTTATGATTGAAACAGGAGTTGGAGGGCAGATTTTAAGGTATTTACAAAAGAAAAAAATGTTTAAATCTCATTTCATTGTTTAGGAGAGGCGTAAAAGTAATCTAGAAGTGTTGGAAGGCGGGGTTTGGTAGGAGCAGATATGCTGATATGCCTTCGGTAGCACAGACTGAGTATGGCATCAAGGATGTCTGGAACAGCAATCTGGAAGAAGAGTTTAAAAAGATCCGCCATGTCATTCAACGATACAGATTTGTTGCCATGGTTTGTTTTCTTTAACCTTTTATTATAATATAGAAGTTTTTAGTACTTTCCAGTCCAAAAATCAAAAATAGCTAGTCAATAAAACTTACAGTAATGCTCAGATCTTCATGTATGATAGTACATTTGACTACTTTGTATAATGTAGTATGATTTTCTTTTTGTCATTGTTGGGTGCACCCAGTTTAGAATTGGAGTAATTATGAAAATGATTAGACTGGGATTCTACTCAAATTTGTTGTCATCTATGGTCAAAAATCACTATTACTGCTTTGTATTAATATAGTATACAAACTTGATAATTATGCAGTGTAAGGTTGATGGGCAGGGCTCGACGTTAACGCTTGTCCGCTTCAAGCGGCTTGTCCGGTACCAGTGAATAAAAAATACGGACAAGTGAATATTGCTGGGCACTTGTCCGATTGGACAAGTGCATTTATATGTAAAGAAATCTCTTAATATTGAAAAGAACGACTGTTGAAAGTTTACCGGTACTTTAAGACGGAAACAGTACATAAAAATTGAACTTCGATCCCGATATAGATCGCTATGTAATTGAGAACACTCAATCGGGATCGAAGTTCACTAATTGCATACTACTGCAAAGGCATGGAACTGATGAAGTTTGGATTCTGTTTTATGTTGACAGCATTTATGTTGTCATGACAGAAAGTCTAGATAAAATTTTGTTTTATGTGTTTGTTGTATATATAAATAACATCATGCACATGTAATGGACTTTATTTTTAGTTTTTCAGTTAAGTATTAGACCTTTATTGAAAATTGACAAGTGAAGTTGAAGTTCGGACAAGTAAATGTCTTGGTCACTTGTCCGAATGGACAAGTAGCAAAAAAAGTTAATGTTGAGCCCTGATGGGAAAGCAGCAGTTTATTTGGCTACCAAGGGGAGGTAGAGTAGAGGCATTTGATAATTTGGGGTGAAGTTTAAATACCAGAGAACATCTTGATGTGATTTATTTTTCCACAGGATACAGAATTTCCGGGAGTTGTAGCACGGCCTATAGGAGAGTTTAGAAGCACATCAGACTATCAGTATCAACTTCTTCGATGCAATGTAGACTTACTAAAAATTATCCAGGTGGGCCTTACTTTTATGGATGAAAATGGACAGACGCCATCCCCTATATCTACATGGCAGTTCAATTTCAGATACAATTTAACGTAAGTATTAGAAGACTAAAGGGATATGGTGATGATACATAATTAGAGAGGGCAATAGAAATGAAATCAAAGCATAGATTTAGATAAATATTACATTGATAAATATGAAACTATTATTATAATATTTCAGAGAAGAAATGTATGCTCAGGAGTCAATAGACTTGCTACAACATTCAGGCATTCAGTTCAAGAAGCATGAGGAAGAAGGCATAGATGTGAACGACTTTGCTGAATTGTTAATGACATCAGGAATAGTGCTAAGTGACCAAGTCAAATGGCTTTCATTTCACAGGTAAAAAAATTAATTTATGTGAAAAAAATATTCCTGAACAAACTACGTCAGGGTTTTTAAATTAACTTGAAATCTTTACTAGCAATGTGGGCTACTAAACCTACAATTCAAGGGGCACACATCAAAATTTATTTGCACATAAATTATCACACCTTTTGTTTTTTAATTCATAGGCTTCATGTTGAACTTTTCTATCTCTTTTAAGATTCATGCACAACTTATATAAGTTTGAAATGGAACTCTTCTATTACTGAAGTTGATATGGTTAGTCAATAATAGATGTAGAGCACATAGCATGCTTTCATTCATAAACAACATCGGTAATTTTTGGTTTTCTTGGGCTTACTGATCCCATAGATGCCATGGCACATTGTGTCTATCACAATCACCAAGATGCTTTAAGTAGAAGTGCTTCTTACTGGAAATTATAAAGTGCTTTACTGATTTCGATATTTTTCAAAAGAAAAATACAAAACATTTGGTCAAAAATTGGATAACTCGTAGATCGTAAAATTTCTTATCACCGTGTGGGCAACTTGATTGTAATTTAAGTAGCAAACATGAAAAATTAGTCACAAATGGCAAGTGGGGGACATGTAATTTCAAACCCTGTGGTTGAGAGGTTTGGGTTGGGATTAGGATGGTACTATGATAGTGTTTTTCAGGTTAGTAGATGATATCAAAGCTTTGTTGAATAATATTTGAATTGGACTGTTTGTCTCCAATATTTCATTTCATATTTGACAGATCCCTTTTTATAAGTTCTTTAGGTTGTTAATGCATTGATAATGTGTTCAATCTGTCTGTAAACAGTTTATCAATTATGCAATAACTCCTTCAGTTTTTGCCATTTCAATAAAACTTGAAACACACCTATGTAGGTACATCAAAATAAACAATCCTGATAACAAATGTATGAGTATGGAGCCATCCTTAATGAAGTTTGGTTAAATTGTTAAAAATTGCCCCAAAACCTGGTAATGTATTTCTTCAGACATGTCTGAACACACTTCTGAATACACTTAATTTAAGATGTGGGTAAATGAAGCATATTACCATTCAAAAGACACATGTACCTTTAGTATGACATGTTTGTTTTTTGCCAAATAAAGAAAAAAAATTACCTCTAGGAAAACTGAATTTTTTTCCCCTCTTGTACTAAAATTGTTAGATTGGTTAAATTATTTTTGATGTGATTTTTCAGTGGTTATGACTTTGGTTACCTCTTGAAGATTTTAACCAATACACAGTTACCAGCGGAGGAGGTCGATTTCTTTGAATATCTGAGAATTTACTTTCCGAACATCTATGATGTCAAGTATCTGATGAAGAGTTGTAAAAATTTAAAAGGAGGTTTACAGGAAGTTGCAGAACAGTTAGAGGTAACATACATCACAATTATTAATTAAAAATTTAAGGTAATTAAGGGGGTTGAAAGTAAATTATAGATGTATTACAGTACCATTGTTGTGACTTTGTAGATTACAAGGATCGGCCCTCAACATCAGGCTGGAAGTGATAGTTTACTAACAGGAGCTGCTTTCTTCAAAATGAGAGAGGTAAAGTTTTTTTGTTTTCTTTATTTCTGTTACCTATTTAAACAAACTTTAATATTTGATTTGCTTGGAGCTCTTTTATTTGTTAATATAAAAAAATTTCATAGTGAAGAAGTATATTTTGTATTTTTATTGTTGGAGAATTTATATTAAACCCTACCTCTTGCAAAAAAATAATTGTGCTTGCATGTTTGTTTTAAAACCATTGCAATATGATTATTATTTTCAATATTGATACATGTATTGTGGATTTACTGTGCCCATGATCTTTATATACTTACATTCTAAATTCTTTCAGATGTTCTTTGAGGACAATATTGATGATGCCAAATATTGTGGACACCTTTATGGACTTGGTACTTCTTATGTTCAGAATGGCTCAGGATATGAAAGTTTGACAAGTTATCAAAACCACAATTCCACGCCCACAGTGGAAGATTCCAACTCAGTGTCAGCAAGTTCATAGAGCAATCAGAACATTCTTCTGCACTTTGCAGTCAGCACCCAGGAAAAGAAAATGGCAGCATTTTCATGGATCACAACACTTTGTGGCAGCTAGAAGGAGGAAAGATTCAATATTTTAGTCCTTGATCTTCAAGTCTTCTCTTAAATCAGCGACAGTGTTTCTGTGAGAGAGTCAGTGTCAGCTGAATGAATTGTTTTAATTAGTATCTCGATTTACTTCATTGGTTTTGAATCTCTGTACATGCAGTGCAAGGTGAAATGATTGACTTTTTTTTTTTTTCAAAATAATTGGTAACTTAAGATACTGTTTGCCTTAAAGCATTTTATAGCAGAGTATTTATGGTTTTCCATTTCAACATGAAAAATTAAGAGTATTTATTAAAGCATAAAGTGTCTCAGGCTCTCATTTGGAAAGGCTGGCAACCCTACAAAAATGAATGGACAAAAATTTAGAATGACTTTTTAAAATTTTAAGACTGGTTCCTCAATGTTTAAAAGATATTTTTTTTTACCACAAAAGATATTTAAAAGCTCATTTTAAGATTGACTTTCCTATGCCTTTTCTAGTAATCCTGGCAAGTGATGCCATTTTCTTTGCTTTGGTAGAGGGCTGCCAATTTTGCCAATTTTTAATAAGGTTTTTTCTCCATTTTTGATATTCTTTGTGAACAAGAGAACTAAAACTGTGTTAACAAGTTTGTATATAAATCTTTTGGTAATTTTTTACAAAGAGTATTCAAAATTTGAGAAAAGCCATTACACCTGTGCTCCTGTCTATCTGTATAAAGGCATGAGGTTCATTGTCAGAAATCTACTGTATACATGTTCAAATGGGGCCACAAATACATGTATCCTATTTTGTCCTTTCTTTTGCATTGAAAAAAATATATATATTTCCAAGAATTTTCTACATTTTGCTTGTACCCTTCTCTTGCATTGCAGCACTGTATTTAATGAAATTGATTAATAATGCCATGAAAACATGTAATGTGTGGATAATGAATTTTTCTTTGGAAAGTTAATAATCTAAAATTCCATTTGATAGTCAATGTTTGACATATAAAGGGAATGTGATATTACATGACTTTGCTTTTAATTATCTTTGTTAGTATCTTTTTAACAGTAGAATCTGTGATCTGTCATTGTGCAATTTTCATATACAATGTTAAATCTGATGTTACTCTTTATTTTTTATGAAGAAAAGATGGACACAAACATTGCAGGTGAAAATTTAAAGTTAAAAGAGTCAGATTTATATTTTTTTTTTCTTTTTCACTGACAAATTGATTTTTATTATTTTGTATCTTGTCCATGACGATATTGAGACAGACTGGAGATTGAAAAAAGTAGTATGATGTTTGGAACATTCATTCTCAACTGGAATTTTAGAGAAGCAGTCTGTCATAATATAATCATTGTAGTCCAAAAATTTCAAAAGGAAATCAAAAGGAAAATATTGACATGTTTTACATATTTCAAAGAAAAACATAACAACACTTTTAATGCATACATTCTCTACTTTTTTGTTGTTTTTAATTTTATAAGACATCAGCCAAACTTGTGGTTGTCAGTTAAAAGCCATTAATGGATTTAGCTGTCAAACCAGAGAAAGATTTTTAAATGTTTTTTAAACAACAGTTTTAATTACCAGCATCAAATGTCAAGGTACTTTTTCAAATATTAGTATCGAAGATGCTGTACGTGAAAATTTAGCTTGTCAAAGATGGTGCGTATTGTGAGTAATGCTTTGGAGACAGTTATTTGCTCAGTGTGTTTAAGTCATGTAATTTGGTTTCTATTGTGTTATTCTCAAAATGGATATGGTCAGAGTTTTCCTATTTTAGAATCCAAAGGGCTTTCATTACATATTTTGTCATTAAAATAGACAGCTTTGATCATATCCTTCATTCAGAATTAATTTTTATTTTTCGAAAGTCAACACATCTATAGGTCATTGTATACAGTTGTTTTTTAATTGAATTTTTATTTTAACATTTTCCCAACTATCTGTGTAGTTTTCATATTTTGTTACCATAGAAACCCTGAAACTTGATCTCAATGTAATACAAGTTTATAGTTTGCTTTTATTTCATCATATTAAAATCCATAAAAAATAATACAGGTTAACTTCTTTGTTTTAAGTCTTTTTTTTAAACATGTCTCTTGCATTCATGTTTGTTTTATTGACATACATAATTGATTTTTTTTGTCCTTATATACAATTTATGTGATGTGTTGGTAATTTTCAATCTCTTGTTGGATGTAGAGAACTGATTTCATTAATAAGTAAATGATTTTTTCCCTCTTGATTAATTTGAGACTGTGATCTATTTTAAGTTTCAAAATGTGTTGAAAGTTTTAATGGGTTGTCAGGCTGAAATTGTACATTGAAATGATGCTAGAATGTTCAATACTAAGGACAGTTTTACATGCATTATGGATGAAAGTGCTATTTTAATTGTCAATGTATAATTCACCACAAAACTCTGACATCCAAAGTTAGAACTGTTGTTTATATTAGGTACTGTTACACTGGAATGGCTCCCCCTCCAACCAGCCACTTGATATTTGTTTGGTGTCAGAAGTCTTTTTTATCATGATGCATTATATGCAAAATTTTATCATAAATTCATGTATGTATGTTCTTAGTGTTTTCGTACCATCTCTATCTTTTGATTTTTATTGTGAATCAAATTGACTATGTGTACTTTTTTTGTATTCAAAGTCTGTTAAAATTAGAAATTAATTTTTTTAAATCAAATTCTAAAAATAGTGTACACATTTTCAAAGTATTTATTTATTTACTTTGGAAATTAATAAAAAGAGAAGTTGAAAGATTTCTAAAGTTTGGATACCTGCAGTAGGTGTGATGAGTGTTTTCAAATTTTAGAAAGGACCATTGTAAAAATATTGCTGGCAAATATTTTGCAAAGTGAAGTAAGGATTTATTTCACACATAACTATTTTGATCAAATTGAAATGATGTTTTAAGGTATGTTTCATTGTTAGATTCTGAAATTTTTCCATTATAAACTCAACGTATGTTTAAATTAGCTTAATTTAGTAACTGTTTTCTCAAACTTGAATTTAGATCTCAGTGATCACTTTTTTTGGTTTGTTTGTGTTGACAATTACATTGGTGTGTTCTTTGTTTTCATTGGAGGGGGAGGGATATGATGTATGTTGGGCTGATGTCTTGCTGTACATTTTGTGTGTGGCCCCTTATTATTTTACTGTCGTCTAGATGTAATGGAACTGGTTGTCTTTTTATGAATTGTAAATAAATATGTCATGGGGATGACCAGTCCAATGATAGCATAAATCAGAGTTTTGTTATTTTAATATGTTGACGGTGCTACCGTTAGGGCGAGCGCAGATACCTTTCAGTTTTAATTAAGATCGGGCTCGTCAAACTGCACGTGATATTTGCTACGTCTAGACTCTGACGTCGTATAACGTCGTATGAATGTTGCATTACCAAAAACCGAGTCTATCCAGTGCTATAATTTTAATCAAGAAAGTTTAATCTACTATTTATCTACTATATATCCATTAAACCAAGGTGATTTTATTTTTTGTTGAATTTTTGTTGCTACCACGAGAACGTAATTTGCGACGAGATGCAATTCGCTAAGCATTATGGGACCACAGGTAACTGCGGAAAATAATTCATTTGGATCAATGTGCAAAGTCCGAATTTTTCTCTTCACCCAGGCGTTGCTTTAAGAGCTCGCAGTGACGAGCGGCGCTTTGCGCCGCTCGCTGCGCTCGCTATTAAAATTACTCTATATCCCCAGACTGCTCTAGAAAAGCAGTATGCTATACAAAATATGAATTTGGCCATGGATATGAAGTCAAATTGGAAATGATTTACTAACAATCTTGACCAAAGGTCAGCATGGTAAAGTGTAGATGTATTCAGTAAGGAAACTAGTTATGCCCAACATTCAAGATTTCCTCAAAAATGTAGTTTACTAATGTCATAAAATAGGAATAGGGCTAGGAAACACCTATAACTTGAATCATACGAAAACTGAAAAAAATCAAATTGAATTTGAGAATATAGTATTTAGAGCAATTCCATAGGTATAAAATATGCTATACGACATGAAATGAAGAAAATGCATAGGTGTTTCTACAGGGATTCATCATTGATCCCAAACAATAAAAAATTCCTCAGTTTTGTCACGAAGCCATGTATCTCATAACAAGTATTGCCGTTTAAATCTTGATTGTGATTTGACCCTTGAAATATTTTCACAAAATATACGTATTTTGTCTCGGAAAATGCATTTTTAAAGTATAGTGGGTCCTTGCTCCATGTTTTATATACCAAAGAGTCAGTATATTCCACTTTCTCATAAAATGAGCCCACTCGTTAGGACATTCTAAAATTATGCGATTTCCCTCCTACTTGGTGGTTGCATGGGTTTTGTTTTTTGAAGGGGAGGGGAGGTTAGGACGAATGATATTTCAATGTGTTGCACATGGAATTGCAGCATATTGTATAAAATTTTGCAGCAAGCATGTATTTATTAAAGAAAAGTTTGCTTTGTTCCAGTTTTAATTTTGTCCCAACACAGGCGCGGATCTAGAAATTTTTCAAGGGGGGGGGGGGGGGACTTAAAGTATCGTATTTGAAAGTAGGGGGATCAGCATCCTCGCATTGCCAGGGGTCCTGAGTCAACACGTTGCCGTTGGACACGTGTTGTCTCAGGACCCCTGGCATTGCAAGGGTGGGGGATTAGTCAGGGGAAAAAAAGTCTGGATTACGTGAACCCCCCCCCCCAAAAAAAAAAGTCTCCGAACCCGAAAATCCCTTTTTATGGTGGGGGTTGAGGTAGGCTTCATTTTTTTCACAAACGAATTTTTTCGATACATTACTATATAGCCTTTCTCTGAACATTTCCTATAGTACAACACAACAAATGTTCGGGACTCCCCTCTTTCTATTTTTTTTTAGCGAATCTAAAGGGGGGGGGGTGCAACCCCTGTAACCAACACCCCCCTCCCTCCCCTAGATCCGCCACTGCAACATAAGCATTTTTTCTCATCTTTATTTTTTAATCACCCGTGTTATTAAATTATTTTTTAATTACCTTTATCTTGCTGAAGGTCACCTTATATTCATGTACTTTGATTCGAAAAAGATATATGTATTCCAAATTTCCAATATAAGAACGCCTAACTTAACTTTATTATTAGGATTCAAAAGAAGCTTTAATTGACACAGATTTCACAATAATTACTCAGACGTACATCCAGGAAACTCGGTCACATATTCAGAACTAGTTACTGATAAGAATAATTTTGTTACCATTGCATCCACCCCTTTCAATGAAAACTGATACAAGTATGCGTGTTGGTGTTATTTCTAAAATTTGCAGCTAAAATAAATCATTATAGTCGTTTATAATAATGCAATGCTTCTGATGTTCCCTCACTAATGGTATAATAACCACTCCCATTAGCTTCCCAGCAAACAGATTCTCCTTGATGTTCATTGATGTATGGGACCTGTGTCGGGGTGTGCATTAAAGCGCTCATATAGTTGCGACTATGCCCAACATTCCAGTAGTAAATTTTGTGATATGTCTTGATTAGAACCTCCTGTCCGTTGGGGGAAATGTCACCCGCTACGGGGCCTCTCCCGTGATCGGGAGTTGGTATCTCCCGCCCTCCGGTCAGGTGATAGCGATGGGATGATTCCACCCACGCTTCTTTGGGGATATGATACAATTTTCCTCTTCCTCCGTCAACTTTTGAGATAATATAAAGTTCTCCTTGTGGATCTACCATTAATGTTTCTGCATTATGTTCATCCCATCTGGCCAAAATGGAAAATCCAAGAGATTAACGGAACAAGTATGAAAAATGACATAAAGCAATGAAGAACACTGAACTTGAAGATATTTCTGTCCATTATCAACCAGTACTTACGTAAATCTTAGTGTTTCTAATACGTGTAGAGTTTTGTCATGGATACTAGGCGGTTCCCTCACCATAAAGATCTTATTTTCTCCACCACCTCCGGTATTTCCGCCAATGTCACCAATATAGACACACCATCCTGAGTGTCCAAACACGCAAGGACCTGTATAAGACAACGTACAGGAACATTTAATTGCATTTCATAATTTATAAATTAGTTTTAATTTTCCTAGTGTAAGGATATTAATGAATTTCATGAATGACTGAAATTTTGGCTTAAGTCTAAGACTGCTATCCTGAGGCAAGGAGTATTTTAAAAAGAGAAGACATAGATATATTAATTTCATAAAATGTAATAACTCTATCAATAAATAGTCAGCCAAAAATCTCAAACTGTCTGGAAAGCATTGCAAAGAAAACTGTTCATACAAAATTTTATTTTGAATCATGATAGCATTTTGAAGGTGTTATCAAATAAAAATACTTCACCAAAGGAATTTACAAAATTTTGATTATCGTCCAATTAATTGCACCGTGAATTTTACATTGAAGTCTGTGGGCAGCATATGTATAATTAAGATATTATAAAAAGTAATTCGAACTTCATATACTAATGTCTTGGTGAAAATATGCATAAATTCGAACTTCATATACTAATCTCTTGGTGAAAATATGCATAAACTCACTCTTTATTAAAATATGAAATAAAATGAATCATTTACCATAGATCTTCTGAAAAAATTAAAATTTTCTTCTTTTCATCAAGGGCAGATAACTCTTCAAAAAAGTTTATGGTGCAAAATGACCTGCTTCTTATTTGTTATCAGTTGTGTGAATTTGGTTCATTTCATTTTCATCATTATTCAGCAATGCATATATAACTAGTTTAAAATGATTCAAAATTGTTCAATATCCCTTCATTATCCATTGAATACCTTAATACCAATGTTCAGTGAAGAGTTTGGTTTTTTTTATTTTAACTCACCACATGCTATATCCTCCCAGTCGTGACTTGTGGCTCCCTCCACGGTAAGTGTGCCCCTTAATTCGGCTGTTGTGGCGTCAAGGGCATAAAATCGAGCACTATCGCCAGAGTCGTTATGCGTGTACAGGATGTTGGTGTGTCGTCTGCTGGCACACAGACCCGATTCCTCTCGCACAGAATGGCTGTTCACGTGACCAATGGTGTGGCCATGGTCGAAACGAGGACCTGAGCGGAAAATAAGAGTTTCTGTCTTAAAAATTATTATAAACACATTTTAATATGGACATGTATTATCATAGATCATTTTTTTGGAGTCGTACAGTGACGTTCTTGAGCTGGCGAGGATTGTAGTGATTGTAGTTAATGATATCCTTAACAGGACATATTGTAGCTTGTACGACGAATGCAAGATTCGAATCTGGGAGCGAATTCCAAAAACAGAGAAAAGGCGTAAAAACGTGTAGTGAAAGGCGTTATATAACGTACGCCAATAAAGGTGTAATTACGCGAAAAAAGGCGTAATAACACGGAATGAAAAGGCATAATTACGCCTTTTAAAAAGGCGTCATTACGCAAATCGTCTGGATTAATGAAGCGTCCAGATTATTGACATCTGGATTAAGGAGGCTTCTCTGTATTTTCTTTCCTCTTACTTGCAAAAAAGAAGCAGGCAAACAGTTTACATGGGTATAATGAGAAAGTAGAAACTTTCCATTAAAATTGTGAAATCCATGACTCTTGGTCCAGATGTCTGGCATCAGAGAAGGACCAAAACTTACATAAAAATTAAGATGGGTCAGAATCGGATATTATTACTGTATTATGCCTCCAAAAAGGATAAAATTATCAGGATTGATTTAAGATCATCTGTCGTACAGCTACATGTATGTGTAAGTGAACTGTTTATTTCGTTTTGAAAACTTTGTAAATACAAGTGCCATTTGGAAAGGGAGAAAGAGAGATATCATGTATTCTTCTATACATGCATGACATTGTTATGCTAAAGTCTAATTTTAGATTCTTCTAATAGATCCACCTCTCATGCATGTTTATCAACCTTATCTTGAGATCAAGGGCAGGTAAATATAAATTCTCGCGATTTGCAAAGCAGTAAGGATAAAAAAAAAAATCAATTATTTTAATTGTATCACAGTCTAAAATCATTTTTGACATTCAAAGTCGGATTTAAATCTCTTTGACAAATTAACAGAAGTAAAATGAGGTAGGTTATGAAAGTAACAGAAGCTACCGACGAATGACCCCAAACCCGGTGTTAAGTGCAGTCATCCTTTATTTCACATTTAAAAATACAGTGGAGCCTAGTTAATCCGACGCTTGTGTTCCCAAGCAAATCGTCCGGATTAATGAAGCGTCTGGACGACTGAAACAGACATTTTATCATTGGTAAATAGAAATATTAATTCTGTTCCCCCAAAGGTTCACCCGGAAGATGAGACGTCCGGATTAAGGAGGCTTCACTGTATTTTCTTCCCTCTTGCAAAGAAAGCAGGCAAACTATTTCCATTGGTATAATGAGAAGGTAGTAATTTTCCATTAAAATTGTGAAATCCATGACTCCTGGTCCAGGTGCATTAGAGAAGGACCAAAAATTATATAAAAGTTAATTAGGATGGGTCAGATTCGGATATCCGTGCACATGAAACATGTTTTGAACAACGAAAATGTTTAAAACTTTAAATGATTCATTGTACTAACTTGCCCGTTTTTCGAGCACAGCTCCCCACGTCCCCGACAGCAGAAGTACAACGCCAATTCCGTACATTTTAATGTGAACACTAGGGGTTATCTTATCATATGTCAAGGTTTTGTACTGTATTATGGTAATGTTAATCGCCATACATTCTAGAAGTGGTAATCTTTGCGAGTTTTAAAATTGGACAATTTATATACTACCATAAAATTATCAAAATAATGTAAAAGCAAACGTAATGTACATGCAAGATGGGGTACATTTGACTTACCGTATGATACTTATCGAGACATGATTTATTTTTCATCGAATAAAGTACTAGTACACGAAGCAGACCAGTAGGAAGCAATTTCATTTGGGGTGGGGGCACAACCAAACACTTTCAGTTTGGGGGGGGGGGGCACTACCAAACATTCAAATTTCCTTGACAAGCAAAAAAAAAAGGTCATCAGATGTTGTTATTAGTGAGGGGGCACAAGCATATATACTATTTATAGTAGCTATGTTTTCTATGGTATTCTATATATCGGCCAATCTGATTAAAATCAGATCCTCGATGCTCCTTTTTTAACGATATGTCGCTCGATGCTCCTTTTTTAACGATATAGCGACATATCGTTAAAAAAGGAGCATCGAGGATCTGATTTTAATCAGATTGTATATCGGCAAAATTATTGGAATCTAATGCAGTTGGTCCCATGTCTCTACGATTTATCGTTTTGAAATTTTTTCATTATTCGAAAACATCAAAAACCTTCAAGATAAAGAGTTAAGATTATACTATCATATACAACTTCATCGTCAAAGGTCAAACTGAAGTCATCTGTAGATATGTAATTGTAAACATCTTATCTTTATTTACCTCACTAAAAATAATTTAATTAGATTTAAAAGCTTTTTAAATGATTTACTCCATAATAACTGGAGCGAAACTGTGTTTCAGGGTGTGGAGCGTACTTTAAAACAGCTGATAAAATCTGATTGTGACGACATGATAAACTATAATCAGCTGTCCAAACAGATGGAGTGACGCAATAAAATAATAAAAAGGTCGTAAAAATTAAGTTACCAGAAATCTTGAAACAGCTTTTTGTGTCTTAGTACTACGGAAGCTTGTTAGCGTATAGTGTCACGTGGTTACTTTTTTTATTTATTGTTAATCTGTAAACTTTACAATTTAATCTGTCAATTTTAAACTTTAATCCATAAAATTTACACATTAATCCGACATTTCTACAATTTACACCTATAATTAAAATTTAAACATTAATCTGTAAAATTTACTCTTTAATCTGTAAATTCTACACTTATTAATCTATAGTTTTTTTACCCTTTAATCTGTAAAATTTACTTTTTAATCTGTGTAATATACCATATTAATTCGACAACCTCATATATGAAATATGGAGATAATGAACAGTTATCATGGTCAAATTTAACCAATAGACCATGAAACCTACATGCTTTAATTTAAGTTTAAATTTTAGTCTAACAACTGAGATGAAAAATAAGTACTTATCAGATGTTGGATTCATGGATATACTACAAATAATCAATCCATATGATATAAATAATAGTATGCCTATCATGAAATATATACATGTATCTGAAAATATAAATCCAATTATCTTCTCAAAGAATAGGTTATCTTGAATTTTGAATAATTACATGCATTCATTAATTTAACTAATACATGTGTATACACATCAACCATTACATGTATTTGAATCGAAGAGAGCAAAATTAAGGAAAAAAAATCCTCGTAAAGTATTGGTCGATCTCGTTGATTAAAATTTTTGTTATCATTAATACACATTTAATGGTTTTAGTTAGAAGTATTAAAGTATTTGATTTTCTTTTAGTTTAGGAACGTCATAGAAAATACTAAATAGTATAATAAATTCACAAACTGATTATAATTTTTTATACTGGAATTTGGAAGCTATAGGCATTTCTCACTCCTTGTTCAACCATGTTCTTTTATCTTCATCTTCTGATGGATTTTTTTTTTTTTTTTTTTTTTTTTTTTTTTTTTTTTGATAGTGTTACTTTTTTCTTTGAAATGTACTTGTATTTTTTTAAATGAATTCTTGTCGGATTAAAAGACGTTAGGAATAATGGAATATCTGAAAATTTAGTACTGATGATATGCCCTCGATACACAAAGATAATCAACCAAGCTAATTCTTTTCTCTTCGGTGTTTTATTGAAAAAAGAAAAGGAAAAACCAAACTTAATTAACAGTGCCTAGAATATTCACAATAAACATAAAGATAGCAGGAAATCACAATAAATATGTAACATCTCATTTGTCTGTATAAATGTATAAATATAAACTTCTTTACACAAACACAACTTTTAACAATAAAGAATACAAAAACACATGCATGAAATGTAAAACAAAAAAATACAAAATATTAAATCATAGTTAGACTGCAAAAATAACAATGAAAATTGAACAGGAAAAAACTTATTTACATAATCGTGTGGAAGAGCGCAGCTGCAAGAAGACACAAGACGCTGAACACCGGAAGGCCCGCTCCAGAACCTAAAAAATAAAAATAAAAATTTATTTATTGCACCTACTAGGAAGATGTGTAATTCAATAAATTTCTTTTAACAACGATGAATTGTCATGATTAAAATCCACTTGTGACGTCACCCTTTTGTTTGAGCTCTCCGTTATTTTTCAGGAATTGAGAGTCGCAAATTACATTGAAAACGGTATTTTCTATGTTCAAATTCTCCTTATTAAGAAAAAACGTGTAGGTAGCGCTGAGAATCGATCCCGGTACCCTCACCATGGTAGTAAGACACTAATCTCACTACGGTTTCGAAGCTGTTGAAGGAAGTTGGATTTATATAATTTCATAACACTTTCCTCGCCTTACTCTCTCTCTCTCTCTCTACATATATATTATAATTTAAATACTACTTATATGTTAAATGTATATTTTCAGTGTATCTTTTTATCCCCTCGCAAAGAACTTGGAGGGGATATAGTAACTCAATCGTGTGTGTGGGTTTGTGGGTGAGTGAGCTAATTCTGTGCGAAACGGAAGTGACGTAACTTGCATCAGAATCGATGTCGAATGCTGCATTGATTTATAGATATGCTCTTTGCGAGGGGATGCTCCGCCTTGCGGTGCCCTTGTATATATTGAATTTCTTTATTATATATTAACTAGAAATATGTCCATAGGACATGAATGCCCCGCTGAGGGTATATTAGTAATGCAACATGAGAGTGTATGAAATTTGATGAGAATATCTTGAATAGTTTCTCTAAAATTGAAATCTAAAAAGTTAGATATAGATGATAAATTCTCCTCAAATTATGCATAAGTGCATAAGCTTACATAAAAATATCTTAAATAGTTTCTTTAAAACTAAACAAAATGCAAATTTAAGAAGTGAGGTCAAGGTCACAGAAAAGTTCAAGGTCAAACGATTTTGATGCAGTTGAATAACTCTCACTTATACATATCAGCATATTAAAGGACTTATAATATCGCATGATCTTTCAAAAATCGTAATTTTATGAAAAATATTATCTATAACCTTATTTATTAAAATACTGAATACAATAAACGTTGTTGAAAGCATATTTTAAGAGATATTGAGAGTTGAAATTCAAATACGACAATATGCATATTTCAGTCGGATTTCGGCGAAATACTGCTCTGACGTCATAGGCGACAATTAGGTGATAGAGAGATGAGAATATGCACACTATTAACGGAGTTATCAACGACAAATGCAGCTAAATTACGAAAAATGCTGAAAAAATTAATTCCTTATATGCTTTACAATTACTATAGAAACATTAATTAGTTCTAAGGTATAAGGCTTTTAAGATATTTTCGTTTTTTATTCAAAACATTTAGAACCTGTAGCTCTAATTACGGCAATGCTTCGTGATCGGGAAATTATTTTTCAAGATCGCCATCCTTTAAAAAACATATGAAGATTTGCATAGATTAATATTATATACAAAACGAAGAATAACAAAGTTATATAATGTTTAATTTGTGAATCAAATAAGTTAATACATGTGATAAGATGACAAATCAAATTGTATTGTTGTGGCGAGTTTCTTCGTCTTCGCTGCGTCTCCCTCGCTATCGTCGCTGCTATTTTTACAATGTTAACAGATTTTTCAGGTTTTCTCTTGCTGACAATTCTAACATATAAGGTTGAATATTTAATTTTATATCGATAAAATAAGTGATTTGGTCGTCCAAAACGCAGAAAATCCAGATTGTATCGCGTATATTTTAGTAAGATTAATGAAGAGCTGATCAGCCATTGTCGCCTTTGACGTCACAGGGACACGTGATCGCTATCTAATTAACTTAGATTTTTAATTTAGGGGTTTTCATTTGAGTCAATAATTGGTTAATTACCGCGATTTATCCACAGTAAAAACAAAGAATTTATAAATTATGGTCATAAGAAACGTAACACGCTTTTAATTTCAAATAATTTAGAAACATGCGATAAGTCCTTTAAGTTTAATAAAAATATTTTGAATGGTTTATTTAAAATTTAGCTAAACACTAATTTAAGAAAAATGAAGTCAAGGTCAAAGGAAATGTCAAGGTGAAATAATGTTGATGCAGTTGAATATCTTACATCAGTATGTATTAGCATATGAATTTTGATAAAAAAAAAAAAGACATGAATGGTTTCTCTATAACTGAGCTAAACACTAATTTAAGAAAAATGAGGTCAATGTCAAAGGAAAGGGCAAGGTAAAAAAAATGTTGATGCAGTTGAATAGTTCTCATCAATACGTATCAGCATATGAAGTTTGATAAAATATCTTGAATATTTCTTTGAAACTTAGCTTTGAACTGAGCTAAAAGCAAAGCAGGACGGAAGGACAGACGGAGGAATGGAAGACGGACATGACAAACTCTATATGCCCCGGCCATATTAATGGCGAGGCATAACAAACAGTAATTACAGGCATTTAAGGCTGGCTTTTAAGCGGGTTAATCTATACTTGTAGAGCTCCATTCCTTAAAAGCAATGGGCCCGGCCTCTTCAGGGCCTCGGCTTCATTACTTTTAAGGAATGAAGCGCTACCCGTGCATTAACCCTAACCTATTGTAGTAAGAAATAATTGTTTTTCATGTATTGTGACATTTAATTATCTTTTTACATATTTATAGAAGAAAACGGCAAAATCAGTAAAAGTGATATTGATGTACAATGTATAAGCCTAATAAATGCTAGCAAACAAAGTGCTATTGTAATAATTGAAAATAATTTGTTAGTTTAAGCGAATGAGCATCCAGGATACGTGTCCTCAACTTGTTATTCCCCTTATCTCAGTACCCCTGTCTGCCATATGGGAAAAGGAGGGGGAGAGGATAGCACATGTGCAGTCGTGAAGTTTCCTGTTCAGTTGGGAAACGACGCTAGTCAGTCAGTCCTGGCCCACCGAATTAACCACATTAGCTTGCCAACAATTTGGGCTCAACTGGTTACCTAGGAACTTGAAGAACAGCGGCAGGATAATAGATGGATCGAGTAAGCCTTGGTTTAAGGATCTCAGATATGGTGGGCAGTAGAGCTGGAATGCATTCCTGCACAGGTTTGTGAAGTTGCCTCGTAGCCAGCAGTAGACCGCGGAGCAGCATGACCAGTTTTGTTTATCTCTTGAAGGGCAACAAGTGAATATTACACCCTTTTGTTACAAAACGAACAGTCATCTCCGCCTTGGCGGCATTTTGCAGAGATTTAAGAAGCGCTCAAATAGTTCCTCTGCACCAGACCTCACCCATCAGCTGAATTTCCAGTCAGCCAGCAAAAATTCTGGGAATTACTTCGACAATAGGCTAATAGGATGTTGACTACGGCTGTACTAGCTGTGCCTAGTGTGCACACGTATACATACCACGTCTGTATTAAGGGACCGAGAATCTGGCCTGTATGATCTTCAATTGATGTCCGTCTCCAGACTGCTGAGGAAGCCATAGAGCGGTTGCAGTACTATTTTGGTCTATTAGGGGGATGAGAGAGTTCGCTACTGGTGAGTATTAGAAATTAAATGATCTTGTACTGAACAAGTTACTTGAAGCTTTAAGTCGTCCTGAGCAGGTTGGAGATGTTGGGGGATGCCCTGAAGCAGAAAGGAAACTGACCCCTTCTGAAATCTAAGAAAGCTGGTACCATACCAACCAGGTGGAAGGGGCGATATCAGAAGTCTGCTGTGTGTTTTAGTGTAAAGAGGTAGGGCATTTCCGCAGAAATTGGCATATCAGGGCCACAGGGAAGTCAGTGGCTTCTATTGGACCGGGAAAAGGCCAAAGTTCAAAGGATTCAATGGTGATAAGCTACGGAGGTCGGTTTCTAAGGAGAAAGAAACACAGACGAGTAGACACAGATCCCAGGAAGTACCATTTCAGACCATGTATGTGTAGACCCCGGAACATCCGCCTAAGGGGACAGACTCGGAATCCAGGAGCTGGGGCTAGCTCTTCCGCTTTTGTATGTAGCGTAGGTGCTAGCAGTGCAGGTTTAGTGTCCATTTTGAATCGCCATTTTGACCCGCCAGCACGTTTCTTGGCTGAGTATTAAATGGACACCATGGAAGAGAAAGAGAGGAACCCCCCCCCCCCCCACTCTGGGGCAAGTGAGCCATGTGGCAAGCCAGACTTGGAACAAAAATATCCAAGGCCTTTGGGTGATTGAATACTTGTACTTTTGACTTTGTCTGAGGAGAAGGAACCCTTTAAAGGGGCCTGGCCCCAGGATCACGAAACATCTTAAGCTTAAGTCAAAATCTTTATGTTGTACTAAAATGTTGTAAAAGTCAAGCAGACCAAAATTAAAATATTTTTCAATGTTGCTATACAAAAGTGTTGTTATCTGCAAATTTAGAGATCAATTCAATAATTGATAAATATTTTAGAGGCAATTGAAAATTTGACTTAAGTCTAAGTCTGTTTCATGATCCTGGGGCCTGGACACAGATTTGAAGTTAATATTTTCTTAAATTTTCTGTATAATATCATGTCTTATAGCATTTCACATGGAAATATAATTAAAGCGTGTTCAGAAACTTATTTCATCTGGAAATTATTGAAACTACGAATTTTGGAGGCGTTTGATTGACACACCCTTGCACTTTCACAAAGTAAACTTTATCCTGAATACTTAAGAAAAGTAGAAAGGATGACTGCACTTAAGGACATGCGAAATTTGCCACAAAATAAACTTTCAAAACATGCATTTTTCTTTTCATTGTAAGAATGGTCAACATCTAATTTACGAAGTTCGAATCTGTTTTCAAAGGCAGGGGTCATCACAATTTCTTGGATCTCCGTTCGATAATTAGGACGCCCACTTTTTTACTGACTTCATACATAGTCAGCGCATGTTTGTCTATTGTTCTACGTTTAATAGTAGTTGTATATTTGCAAAAATAATAATGTGTTTACAGGAGATTAATAAACAAACATGCGCTTATGGTTAAAAAGAGAAAAAACTGCTTCGTCTTACATTCGTTCTCTGTATTGTAACCAAGGGTTGTGACATGTTGAATATTGATTTCTTTGTGAATACTAAATTCCGTCACGTGACTTGTAAGGCACCGGGTGTGTATCAATTTTTTAAACTCTGCACACATCACTAAGCACGGACTGACAATACTGGTGAGCTGGTTTTGTTTTCTCACAATTTTACTCTGAATTTTCTGGATGATACATTTAATATTTTTCATTAATACACAACAAAATTTCTACTTTTCTTAAGTACCCGCGTCCCGATATTCGTAGTTTCAATAATTTCCAGATAAAATAAGTTTCTGAACACGCTTTTATTATATTTCCGTGTGAAATGCTATGTCATGATATTATACAGAAAATTTACGAAAATATTAACTTCAAATCTGTGTAGGTCCCCTTAAACCCATTGGGCAGTTACGCCTTTCTCTAGCTTTACTGTTAGTCTTTAAGTGCAAGGTATTGGGATGAGGGAAGAAGTGTCGACCCAGCTGTATCACCAGCTGGATCCGGAGATATGCCACATGATACAAGCCGAATAAAGCGTCAATTTAAAGGGATTTTTTTTTTATGTTGTCCCAGAGCTCACGTATTGGCAGGCAGTTGCATAAGATAGAAGACAGAACTCTATGGTTACCCTTTACAGGACCTAATGCTGCTGGACATGGAGTTTCCCCGTGCTCTGAAAACACAGGTTGACTTTGAAGATGAAACCAGAATTCGGGGGGGGGGGGGGGGCTTAAGGAGGGGAATTAGGTCTGCTGAGATTCTGGAGGTGACAGTGACTTTGACAGGAGGCACAGCAATCGACGTAAATTTTCATAAATATATGCCTTTCTTGGTAAGGGAAATAGGCTGTGTAGGGTCCTTGGTCTGTCCCGGAAGTAGGATTTTAAATTTTATATTTCTTGTTAATATCAGGGAGAAGGGGGGGGGGGGTTCCAGATTCCCTAACCCCCTTCTTAGATTCCCTTACGGATATCTTATTTGTCCCCTTACCAATCTCTAAATTGTCCGAAGAAAAAAAATAATATGCCCCCTCCAAGGCATCCCAGATCATTAACGTATAAAGCTAAAATTTTCAACATCTTTTTAACCTTTGTTGTTTTAAAAAGTTTTAAGCATTGATATCAGTGTACCAGCTTTTTGATAACTCCTCTAACCTCCATCCCTGGCCCATTATATAAAACATTGGTTACAATTCACGACTTTTGTCATTTTCGACGAAAATATTATTGAATAGTCTTGCCTATTTTTTAAACTCGCATTCCATTCAAGTTTTGAACAAAAGTGGTTTTGCTGTTAGACGAACATGTACTGTACAGTAGTGTAGCTCTGTTGGAGAAGTTTGTGGCTCAGTTGATGAACAATGGATTTACTTTTAGCTTTATATTATCAACTTACATCCACGATCCATCATTCTTTTCTTGATATCGTCCAGTACACTTTGGCCGTCTTCTTTGCAATCATTGTATGCGTTAGTTCTACAAAACAGCTCCGAAAGCAGATTTCTGAAAAAAGAAATAGTTTTTTTTACGAAGCATCATCATGAATGAATAAGTAATATAATAATATTCTATAATTATTGCTGGTTTTGAGGTCAATACGAATGAGGCTCTATCATAGAAAAAGTGAAAATTTACGCGGAAAAAACTTGAACTATCCACCCCAAAAAGAAGAGAATTCTCCAAACTCGAAATTTTATTTTCGAAGGGGGGATGGGAGATTGAGGTGTTAAGGTTCAAAAACTTTGAGAACCAGCCTCATTAAACATGTTATTTACCAGATTGAAATGTAAAAATTTACGTTTAAAAAAGTGTAGGGAGGGAGCAGGCCCCATGCACCCCCACACCCCACCCTAGATTTTATATGCCTAAATATTAATAGCGATTCTCTGTAACCACTTAAACTTCTTTGCCACGCATGGTCACCGATTTTGATGAAACTTTGCCCACTATTACAACTTGACACCAGAAACATATATCAAATAAAATTTCGTTGCTATGTGTCTTGGTTGCCATGGTAACAGCCAGAAAAGTTGAAAAAATTGAGATTTTCAGCTATTTTGAATCTTTATTAAGCCTTAATAAAGACTAAGAAAAACAAACAAACCATTCTCACAAAAACATGACACCTTGTTGCCACTTATACTATAAAGAAACTATTTAAAATTTATATCTAAGTAAGTGGTAACCATGGGTACATATGGAATACATTTTAGATGCTGAAAAATGCTGAAAAACGCTCAATATTCACAAATGATAGATGTTACATGATCAAACTCAATCAACAACTTCAGAAAAACAATAAAAAATACCTGACCTTAAGTAATTAGGTATTGGCAATATTATTCAAAAAATAACTTTTATGGTTGCCATGGTAACACAGTGTTACCATGCAAAATCTGTTGCTATGATTGGGTTAATGCTACTATCTTGAGGAAAAACAATAAAATTCATGACTGGCACATATACATCCTTAGGACCTTGCAACACCAACAACATAAGAAAAATTGAGATTAATTGTTTTTCTGCAGTGTAACCATGGAAACAACTTACTAGTTGTTTAAAGTGATATGTTTTTTGCTGCTTTCTGAATTTACTTACCTTTTAATCAAGAAACATATTATTTGACTAACCTTGAATAGTACTTATCTGGTAGAACTAAAGTTGAATATCATATATTGATAAAGTTTGTTGAAAAATACAACACTGTTGCTATGGTTACCAAGAAGTGAAAATGTTCGATTTTGTTAATTTTATATCAATATTAAACCCTATGTGCCAGCTTTTTGCATCCAGTTAGAGATTGGGTGGTAGTCAAAATTGAAAGTCAGGTTAGTTATTCATAAATATCAATCATAAAAGTTTTGGGAATCTACATACAAGGGTACGTATCCAAGGAAACATAATATTTTTCACATTTTTAAGCATATTTTTTCGGCTAATTTCCATAGCAACGCTCTATTTAAAGAATTAAATTTGAAATTTTTGAAATGTGAAAATTAGGGTCACACCAACGCCTTTAAAAATTGATCATCAGTTATATAGAAATATGTTTTTTAAAAAGATAGGATAAGATTGAAACACTAAGAGAACAAATTCAAAATCCCTTCGTGGTATTAAAACCATGGCAACCATTGCCAACCCATAAGAAATATCATATTTCGTCCTTGGCATATGTTTCAAGGATCTTTTGTCTATTATTTGCTTGCTTTTCAACCTATAATTGTTTTTATTCTGATGTGTATGACTTTTTAAAATTAAATGAACAAAATTATTACTTTTGAATACTTTGTTTCCATAGTAACGTATATAATGGTTGGTTTACCAAACAAGTTTATCAAATATTTAAGACACCAGACCTTCAATTTTCAGAAACAGTCATTACCACTTGTTTTCTTTGCCGCAAACGTTAATTGTGGGACTCTGAACATGTTGAAAAATGCCATTTTTCAAACTTTAGGACGTGTTGCTATGGAAACCATGACACGTAGCAACCAATTTTTGCCTGATTTGAGTTTAAGGTATCAAAGACTTTTATCATAGAGAGTTTGGAGAAATTCTGAGACTATGTGTGCCGCTCTTATATAAAAGTTCAAGTCATTACAGAGAATGGCTCTTAAAAGTTCACTGTATTCTTGACACAGCTTTGCCAGAGCTACTGCAAATCATCAGTAATTTGCAGAATACCGAGCAAATGTTACGAAGGTTAATGCAAGGACTATAAGTTTACTTGGGCGACACTAAGGTTTATATTGAAACGTGATCTTTGACAACTGAGAAAAGACATTGCATGTCTCATTAGCATTAATGCAAGAAACTGAGAGCAGTTAAGACTGGAAATGTCCCCCTCCCTCAAATATCTAAGGAGAGAAAGTTAAATTAATTATAACAGTTCATTAGTTGCATTGACAGTACCAATTACCTGTTTTGTTAGCAGAAATTTTTCAAACAATACCTTTTTTCTACCAAATTTTTAGACCAAAGAAAAAATTTCATCCTTACTTAAAAATTATTTTTATTGCGTTTGTTCATTTTATTTTTAGTTTTCTAACCCACTGCTTGCATTTATTTTTATTTGTATTTCTAACCCCCCTCCTCCCCCCCCCCCCACCCCCGATCAGTGTTTCTGAGGAAGATGAAAGTATTCACTAGTATTAGTAGATCAATAATTTTCGCCACACCTAATTTTCGCTAGATAGTCATTGACTCTTTATTAGCTGCAGATCAGTAGCTCGCTGGTCTGAAAAAAAATTGGGATGAACGACCAGAGAGCTACAGTGCCACCCATTGAAAAGAGTGTATATTTAGTGCGCTGTTTCTCAATTTATTTCTCAGTATATTTAAATTACCATCTCAAAATATTAAGAAACATGTGATCCTTAGATATTTTTTTCATTACTTTCTCAATAAAACATTCCTCAAAACCGTTGTAAATAGCCCTCCTGGACCTGAAATTGAGACCATCGAAAATTTCGATTATTTATACTTCCATCTTGGGTGGCATGACAAGTCGGTCCAACGCGCTTCGTACATGACTTTGACATACAGTTTTGTTGTGGAAATAGTCAAAGAATATGTTAGGAACACACAGTTATTAATATTTTTATATATATACTGAGAAATAAATCCAGAAACAGTGTTCTTTTTGTGTGCGCAATAAACACACTTTTTTCACTGTAGCTCTCTGGTCGTCCATCCTGATTTTTTTCAGACCAGCAAGCTACAGATCTGCAGCTAACACTTTATTAGCGAGACAAAATTTTCACCAATTGTGGTTAATGCTCTATATAAATTTTAGAGATACTAATATACGCAAGAATAAATTTTTTGCGAGCACACTGTCTCGCGTAATTACGCGAAAATAAAGTTCTCGCGAATAAAAAGTGATTTACAGTAGTTCACAAATTGCAAACTGTTGGGTGCCGGTGTAAAGACGAATAATGACCCCCATAGAATAATGACCGGGGGTCATTTTTCGACGTCGAATATTAACCCCCGGTCATTATTCAACGGCGAAAAATGACCCCCGGTCATTATTCGACGTCGAAAAATGACCCTTTTGCCCGTAGAAAAAGTGTCATAACCCTAAAAACCTGCATACCCTACGTGAAGAAAAATGACCCCCGTAGAATAATGACCCCTTGTGAATTAGAACGGATTAAAGTTGAAACTTTTAGGGGGCAAAATAAAAATAATAAATCAAGGGCCAAAATGCTCACTTGAGCTTCATTGGGAATAAATCGATGATATATTGATCTCATTACATTATACAATCATTGCTGTTTTTAAGGTCAATTTAATGATTCAGAATCAAGTGGAGTTAAAGATTTATTGAGTACAAAAGGCGAGGAGAGCATTTGTGACGGTACATATTGTCGTTTTGTACATATTGTCGTCGGCGACAATATGTACCTATCCTCACTGCACATATTGTCGTCCATCGGTAAATATTGTCGCCGGCTGAAAAGTAACACATGTACATATTGTCGCTGGCGACATTATGTGCCTCACCCTCACTGTACATATTGTCGCCCCACAGATATTGTTGCTTAAAGACTTCTTTTGTTGTTTTTTGGTAGTTTTGTGAATGTAATTGGGGTGTATATCACACTGACGTGTCTCGTATGCTATTTCATGCAGCGTGATTTTGACGGTACATTTTGTCGTCTTGTTCATATTGTCGCCGGCGACAATGTGTACCTACCCTCACTGTGCATATTGTCATCCATCAGAACATGTCGCATCACAATGCACGGCAATGATCCATATAAATATGGCCAGAGAAACTATAAACTTCAAAAATGGCCATATACACTAAATGTTCTCGTCAAAATATGGCTGAAATATTGCCAACTCGGTGTTAAACAACAATATACAGTTAAGGTATATCATTGAGGGAGTTAGCAAGATTTCAGTTCCCCAAGGCCAGGACTATTTTCCGAGGCGAAGCCTCAATGATTTACTTTTAACTGTTTTATTAACCGATACAAACGTAAAATTTAGAGGATTCAGATAGCGCGATTTCAAAGCAGGGATTAGGTCAATGAACTAACACACGGGGATTAGTCCATTCACATATAATACCAACTTTAATGTAAAACCTAGAGGATTACGGATAACCGGGAATTAGCTTTCGAAGCGGGGATTAGCTCACTTGACTTACGTACGGGGATTAGTCCATTCTTTTAAAATGATTTCTAGGGAAATTGTCACATCTAGCGATCTAATGTTATATAGGGAAAAATTCAGTAGAGGTATAATAATAATAATCAATCAATCAACAATCCATATAAATATGACTAACCATTGCTTTGTTTTGCTCTGTTGCATTGCCTTAATCTCTTTTTGAGAAGATAATTATTAAAGAATTATATTCCTATGTAAAAAATTGATCGCTTATTGTGGCCCAAACCTAGGCCCGGTTTGATATGAAGATGCTTGAATCTGCGCTACCTGAGGAAACTTCCATATACCTATCACTATTCACGGGCTTACTGCTGTTCTCAGTGGTGGATCCAGACAAAAGAGAGGGTGGTTCAGAATTTTTTTTGACAAGCTAAAAATTTTTTAAAAAGTCATTTGCATGTAAAAGTGTGTTACTGTATATGTTAAGTAAATTATTGAAATATGAAATTTTATCTGTGGACTAAATTGAGAGTATATACAATTTAAACAAACAGAATTTACCAAAGCAGACAAAAAATTAAACCGGGGGGGGGGGGGGGGGGAGGGGGGGATGCGCCGGTCCTATATCTGTCTGGTTTATGAGATTTTTAAATATTTTCTGTATATATTCCTATGTAAGACTTTAATCACCCATTGTGATCCCAACCTATTCCATGGGGTCATAATTTGAACAAAAATGATTTTGTCTTTGTTTTTATAATGACCATCTAGAGATTTTTTTTTATTCGTAGACGTCACCACTTGCCGATGGAGGGCTGCAAAGAACTGCAAACTATAGTATTGTTCTCCCTCCTACCTCCAAGTCATTTTTCAAAAGTTAACATATTTGAATGATTTTTCATATCTATATAGATATTCATATGAATTTTCATAAGACATTACGTCTTTGGGAAAACAATGAGAGATAACTCTAAAATTTTGGTAAAACTTGTGATTTTTCACTATAGAAAACAACGGAACCCCCCCCCCCCCCCCGTGAAACAAAATTCCTTTTTACAGGTAATATGGACTGTCCTTTCACAAATTCATACCAAAGCTTTTGTTGTTTCACGGGGGAAACATATGTTTACAGACAAAAAATTACCAAAAATGGTTTGTTTTTTTTTACCAATATCATTTGGGTTTACAACTAAAACATTGTATTTTATTAATAATATATGTTTAATTTAATATGAGTACTACATAAGAAAAGATCTGAGGAAAATTTATTCATATCCAAGAATATTTTAAAACGTGGTGATGCTTTAAAGCCCGATTTCAATGAAAAATATCGTCTACCCCCCTTATTCAAAGAGCTGGAATTAGGGGTAAATAACTATTTAACACTGGAATTAAAATTACTATTGAACTGTTCTTTGCATTCAACAAAGATTTTACGGCCAAATTGTCATTAGTATTGAATTAAATGGGTGTAAAATGTAGGCGGGAATCGAGAGCTAGCGTGTGTAGTTCTTTAGATCTATGCTTGGCACTCATGGTCATTGAGCAGTTAGGGATTTTTTTTCGTGCCAGCTATAAAACGCTATAAAACGAAGCTTTCACATAAGTATCATCTCTTCTGACCCAGCACAAAAAATGAAGGATTTTTTTTTCTAAATATTCTTTGAAAAAAATTTGATCACCTATTGTAGCCTCGAGGGACATGATCTGAATACATCTAAAACTGAATCTACAAGTCATAATGAAGCTTTCACGTAAGTTTCATCATTTCTGACACAGTGGTGTTTGAGATTTTTAAAAGATGTCACTAAATTTTTACTAATCCTTAACTTCTTCCCTTGAAAGAGGGCCTGGCCCTTCATTTGAACAAACTTGAATCCCTTTTATCCACTGATGCTTTGTGGCAAGTTTGGTTGAAATTAACCCAGTAGTTCTTGGGAAGAAGCTGAAATTGTGAAAAGTTTACAGACAGAGGCACGGTCAGACAAAATGCGATCAGAAAAGCTCACTTGAACTCTAGCTCAGGTGATCTAAAAATGTGAACCTCAACACCAATTATTCTGCATATGATTGTATATAAGAAAAACGCAAAATTAATTTCCAAAAAAATCATTACTACTGAACAAAAAAACTAATACGTGTATTCAATCTCCCAAGTATATTTTACAAGAAAAAAGAATAGGCTGATTTATCAGATGTCTCAAAGAATTACGGTATTTTGACATATCATAGTGATGTACATCAATCCTGGACACAATTTTCTGCCCAGAAAGTTTTCTCCCTACAGTATTGTTAGAAATGGTGTTTGTCTCCCTCCGTGCGCGCGTGTGTGTGTGTTTGTAAATCTCTCTTTCCTTTCTCAATTAAATACTAGTATTCGTGAAAACAATATATCGACGACAATATATGCCGACCTTGACTGTACATATTGTCGCCGACGACAATATGTGCTGGTGCTTGACTGTACATTTTGTCGTCCATTATGCAGGAAGAAAATAAGGCTCGTCTCGGTACATATTGTCGCCGGCGACAATATATACCGATGGACGACAATATGTGCAGTGAGGGTAGGTACATATTGTCGCCGACGACAATATGTGCAAAACGACAATATGTACCGTCACAGCATTGTTTTTCGATGGTGGAAAATCACTGATCGTCCTGACAGAAAAATAGCAATAATTGTTTTATTATATGATTCAACGATTAAATTGATACAAACTGATTACGCAGACATGTCAAGTTTCTTTACATTTGCTCAAGTCTAACCAAACACAGTGAAAGAATAGGAGTTAACATAAGCATAACCAGTATTATTTTTGCATTTGAAATGTAGTTTTGGTGCAATGTAGAAAAAATAAATGTCGGGCATAGCATCGAAAGGGGAAATGGCGCATTATAAAAGTCAAAAAATACTTTTAGTTAAAAATATCTTTGATGAACCCCTCAAAAAGTTTATTGATGTAAGTGGAATTTTCTTTTACTCTATTGTATCAAAAAGTTGGGGGTAGGACAACCAGACTTGCAATGACCATTTTCAAGCGAAAAAATAAAAAAGAATACCTTCATGGAAATGGAAGGGGGTGGACACCCCATCCCTGATTCTATATGCCTGAATGTAATGTTCATCTTGTTCACCCAAGTAGGAGAGATTTTTTAACTATACTGTATAAGAAAGAGGGGGTGGTTACAAGACTTTTAATGAACATTTTCAAATTAGAAATTGCTAAAACAATCCCTCCCTCTTCTCCGATTCTTTGTGCCTGAATATTATGTTCACTTGAGTAGAATTCAGATGCAGGTGAAATAACTTTTCAGAATTGTTTTCAATCTATTTTTAGTTTAATGTAGGAAAAATAAATCCTTATACATGTATTCCCCTTGAAGGTCAATAATATAGTCTTGTCTTTAATTATAAATTGAAAACATTAATCTACTTCAATATATACTGTATTGAAAATGTTTCCATATTGATTTGACAAATGTATCACTGTTTTAAAATTGATTAAAAAATATTCCTCTTACATGTATGTATCATATTCTCAGACGACCATGTTAACAGACTTGATTCTCCTGTATTACTTCTATATACTTGAAAAGAAATTCCCATAGAGTAGACCACTGTTTATAAATAAAATTGAATGCACATTTTAAGATTGTATATATTTCAGACATGCAGAAATTTTATGTCCTTCTTATGATTGCCACGTCTGCTTCATATTTGGACGTTCTACTGACTATAGACCATAAAGACCAACTAACAACTAAATTGTCTGAATGGGATGACTTCAGCCTTTTCTATTGTCAATTTTCCTTATTTATGAAGTAATATTCTGCAATCATTTGCATATAATGTTTACGTCTACCAACTTATTCGATACCCAAGAAAACGATTAATTTTTAAATCGAGACAGGCTACTGACAGATACATGTAAATTGATGTTACAGGGGTTTCAACAACCTCGTTTAAAGTCAGCATTTCGTAGATTTAATGGTCGTATCAATGACCCTGTCAACAAATAAAACCTATAATTAGGTCAATTGTTTGGCCCTTGTTTTTATACTAAATTCGACAACGGAATGTCCCTTTACCTGATTTATTCAGAGCTCTCACGGCGGGTGTGACGGGAAAACAGGAAATGCTTACTCTTTCTAGGCACCTGATCCCACCTCTGCAATTTTCGGGGGTCCTTTTTTATGCCCTGTTAACAAATTTGTACTCATTGTGGATATTTTAAAATCATCACTGTTCGTTATCTTCACCACTTTTTATTAAGAAATATATATATCCACAGTATGTCGTTCGCACGAGTTATTACGTCATTTTCGATACATTCTACCTCATTTGCACGACTTTTTATGTCATTCAAAATTTACATATATAATACATTGCATAACTTTCCGTATTTATTTCTGAAAACTTATCTCATTCTTTTTTTCCCTTCATTTTTTTTTTAAAAAAAAGGTTGATCCTACTCAAAGCATGCTGATTACTTTGGGAGACATGTTTACCAATGAAAAGCCAGAACATCCCGCTTGTCTGTTATTTAGCTATGAATGTCTATAATCAGTCAAATATCCAAATATGAAACAAATGGAAGACAGTCATAAAGGGAAATTACGTTATCAGTTATAGCCATTTTGCGATTTTCAATATGTGCTGAGAACACAATAGGCTTAAAAGATAGAAATATGCAGGTAAATGTAATGCGGTTTTATTGCATTTTAATTGCGCGTTCGTCCAGTGTTGGTCAAAAAAGGCATAAAGAAGAATATCAAACATTGAGGTTCAAACCTTGGCATCAGTCACCGTTATAAATTTTGTACATGCACTCTGTTGGAAAGGGGGTCATTTTTCAACGGGAGTCAATTTTTTATAGGACGCACACATAAAAAATTGACCCCTAGGTCGCTTTTTCTACAAAAAATTATTTTTTTCTACGGGTGGGGGGTCATTTTTTGTCGTTGAAATATGACCCCCGGTCATTATTCTATGGGGGTCATTATTCGTCTTTACACCGGACGTACTACAAGTGACACTCTTTGCATGTAGCTACTTTAATGAACCATATATACTTTTAAATATACCTGCACTCAGAGTTACTGAAGGGATTGAGTTTTTTGATTTCATCAGATATTCCATTTACCAAACCACCATTCGAGGGAGAAGAGCCACAGTTCTTGGAAGAAACACATGGGCTATCTTGAGTCAGAGTACCTGGAGAAAACAAATGAAAATAGTCTACAAATGTTTAAACAAGAAGTCAATGAACCATAAAGTAACCTAACTCACTCAACCCAACCAATTTTTTTCAATAACATCAATCAAATTTAGTGTCCTGGTTTGTCTGTGTGTTTAGTTGAAACTGACCCGGTTCTGGAGCAGAAGATGAAATATTGAAAACTTTACAACGACGACACACAACGGACAAATTTCGATCAGAAAAGCTCACCTGAGCCTTAGGCTCAAATGAGCTAAGAGCGGTAGAGTGATATCAATATTTCCAGTACAGATATAACATACTTGAGTATATATATATATATATATATATATATATATATATATATATATATATATATATATATATATATATATATATATATATATATATATATATATATATATATATATATATATATATTTAGATTTAGATTACTTTATTTTGTAAACTTAAAAATAACTCTGAAAACCCTAGGGGGCGGAACACCTCCCTCTAGATTCCGAATATGAAGGTTTTACTTACTCTCGTGCATGTTTGCTGAAAAATTGACTTCTATTCTTAACATCTGAAGATTTACACGATATGTAAAAATTCCAAAAAAATTAAGGTAATTCAAGACAAATGGTCCATGGGCCAATACGTTCACCTGTGTAAATTTGGCCCTCCATTTTTTTTTATTCACAAAATTAAAGGAAAATATTTTCCACCTTTATTCACATGAAAACATTTTTATCCATGTTGTGGTCCCTCCATAGCCCCAAAGGGACTTGACGTAACCTACATTACATGCAAATCATCACATCTTGAGGATACTTCGATTCAATATTATTATGACTTGTATGGCCTTGTTCTTTAGCAGAAGAAATAGTAAGTCGTTAGGTAAAAACTGCTTCCTGATTTTCAAAATTTCATTATGTCTTAATTATCTCTCCTTGGAAGAGTATTCAGCCCTTAAAGAAAAATTATACAAACAAGTTAAATTGATGCATGCAAACATCAAATCGGCCGCAAAAATGTATTAATTTAAGTATTTTAAGAAGAGCCCAAAACAAAAATTCAAAGTAGAGAAAGTATCTGGTACATTTTTTTTTATCTGCAAAATAGTCACTTGCTTCACCTTTTCTGTTCATTTTTTATGCTTAACTTTCAGTGATAAAATCAAATTAAATTAATTTTATGGAAATAAAAATCAGACAGGGATGTCTTACCATCAAATTATTTGATTCAAAGATAAATTCTGCAAATATCTAAAATAATTAATAATGAATTTCTGAATGCTGACAAAAAAGTACGTTCAAACTTCAATTAATGATATATGTACCACATGTACAATAAATATGAAGTGTATAAAAAATCATCGTTTCTTTTAAAACTTGGTGTATTCAAACTAAAGTCACTTCTTAAAATTTTTACAATTTATTAATTATTTAATGTACTTCATATCCAGAAAATTAATACGTTTTGGTTTTTATATCTTACGCGCCCGTGTTGGGGAGCAGTTCATGTAACAACTTGTTAATAAAATCATAAATAAATAAACAAGAAAACATTGATGTTCATGCAGTTGCCATCGCCCTGGAAAAAAAATGAAGTAAAATTCCTATATTCTTAAATTTAGTCTTGAGGTTAGGTACCAACGCCATCATTTTTTTTTTTTTTTTTTTGTGATGATAAAACTGAAGTGAATGGTCTTTTTTCATTTATAGTCCTAGAGTTTAGACTGTCAACACCCGTTAATCAAGCAAATTGATCTCCCAGATCAGATTGAAATCAATTGATTTTATATAGTCCTGTATTTATAACTAAGAAATTACTATTACTACTTTATACGTGCATGGACATACCCTTGACCTTTAGACCTCAAAATCACTCATGAGTTGAGTGTGGAAAATCAAAATATTTAACAATGGAAATAAGTCTTGATCATCAAACCACTTCGATTTGTGTGTTAAAATGCACTTGTGACGTCACTCTTTTGTTTGAGCGCTCCATTATTTTTCAGGAATGGAGAGTTGCAAATTACATTGAAAACGGTATTTGCTATGTTCAAATTCTCCTTCCCGTGCCTCTAGAACTTAGAAAATTTCATAGAGTTTATTTTCATTTTAAGAAAAAAAATCATATTGGTACCGCTGAGAATCGATCTAGATACCCTCACCTTAGTCATGATGGTAGGTAGACATTCATCTCACTACGCTATCGACGTTGTTGACAGGTGGCGGATTTAAATTTCATTATTATACTTCACTCGCCTTACTCTCTCTCTATATGTATTTATTAAATACTACTTATATGGAACGTTACTTATACATTAACCCTAAAATAATGTATCAGTGCATAAGCTTACATGAAAAATATCAAGAATACTTTGTTTGAAACTGAACTTAGCAAAAATGTGAGGGCCATTTTTTTTTAAGGACAAAAAATTTGGTGAAGTTGAACTGATTTCTTCAATATGTATAATCAAATGGGGTTTGATAAAAATATCTTAATTTACTTCTATAAAAACTAAGCTAAACACAACTTTAAGAAAAGTGAAGTTGATGCCATTGAATAGCTCTCATATGCATAATCATATAAAGTTTGATCAGATTAGCGTTCCACTGAATTTATACAATCGGCTGACAATATCAATTTGACTGTACCTTTGAAGCTGCTGATCAGAATGGCCATAAAGAATAATGCATCAACATAGAATCTACCTAAAATCGCCATCGTTTTTTCTTTGCAACTGGTCGGGGCCTCCTTATACAACAGAATGAGTTATTCGGAAACTCTAAATCAAGGTGGTGTTCGAAAAGCACGCATGAGTACTTCTCATCAAAAGCGTGGCGTTATTGTTCACTGAAATCGGAATAACTAATAAAGCAAGCCAAGGTGTGACAACGTGTTTATCCTCTTGATTTTTTTACACGGTCGTTATTTTGTCACGAAGTTTTCTGTACTCTCTCTCTCTCTAAATATATGTCACAGTAAATATGTGTATAATCAGTAATTTCACGTATTTCTTAAATTTTAGGAAATTTTATCAAGTGAAATACCCATTCTGCACAGGAATAATTGTTTCATTAGATATGAAGTAAAGCATTTGCTAAAATTAATTTTCCAATACTTTTAACTGCCGGTAAAGTGCGAACCAAGAAAATATAAGATTCGGAAACTCTTAACTATATAAGCACCTGTCTGTAAATTTTAAGGTTAAAAAAATTATATTTTTTAAAAAGTCAAATTAAAATCAATTTACATAGAGCAAATAGTTCAGGGAATAAAATTGCTTTCACCAGACACGTAGTATCGTTATAGAAAGGGGGAGGGGAGTAAAAAATTTCAAAACTCAAAAATCCAATGGGGGGGGGGGGTAAGGGGGTGTTAAGATCTAACTTCTGTGCACAACCATATTTTCATACATTATTTATCGATTACATGATTTAACGATGCTACAACAAAAAGTGATGCACCAACCTGCCTTTTAATGTTCATTTCAATAGTAAAAAAAACTATGCTTGAAAAAAAGTGGGGGGCAGCTCCCCCCCCCCCCCACCTCACACACGATACTACATGCCTGTTCATAACCGAAAACAGCTCGACATCGAAACATTACATGTAAAACGCTGTTAAGCTCGTATTTTTCTTATACTCGCATCCGAATGACACGTATAGGGCTAGAAGACTTACTGAGTATTGTGCAAGTTTGTGGACAAATGAAATTTAATTAATATGATATAAACCTTATTCAAAATACTAAGGGGACCAACATTGTGCTTTGAGTAAACAATTTCGAAGGAATTCTGCAATACCTAGCAAAGTCATTTTGTAGGTGCTACAACTGGTTTCTGTAAAACATTGATCATACAAGCCATTATTTATTTGTGCAGGCACTTAGTATATGGGGGAGGAAAAGGACGCCCCCCCCCCGCTATTTTCTAAACAGAACATTTTACTGTTGAAAATGTTTCCTTAATGTCTCCTCCATTTAATGACCCCTCCATATTTTGTTGCAGTATAGTAAAATCAAAGTTATAGGAACTAAGATTGTCAAGATTGGGCAATTTTCCTTTGTTTTGTTTTGCTTGACAAATTTTTTTCTTAAAAAAACCCCTCCCAACGGAGTTGGAGGGGATATTATATCGCGCTTGTGTGTGTGTGTTGGGGGGGGGGGGGTATTAGTTTGTCCTTTGTGCGAAAAGGAGTGACGTAATTTTTTCAGGAAAGTTGTCTGCTCTCCCCTTTCTAAACGATACTGTAAATGCAATACTAGTAACTGGTTTATGTCTCTGAGATTTGGTTTATGTAAATTAACGTGAAAAAAATGAAATTATTAATACTTGCTTGATAAAGGATCATAGTTTTTATAGTTTATATCATTTTGATTCAAGCAATACAAAGCGTTCAATTCTTTTTAAAGATATTGTGTTTTTAACTAAATTATTTTAATTCCAAATGGATATACGGTATATGACACCAAATAATCCAAAATGCACTAGTGCTTATATACAAATATTGTGATGACTTAATTTTTCGTCCAAATGACTATAAAGATTTAAAAAAAAAAATAAACGAATGCATAATGGAAATATTTTTCATTTGCAATATTTGTTATTTCAGAGCACACTCTTTGCTTCTTTAGTATTAAATTGCGTTTAATTAAAGCTAGTTTTATTCACTAACATGTCCAATAAGTAGTCCGTTTTACGTCCCTCTCGAGAATTTTTCACTCATATGGAGACGCCACCACTTGCCGGTGGAGAGCTGCAAATTTTGACCTATGCTCGGCACTCAGGGTCATTGAGCGTCATAGAGCAGTGAGGGATCTTTTCCGTGCCAGCACCTACTGCGACACGGGACCTCGGTTTATATGGTTATTTGAAAGACCGGTCTCCACGTCCCACAGTGGGATTTGAACCGCGACGTAAGGATCAACTCTTTACTCCGCGACTCTAGAGCAATCGAGAGCAACCACTGCCCCACGCGGGCGACCACTTACATGGCATGATATTATGATATTCACCAGTTGTACATAAAGAGTTCATCCTGATAAGTATAAAGCCAGTGCTTGTTTTCTTGAACATTAAGAGCAAAAATTGGCAAATAAACAACATGAGTATTATTAACAATCCACTTTTAACACCGACAACCCAGGGCGTTATTAAGAGAAATGTTGATCAGATAGTCCTTCTGAAGTGGCAGATCATGTGGATGCTCCTAGACCACAGAGCAGAGAGGAAGAAATTATGTTGACAGTCTCAATTTCTATCCATAAAGGCAGTGTAACATCAATGGTACAGTCACAATAGGGTATCGTGGAACCTTCCATATGGTCATATGCTTAATGCAATGATCTGTACTGATGTTCTATGTTGTCAGACCAGCAATCCTTGAGATGTTCTTTTACTTCTATGGATGTTCAACACCACAACAATACTCAATTCTTAAACTCTACGAAGGTATAAATTTATATTCTTCATCCGTGGACAACAATGAAAGAATATTGAGGATGAACAAAATAGGGTAACCTATGTATAAGGCGGTGAACTATGGGAAGAAAGTTCTGGCCACATAACTGACAAAATTCGATATAAATACATGGAACATACACTGTCTGTAACAATCACAGACTGGAAATGGTACTGAAATTTTGGCCAGGGGCGTAACTGAAAACATCTCTGTTCCGAAATACTAGTACAAGACCTTTTCAAATCTGATGCAAGATTGTAGCTGCAAATGTGTTACTCACTGGTCTGAAAAATTGGGAATGGTTTACCAATGAGCCACAGATCTGCAATTGGTACGACTGGAGAATCTTAACGAAATTTTAAGATGTACACCATATTACCAAATTTGCTGCAACTTCACCTTGTATTCTAGGTCCCTGTAGTTGTAAAAGCAGTGGGAAAAATGAAAAATCAGCAGCTCAGATTCGATCATTAATATTTATTCTTAATAGACAAATCTGTCTCTGGCAGCTCATTGAACGCCACCCATCCATGGAAGTCTGAAGCTCATTTATTAAAGCACCAAAACGAGGGAAAACGGAAGGAAATTCCATGCGGTGTTTCTATAGCGCCACAAGATACATCCAAAATCTCCTCGGACTTGAGATTTAATTATTAAACACAAACTGCCTCTAAATGTATGATTAAAAGTTTTATTGGGTTTTGAATATGTTTACATTATGAAAATTCATATAACTTCAATAAGACACAGCAAGCATTATTTCTATTTAGCACTTTTTGCAAATGGACAATTTTCTACAACACAAAAAGTTACATATATATTGCTATTACCTTGACATGTTTGACTAGAAACAAATCAACTGGCATTTAATTTTCATTTTAAATATTATGCAACAAATCTCTTATTATACATATGATAAATTTCCATGAATTCTTTCTAAGGGGACGACTATTTGATTCTTGGAAAGGGGGGGGGGGGTGAGATTATTTACAAAGAAAGATTATTTTCAAGAAAATCGATGAAATATTAATTTTCTTCATTGAAAAAAGTTTGTTGACAAAAAAAGGAAGAAAAGAAGGAAACTGCAAAACTCTAAAACTCTATTTATTTATTTATTTTGGGGGGGGGGGTAGTATCACCATACAAGGACAGATTATTCATTTTCTTGCCAGTTCAGGACAGATTATGTGTTTCAATATTTTCAAGGACAGATAATTTATTTCCAAAATCTACTAACGCCCCTCCCCCGCTTCAGAATCAAATAGTCGTTCCCTAAGTTTCCCTGTCGTTCCACTAGGCATGGTGCACTGCAGATGTAAGCCGGGAAACACAGCTTGTTTTCTTATTTCTAGAAGGTACTACACCAAGAGAACATGTACAACAGCACCAAACTTTCTAAACATAGACAAATGGTCAAGCATTGAAAAAGTCACACATGTAAATAACTTTCTTTAAATCACATTATCTTGTATATTATTAACTGAATAAAATCTGTATTAGTTCTTAATAAATCTGAGGGTGGTCACATAAAATTAAGCTTGGTCACTGTATACCAACTATAATACGCGACATTCTTTTTTCGCGAACCGCAAATCAAAAAACGGTCCGCGATGAATAATAGGTTTCCTACATTGTATTTTATAAACGTTTTAAAGTCTAAAATTATTTAACAACCATAGGAATCTCGATGACATTTCGTGCACGCGTATAAATGTCGATTTAGAGTATTTCTGGGATCCTAAGCTGTGGATGTGTTTACATTTATATACATTTAAATCACATTTACAACAGTTTTTATTATTATTATTAATAAATAAGTATTCTGGGGAAATAATACATAACAGATTGGATAAAATGAATAACAGCAATTTTGGCTGATGATGGATGTTGGAATTCGTTGTGACTATTCTGACTCAGAATACTGATCTGTTTCCAGCGGATCAGAATACACAATTTAACAAATATAATAGTTAATATAAGTATATAAAATAACCAAGTTGTAATATACAGTTAATGTACTTAAATTACAAAACCCAGTCACAAAATAAACAATACAACATTCTACACCCACTATCATTTTAAACCCTTTTATATGTTTATCCTTTTGGGGGTGGGGAGTGGGCCGGGGGGGGGGGGGGGTCCTTTATAAGTACCAGAGAGCTGCTATGTCTTAATATTAACAGGGTAAACATTAAGGGTATTATTTTTGTAAGGATAATACAGGGCTCTAATTGGCGACTAATTTAGTTGCCATGGCGCCTAAAAATTTTGTTTGGCGCCTAAAATTCCTCTATAAGTCGCCAAATGGCGACCATTTTAAATTGACTTGGCGATCGTCAAATTTTTGAACTATCAATTTAAAATTTTCAACATTTTTTTTTTCTTAAGAGGAGGAAAGAATTTTAAAAGTTAGCAATGGACAGGTGTTTTTTCAATGGCTTGAGACGATGGAGTTTTACATGCATGCTAAAGTTAAAACCTTTTGGAATTTAGCTGGCTTATATTTTTTCTTTACAATTGCAATATAACCCCCCCCCCCCGTGAATTACCCAATGGTTTCGTATATTGCTTTTAAAGTTGGCGCTTAAAAAAAATTTGCCGGCGACTAAAAATTTACATTGCCGACTAAAATTTTTTTTGATTAGGAGCCAGCTTTAGAGGTCACTTAGAGGCTTGTTTAATAATTTCTACACATGAATTTCTGGAAGCGAGTCAACATCTTGAATATGCTACACATAGCTCATTATACTACTTTAAAGAGTAAGTAATTGTGTAACTGTAAATCTATATAATCTATCATGTACCAAGAAACCGCTTTATCTACAAGTTCGCTCATGAGAAAAGGGCATATTTTCAGTGTGCAAACACCCCCCTTTCCCACTTTTGGGTAATTAAGACATTAATGTATAATAAAAGATCTCCACAGATATGAATGGTATGGTTTGCCATTTAGTGATATTCTGATAAATGATATTTTATATTGATTTTCATATTGAGTATGTGATATCACATATTTGTATTGTTATTCCTGTCAAGCAATATTTAGTTAAAAGATATTTCAAATATACCAAAGATATCACACATTTTTTTTTATTTCACTTAAAAAGAAAAAAAAAACTCCAAGAAACTGAAAAAATTTCTACTGCTAGGCCACTGACTCTGATAAACAATAACCAATAACATTCTGGTTAAAAAAAAACAAAAAAAAAAATTATGAATTGTATGCAGCATTTTGTAATCAAAGGAGTGGCTATTAATTCAAATATAATTGAAATAACTGATGTCATCTATTAAATTAAGTAATATCACTAAATTCTATGCAAATCTGTGATATTACCTATTTGAATTAGTGAAATAACTTTTTAATTTCTAATAGAGGAAATTAATAGATGAAACTGGTTATAAATATGTATATCACTTATTTGAATATGGATTGAATGAATCACATATTGAGATATCACATATTAAATAGATGATATCACCTAGGTACCTGAATTGTGATATCACTAAATGGCAATAAATTCCAAGAAAGCACCTCAAAATTTTGCACATTTTAAAATACATGTACTTATAATACATACTGTGTCATGACATTTCAAATATTAACAGTACTACAGGTATATTGATTACATTACATGTATATAAAAAAAAATCTGATTACATAAACATATATCTGGAAAAAAATAAAATACTCAATTGAATCTTAAATACATGTATTTTACATCAAACAAATAGATGTCTGTAAACATACAGGTATACTGCATGTTCTGTAAACATATTTTTATAAAATATCAACAAAGGAAAATACCTGGTTCTCAGATCCAACTGAGGTTATAACAACATGTGTAAACTTAAAAAAAAAATAAATTTTTAAGTCTGGTATTATGTTTTGTAGTGCCTATATCAGGCTATATGCCTGGAAAGTACAAAATGTTTAAACAGATTAATAAAAAGGGAAAAAAGAAAAGTATAACGAAAGCTATATACATGTGATATTATCAAAGATTTCACAGCTCACTTCAACAAATCTCTCTCAAAGTCTCACATACTATTAATCTTTAGTGATTGGGGCTAAACACAGTTGTGTATGAAAATGGAAAAGTTTGTTTGGCAGTACATGTATATTCAACTTTTTCTGTATCCATGGGCTTGGACCAATGTAGAATCACTAACCCAAGATTGCCTCGGCTAATGGTATAGTATATAACCCTGACCTCATTGAGGTGAATTAAAAAAAAATCACTAAATCATCTACATAATAACTAACATTTACATGTAAGTAGGTTAAGCAATCCATTTCTCCATGTGTGATTTGACATAATATCAATGCAAGAACAAATTAGTAACAAGTGTAAAAGATTTACATTGATTTAAAGAAAGGTGTTCAAATAATTACATGATTTACAATTTTACATATACAGTAAAAAAAAAAAGGGGGGACCCTTACATCACATGTCATCTCTTAAATAAGTCTAAATGAAACAAGCTGAAATCTATGTCATAGTTTCAGATGCGCCACTTCAAAACAAATTCACTGTATGGGATTAGGAATTTGATATCCTTGTACAGGGAAACTTGTCTAATCTGGATGATGTGTATTCAGAAATCATGCCTAATACAATGTGAACTTTAAAGTCCCTTTCAATAAATTCAATTGTTTAAATTATTGTCTTTTCTGGAATGTTGTATAATCCAGCCAATTTCCATGCAACCAATGGTATTAGACAAGTTTTACTGTAAATCCCTCATTATAAATATACCTTTACCTGTCATTTTTATGCTTGTGAAGTGATAAAAGCTTAATAAATGAACTGTTAGAGTATGTGGAAAGGGAAGAGACAGACAGATAATATCCATGAGAGATCCTGATTTCATAATAACTGTCGGATACATGTTTAAAAAAAGTATAAACGGAATAAGGACTTAACTGTCTGAAAATACACTAACAAAATAAATCCATTTGAAAAGTGTAAGACTAAAATAAAGAGATCCTCTTCATTCAAAGGAATAATGAAAGGTCTGGAAATTGTTGCAGTTGGTCACTTTAACAATAAAAATGAATCATTAAACATCATCTTCATATGAGAACTATACATTTTTTTTTTCATATCCACTCTTCACGAAAAGCAGTTCACTCATCCTCACATACATGTACATATCACATGCTAAACTTATCACAGAAAAAAAATCTCTCCGCCTTTCACTCCTGAACACATCATATCTCTGTTTTTCTTCTGTTAGAGTGTGTCAGTCGGGTTCAGATGCTAAAATCAGACACAATTTCACACGCCCTTGAAATTCCATTTGATTTTACTAGTATCTTCTTCATGTTTATCCTTCTTTCGACTGAATAAAAGAGAAAAGACAAATGATTAAATTAATTATCTAAATTTACAAAAAAAAAACTGACACACTTTTGCTGTTATGTGGATCTGAGAGGTGCTGCTATCTACCCATAGTAATTTGATATCTAGACATTTAATAATCTACCTATATACAGTCAAACCTTGTTATCTCGAACTCAATGGGACCAAGAAAAAACTTAGAGATATCTGAGGATTCAAGATATCCAGGGTAAATTACTTAGAGAATATGGAGTTGGGACTTCAAAATCACTTTGACATATCCATGGTATTCAAGATTTCAGTGGTTGAGATAATGAAGTTCAACTGTATCAATAAGCACTTTACTCACTACAAAACTGAAGAAGCTTTTTGAAGCAAAAGGCTTTTAAAGCAGCTCTCATCTTAACAGACAGTCAGCACCATACTCATCAAAATTACATTACCCTTACATCCATTGTCATGATGATTGATATGAATTGACAAAACATTAAATAGTTTATTTTTCATCTGTGTCAAATCAATATTAAACATTATGGGATTTTTTAAACAAATTTCTTTACAAATTTTGATTCTGTGTCATGAAAAAAAACAAAAACAATATGGAAAATTAGCAGAAGTAGAGTTATTTTCAGACTTTATTAAATAAGAAGGTAGAAATTGTAAATATTTCATGCAGACAGAATAGAACAGGCCTACCGGGTCCAATAAACGCAAGAGTGCAGAGGATCGTCGAGTTCGTAGCGATGCTGAGCTTTTACTGGAAAATGAAAATGAGTACTTAATTGATCACAACAATCAGAGCTGGATGATGCTATATAAGTAGAAGTTATAATTAAAGCACACTTTTCTAATCACTGCCACTTCTATACAAACAACATCAAAAAAAGTTAAAGCTGGGCAAGCAAACTAGAGATGAGGTAATTGAAATAAAAAAGTCATTGTAATTTACTTAATTAATTTGGTATATAATTAACCTCATCCCTAAGGCAAACTATATTATGTATGTAACATCCAAAACACAATATTCAACCAATAACACTCATGGCTTTACATGCTATGTTAATTTGCAGCTATGGGTAATAAAAACATTATTATGAGACAATAAATGGTAAACACATACCAACTCTAAAGTTATTACATGAAAGGGTAACACCAAGCACAAAATCTGAGAGTTTCTATAAGTTGTGTTCAATAAGATTCTATTCAATTGATAAGAATTTATTTTTTTTCAGTTTCGAAGAAAAGTTTTCTGACTTGAAGCTTCAGATTAGAATACAAACAAAACATTCTACATTTACAACACGGAATGAATTTAAACCTACTTTTATACAAGAAAAAAATAAACCTAACATCAAGATACAAGTATTATTGAAACAATTTGGCTACTTCACTTGGAAATTGAACCTAACAATGATCAACAGCTAGATCTACAAGGGCCTACCTTCAGGCTTTTGGTTTAGGGGCTATTACCCAACTACAATGTATATATGAAGATCAGTGCATGCAAGTACATGTAAACATGCTCGCAACCTTAACAAAAAGAAATCTTTTTAGAGTATTTGTATGTGCCAAAAAGATCTGCAAAAATTGTCACATTTTTCTCACTTTCAATGATGGAATATCCTGCAATTAACTTCTGTGAAGTGTATCAAATCTTATAAACTATATGTACATGCATGTACAGCATGGGCTCTACGAACATACAATCATATCCCAAAACATTGAAAGTATCCGCTGACCTAAACATAATTACATATACATGTACTTTGTGATACTAGTATATTATGCATACATTTCCATCATTAAAGCAATAACTTGAAGAAAACTGTCTCATGTAGATTTTAAAATGCAGTAAAGCTTGACCTTTGGATAACTTCAAGCAAACACTTTTAAGGTAAATCAATTTTTTTTTATCACTGATGCTAAAAATAATATGACCACAAATGCATTTGGCTGCAGAACCAAGGATTTGCTAAAAATTAGTACCATACATTGCAATGCTTGTCATGTCCTGTAAGCATACAACAGAGATTTCTGTTATTTTGAAATAAAGCATGCTTTTCATGCTTCATTTTATAGATAACCGTACCTCCTTCTGTGATGACTGGAAGAAAAATTCGTCAATATACAAATTTGGCATTTTACTACCCATACCTTATTAGATTATTATTTTACTTGCCATACCTTATCAGGCCAGTCCAAAATTTACAGATTTACAAACTACCCATACAAGAATTATTTCAAAATTAGATTTTCGATTACTGTAAACCAACTATAATTCGCGTCAGCTTTTATTCGCGTCAACTTTTATTTGCGACTCCTCAGTTTGAAATCAGTCTGCAACAATTAATTTTCGTGACTAAGGAAACATTCTCTACAAATACAAACCAAAATAAATGGTTCGCAGCAATTAATATTCGTGAGTTAAAGTAGGTTGCGAAACTTGAGAATATTTCTCGCATGCGTATAAAAGTTGGTTTACAGCATAGGTTAACATTTTAATAACACAAAAAGAAAAAAACCACATACACACTAAAAAATCTGTTAAAAGAAAGATAGAGCATAATTTCTCACTAAAAGAAAAATATATAACCAAGCTGTATCTCCCAGAACCTGTAAAAATCTAACCTTGAGAGTAATTTTCGTTTCTCGCTACGATACGTAAACACTCCGTCATCCTCATCCATCATCTCTTCCAGCTGATTCTGGTCGCTAGAATCAATCGGCGCTATAGAAATGTCCCGCACAGCTCGGAACTGTCCACAGTTGTTAAGATGCTCATTTTCCAATCGGAAAAAATTCCACACAAATCTCCTGTTTAATTAGAATTTTTCTGTTTGAAACATACATGTTGTGCTGAGCAAGTGTACATCTTTCAATTAACATGTATTTTTGAATGACTCGCTTGTTCTGGTATACTGGTAACCTAACATATACATTTCTATTTTGGTACACATAGAAAGTTTTGCCCCTTGTCATTTATCAACAAATGGCTTTTAAAAATATGTAAGCTTAATCCAAAGCCATTTGGCTTATTTTGTTCAAATATTTTGTTTAAATTTGCCCACAGTAAATGAGAGAAAGAAGAAAAGAAAAAGAGAGTAATCAATACCAATTATAGTAGCATGAGCCAAGAGTAACCAATCTCAAACAACCTAGACAAGCTCCTGCTAGACTTACCTAAAAACTTCAAAAGATGCCAATATTGTTACTAATGCCTCCTTCTGATTAAAAAGAATCCCTTCTCCTAATGAGACATGTAGAGTCCACACAAATCTTAGAATGGAGTCTTCAATAATAGCAAAGTAATAATAGGCCTGGAATATAAAACAATATATCATCAGTCTTATGATCCCTACTCATGCAAGATGTACCAATACATAAGCAGTGTCACTCATTTCATTTGCATCTATTTAAAGGCTTCCAAAACGCAAGATGAAATAACAATATGTATACTTTACCTACGAAAATGTTTCATCCCTTTTCTTTTTCATCCAAGGACATTAAATTACGAGTATTTTACCCCATTTTACGTTTCCCTACATTTATATATCAACATAGCTACATAATAATTTAGTTTAATTGGTACATTTTAAAATCTGCCCCCCCCCCCTCCCGAGAATTACATAAATGGGATAAAATAAGCAAAATGTTTACAGGGTATAGTTTATTTACAAACAAAGGTAAAGAAGGTAAAAAAAAAAAAAGTAAAGAGCTCCCTGAGTAAGAAAGCATACACAAGAGCATACAGGCAAGGAGTACTGGTGTTACCTTGTAGGCATACACAATCTCCTCCCGAAGAAATCGGTTTTCCCCTGCATTGGAGTCTAGTAAACCCCAATCCATTTTGAGGTCCCAGGTTAAAGTGTAACAGGAACTTATGGTGGCAAATGTTATCCATAGATAAAAGAAAGAATGATTCTGGATGGAATCTTTGTTATTATTTACCACTGAAATACAAATGTACATTTGTCACTACTTCTATGACATGCATACGCAGAGAAATATTTACTTTTAAAATACAGTGAAGCCTGTCTAATCTAATCTGACATGCACTGGTACACAAATTTTTGTGTCAGAATAGACAGGGTGTTGGATTGTACAGTGTAAAATCATGGAAAATAGCACAGTGTAAAAATCATGGAAAAAAAGTAAATTAGAAATGAAAATGAAGATAGTGTTGTACAGGTGTTGGATCAGACAGTTTTACAGTATATGTACACATATACTGGGATGTTTTCTTTTTAATATCAGGCTTTCTAATGTTTCCCAATTTCAAAGTCAAGACCTAGAAGATATTTAATATATATAACAAATACTCAGACAAAAGAGGAAAAGATAATGACTCATAACCCCCCCCCCCCCCCCCCTTACGCACATACAAAGTTCAGAGAGAGTAATAACTGACCTGTTTCTACTTTATAGAGTGTTGCAAACAAAACATTGAAGAATGTCGTGGAATATTTCCCAGCATTAACTAAATGAGGAAATGCTAGTCTGGTATCACGATAACGTCGTAAACACTGGGCAAATCGCCACCATGCTGGCAGACAGCTGATCACAGCACGAATGGCAACCGCATAAACATTTCTAGAACAAATCTTTGATTCTGGAATAAAAAATGAATAATACAGAGATCTTGATGAATACTATGTGTATACATTTACTAATGAATCTACAACTAAGATACTGTTAGAATCATCCAATACTTAGCACAGTCTTGAACTAACAGATTACACATATTGTACTAATATTCTATTTCATACTTTGGTAATGATTATGAACTAATTACCACAATAACAACTGTGCCAAAGACACCAGAACATGAATTCTGCTAAAATAAATACAAGTCAAGTATATGTATATGCATTAATTTTGTCAGATATTTTCCAACTTTAGTTTCATACATGCACATCATGCAAGTGTGAACCAAGTAGAATTTCCCCCTTATAATTTATGTTTACTAGAGTCTAAATGGAGTTCTTTGTTGAAACAACTTGTCAGAGATCTTGTTTATACAGAAATACATACTATCAGGATTTGGCAACCAGTCCACTTCAAAACCATAGAAACAAATCATGTACTCAAAGTCCAGTAACACTGTGCTAAGACTGTTTAATTGGTCAGCCAGCCAGAAATCAGCAAAGCCCACATGGTGAAATGGAGCAGTTAAAATATGAAACTACAACAAGAAAACAGCGCTAAATTCCATGTTTACTTACATGTATTAATAAATGTACATGTAGGTACATGTACATACATGCAAAAATCAAAATATTATTGTTCATTAACCAACATGAAACTCCTCAGAATAATACCAAAATTTTCAATTTACAGCCAGTTATTTTTTACAGCAAGTTATTTTTCAATTTACAGCCAGTCATTTTTCAATTTACAGTCAGTTATGTTGGAAAAATTAGTACATGTATTTGTTAAGACTACATAATACCCCAAGGATTGCTTACAACTTACCAGTATTTTCAGCAGCCACATCCGTGAACTGTAGTGGAGAATTCGGAATGGATTGATGAGATACAGAATAAGGAATACAACCAGGGCCAGGGGACAGGCGTAGGGAGGGATATGGAGGAATTTACTGTACAGGAATGCTAAGACATTTAAGGCCCACAACACTGCTAAAAATGCTGCCAGCTGTAAAAAAAAAGGGGGGCATTTTTCTGATAATACCTCTCATGTGTATCAGGCAATGTATTTCATGTTTCCTGAGTAGCTCAGAACCCAATATTCAAGCTGCCCTTTAATCATTATACATGCATTTTTCTAGAACACAAAACTTATTGTGTTTTAGTCTTTGAAAACTTTTGAGACATTTGATTGTTGTTTTTTTTTAAAGATCATATAAGAAAAATAAAATGTTAATTTTGTGAACTTTCATTGCAGGATCTCTGAGAGTAGAGTTAAAACTTGTCTAATCAGGATGTTGTGTATTCCGAAATCTTGCCTATTATGACTTTTAGGCTCTTTTGGTAAATTCCATTGTTTACAATATATTATAATCTGGAATTTTGTCAGGAGCTGTGTTGTCCAGATTACACATTCTACTTCATTTACACATGTACCTCTAATAACTGTTGGTGTGATAAGTGATGTCTTGGGTCAATCTCAAATATGAGTACATGGTTGACCCCTGATGACCTCCAGCCATAAGTATTAATGCCTAGGAGGAATATCATGAGGATGACCAGGAACAGTCCTCGGTACATATGTACTGATGTGTCCCACTGTATGCTGGTGTCAATTGGAAAAACAGCTGTAAATGAAAGGAAAAAATTAGGACATAATATCTTATTGGTTTGATCTGAATTTTTCTTAAATTTTTTGCAATATTTTAAATGCAAAACATATACTATTAATTTTATGGCAATTTAATTCAGACTTACCAGTTAGAACAATACAGACGATTAATACCAGGAAACAACCTGAGAAAAGGCCAACTCGGAATGTAGTCCATGGATTTTGCTGAAAAATCACAAGAGGTTTAAAATGTGCATAGTTTTAATGTTTCTCAGTTTGTTTTATATTTCCTTTAAAAAATTAGTAGAACTTAGTAAACTTTTTTTCAATTTCAATAAACACTGCACCCCATGTTTACTTTTCACCATTTTCAGAGCATGCTTCTATAACCATCTAAACCCATTTAGTAGAAACTATTCTAATCATTGATTACAAATATACATGTATATCTATATACATGATATATATGTTTATTCATGCTGTCAGAAAATTTATTAAACCCAATTCCTTCTTTGCAAACATAAACTTAAGAAACAAACCTGGGCTTTGAAGATAAATTAATCTGACAAATAAAAGCAGCTATTAGAAGCACAGTCACATATTTGTTACAGAAGCAACTTATAAATTTTGATGCTATATAAGCTCTTAAATTTTTTTCAGCTGGTTCATAGTTGTCTTCTTCTACAGAACCTGGTACCCTGAAGCTTTTTACTGCTTTCTATAACTGGTTCATACCTTTTCCCCTAGTGGAGGCACCCTCAACCTTTTCATTGCTTTACTTCGATTCCCTCCTTCCAAGTCTGTTGTTACAACTTGCTATAAAGAAACACAAATTCAGAGGATATCTCTTTATAAATCAGGAAACACTGACATTACATATATACATCAGTTCTTTGTGTAAAAGTAAAAATTCACTTTACTACATAAACCTTCTACTTGCTTTTTTACAGTTCCTTGTCTGATTTTTATTAACTTTGAACCTTTCCCTCAATCAAACAATAATATCTCTTTCATTAAAATTATACATGAAATAAGCGAATAAACCTCACTTGTCTCTCTAATAGCAAAACAGTTAATGTGAAATGGTATTTATTCAAACTTTGGGGGGGGGGGGGGTTGTTTCCTTTTCGTGTGTATGTTTATGCTTTCTTTATTATATTACTCTACTTTTTTTAATTAATCTGTTATACTGGAGAAGAACCCTGTTTTAGTCTAGTTCCTGCATTACCCACCTCCACCTCTTTGATCAAATGATCCACCTCTTTGTTGGTATAAAATGGGGCAATCTCTACATTTCCCTGACGCCATTCGGCTCCTCTTTGTGTCTGCATTAGCTATATTTACATTGAAAAAAAATATCCATAACAGTCATTCCGAAAAGCAAAGCAATTAAATATGTATGGGACAATCAATTCTCAAGTCTCATAATGAAAAAATCTTATTTTTTTTTTCATTGATTAAGAAAAACCACAACAAAAGAAAAATGAACATTGCATTAAATCAGCTTCACATTCTAGGCAAATACTGACATCGCTAATGTGTTAAGCATAGATCAATGAATGCCAATGTATATGCTCTAAAATGCACACTGATTTGCTAGCTTGTATCAATCACAATTGTTATGAAAATTTCTCACACATGACTGGAAACTTTTTTCCCAGTACATATCTTCATACATTTGAACTTCGGTATCTCAAACACTGTTATCTCGAACACCATGGAGATGTCAAAGTGATTTGGAAGTCCCAACTGCTTATTCTCTTAAGTATTTTACCCTTGATATCTCGAATCCTCAGATATCTCGAAGTTTATTCTTGGTCCCATTGAGTCCGAGATAACGAGGTTTGACTGTATTTTCACTGTACCTTGTCATGTTTCTTTAGAATCTTCCTGAACCCTGTGAAGTTAAGATTTTGGTAGTTCTGTAGCAGGATAAGACTGAGGTAGAATTCACTGAAGGCCAGCTTCAAGTCATTGTGCTTCCGTGCGTGGGACATTCCTTGGTTCTCCTTGTCTTTGAAGAGAGCGTACACCCCGTCTCGCTTCCGTCGGCGTAGGCCTCCCAAACTGGATGTTTTGTGGGCATGCTCATTGTAAGCATCCAGTTCTGCCTTTAAGCTAGCATATTTTCTGTTGGCCTCTGATATTTTTTCTATCAAAAAGGTGTGAAGAAATGAGTTTCCTCTCCTAAACACAATTTTTTTTTTTCAGTCATTAAAAAATTGTCTTTTTCAGATTCACATAGACAGTACCCAAAAAAAAAGGGAATTTCAAAGAAAATTAAAACAAAATTACTTAACTCCTACTCAATTACCAGTAAATATCATATATATATATATATATATATATATATATATATATATATATATATATATACATATATATATATATATATATATATATATATATATATATATATCTCCAAAAATTTATATCTACCATAAAAGAATGTGTTTATCTTGGACAGCTCTTTGTCACAGAACTGGAAAAACCGTTCATCAAACCGTGCAAAAAATCTGTGGATGGTGGCTTCATCTGTCACTGTTACCAAAATTTAGAATTAATATGAACAAAATATTTTTTTTTGATTTGAAATATCTGTATTACAAGGAAACAGTTTGTGGGTAAAGAATGTTAAGACATCAATAAATAAACACCTCAATCAAAAACAAAAACTGTTATGATTCTATCTTTTTAATTTTAAAAAATTAAGTACCCACCTAGCGGTATATTGCAAACATTTAAAGAAATTTTAACATTTGTTCGTTTTACTGTTAATTGATTTTAACATTTGTTTCATAGTCTTCATTTTCATTTTCTCAATGTGTAAATATATATTCATTTAGTGTATTCATTTTCCATAAAAAAACTTAATATTAACCCTACCTTCAGGAGATGGTGCTTGCTCTTGTGCTTCATATAACATTTCTTTCATGGCCTAAAATGTATAAACTTTTTTTTTAACATTTCCTCTTTAGCATACAAGTTTCATGAATTTCAATATACAGTATAATATATTGATATATCAAATCATATTAAGCAGACACAAGTTCACAAGTTATTATATAACACTTCTTCAGGAAACCATTGAAGCTTTCATTACAAAACCACCCCCATTTGCATAATTTGCATAATTTGCTTCCTTTTTTCTGAAATCAATTTAATAATTATTTGAACATTTAAATTCATACATGACAGGTGATTTACATTTATTTATCCATGTCATTTAGTGCATTAAATATATAATTATATGAATTTTTGTATCAGTTAATATAATACATATATACTGTAAATGTGGATATTTACATGTGTGGCTAATTATACAAATTAGAAGCAAAAAACCAGTAAAACGTGTTGTTACTACCGAATAAACTAGAGGTACTGTGAGAAAGATCCCACGCTCTTATATGAGTACAATGGCAAAGTCCATATTTTGCTATGGGAAACCTCAAATAATCTGTCCGATCAGAACTTAAAATAGGAGGTGCACAATAACACTATATGTAAGAGAGGTTCTGTGAAAGTCTCATTAAATTTTATTCAGTGGTATAGGAGGAGTTGTGGATAAGAGATGGGTACTCCCATGTAAAAGAAAGAATGGCAGTGTCCATATTTTGCTAAGGGTAACACTATTTATCTGCCCAATCAAAAAAATAAAATATGAGGTGCACTATGGCACTATGTAATAAAGATTCTGTTAAAGTCTCATTAAATTTTATCAAATGGTATAGGAGAAGTTGCAGATAAGAGATGGATTACCCCCAAGTGTTACAGATGAACAGAAAAACGTACAGAAGGACAGACACCCCTATCACTGTATACCTTCCACTTTTCAAGTGGGGGTATAAATAACATTGGCATTGTTGTACCCGAGAAAATATTTAAGCGGAAGTTTTGTTTTCACATATGTAGCATAAAATTATCATCACACATAAATTTCCAGGTCTACAGTGTGAGGTAAACTTCAGTGTTTTTCATAATCCTTCTAAGAGAAGACACAAATGCAGTCTTTACCCCCTTACCTTAGATAATGACGAAAAAGCCAGACTATATAAACTAAATAACAACTGCTTTTCTTTAAATTCATCAGAATTTCAAATTGTTTCTCATCAATAATTAGCATGTTAAAACAATATATATGACTTACTTTCATTGTATTATTATGCATGAAAATGTAGTTGATTCAGAACAGAACAGAACATTTATTTTCTAATTTAGAGCCCATAACAGACAAGTATGAAATTATTACAATAATAAAAAGATATGCCAATGGATACGTTTTGTTCCCTCTTACCTCATATTGAATATACTGTTTTCTCCACTCTGGGGTAATGTGAGCCCCCAAATGCTCTGCAAACTTCATCCTGAGTCAAATACTATAGACCTACAAAACATTGTACACCTACTTATTAATAAAGCAACAAAGATACATCTCCCTCCAATGAAAAGACAACTTAAGTATAGGAACCACTGTTCCCATGTAGCTGCTACTACAGACTGTCTAAATCGAGAACAGTGGGCCAACATCCTCTTTTGCACTTCACGGTTGGTTTAGACCTAGTATTCTTTACATACCAAGAACAATTAAATAATCTGTTATGAAGGTTGTAGTCCTTGATATGACTGGGTCATTGCCATAAATGACGGTTAAAGTGTTACAAGTCTCCAATTTCCTTTGATGTGCTGCTTGTAACATCTGTGTTTACAAAGAGGAAAACGTCACCAAATCATGTGTATAAAGGGAAGTGGTAAATCTAGAGCTACCATAAATTTGTTTGGGGTGGGGGGAGGAGGACAACCTTACAGAAATTCTTGACACACCAAAAAAAAAACAATAATTAATTAATAAAAATAAATAAATTAATTAAATCACCAGACGTTATTTTTTAGGGGACACAACCACAACTGTAAATAGTTGAATCCACATTTTTCAAAAGTTATGTCCCTTGGCCACCATCTTCGGAGGAAAAAAAGGAGAATTTGTAACTTTCAAATTTTTGACGTAAAAATAATTGTTAAATCTAATATTTTGATTGCCCCAGGATGGGGCTACCAGATATACACTGAAAGAAAAAATAATAAACACAGTGACTTTATTGCAGCATGCCCAAATGATTGGTAGTATTAACTGATTAAGAAGAAAAACAATGCTTTTCTCTCATTGACCTTTTGGTTTACCCCACTGCAAAAAGGGAAACAATTTTGCGAAGTGTGGATTGAACTATTAACTTTGTTTTCTATTGTAAATTATGTGTGTGTGTGTGGGGGGGGGGGGGGTGTTACACTCTGTTCTACTGTTTACCACTGAACTTGGGAATCCCCCTACCCCCTCGCAGGGTTTGCGGACATTCAAGTTGAACATTTAATAATTCAGAACTAATTTAATCAACCACATCAATAATATCTTATTCAATATTAAATGTATCCATGAATTTGAAAATAAAGTATTAAAGCACAGGTTTGGATCATTTTTTTGGGGGGGGGGGAGGGGGGTCTAGCTTGTAAATCAATGTATAAATGGATTTTTTAAAAGTAAAATGTCAGGGATGACTCCGAACCCACTGAGTTGTAGTTAAACATCCCCCCTTCTTACTTAGTCTAAATAAGCGTGGTTTGAGCTCCAAGTTTTGAGTATTGGTAAAAATATTAATAAATTATTAATGTAAATATATCACACACAAAAAATTACATAGGCTAAAATTTAAAGCACAGGTTTGGGTCAATGGGGGGGGGGGGGGGTCTAGCTTGTAAATCAATGTATAGATGGATTTTTTAACGTAAAATGTCAGGGATGATCCCGAACCCACTTTGAATTGTAGTTGACACCCCCCCCCCTTACTTATAGTCTAAATAAGCGTGATTTGATCTCCAAGTTTTGGGTATTGGTCAAGTATTAAAAATGTAAATATATCACAAAACTTACATAGGCTAAAATTTTAAAGCACATATATGATAATAATGTGGAAATTTTGGGGTTGCTGCCATGCCGTTTCATTTGCTGCAGTTGTTCAAAGTCATTACAAAAAAATACACCAAGAAAATAATGTCCACTGTGCAGAATTAAAAAAAATCTTGAATATCATATTTTTTAAAGTACACTGTACATGGTAGTATCAACTTACCCGACTGTTATTAGACCTCAACACTGGAACATGGAATACAATTTGAGTTCACCAAATTCGATCTCAGATTCCAATGAAATAGTGTGTTGATATGGGAGTTATTGAAAATTGATTGAACAGCAGTATATTTCCCCTGAATGATTTCCTACGCCGATTTTAAACTTAAAAGAAATGATTTACCATTATGTAATATATCACAGCTTTCTAAATACTTCCTATTGATTTTCTCAACTCAAACACTCGGGGGCTTGCTTCCGTCCTTTTAAAGAGACATATAGTTATTAGAGTTTTTTTTTAAATAAACATCTTTACACATCTCATTCTGAGTCGATATCATCTTTATTCGGTGTGCTGTGTTCTGTGCCCTGGAAGCACAGGCACTTAATGTTTAAATATTTACCGTAAAAATAAGTAGGGGTGCCCCGTATACGAAATAAGTACCTGTGTGCCTGGAAGTCTAGGTCGGTTTTGTAATACATGTACAGTGGCATCCGTTTATAATGATGTTGTATATAACGAGATAATGCCTACAACGAGGTATCTTCTTGTCCCGGCTATAATGTCCCCCAGATTTCTCTGATCATTTGACAAGATACGCAGATAAAGCGATTTGTCTTACCATGCATAGATAGATCGTTGCACCTGTCTTACATATGTAAATTATTTGTCATTTTATACACTTTCACATGTATAGCTTTTCACATAACAGTAAAATAGTACATTCCATCCTTTGCTTTCTTTACAGTTACCCATGTTATAACTTATAACAGAAATAGTAGTATTTTTCGGAATCCGAAACCTTGCTGCAATTCTCCAAGTTTATAGCATATAACTAATTCCATAATCAGCTGAAATTTTAAAATTGTAGGAAGAGTTCTAATATGACAAAAAAGTTTGAGGAAGAATTAAGTATCGAATTTTCCTTCAAAAGTGTCGAGTGTTATAGCATAGTCTCTGATGTAATGAACAGATAAAAGACCTTGAGTAGTCTTTTCCTTCATTTATATGCTTGTTCTCTCTCTCTCTCTCTCACATAAGTAACAATATTTGTTATCTTGTATTCTATATAATATTTCGCTCAAAAATCGCCAAGGCAATCACTTGTCTTCTGACGACTGATTATCTTTCATTAAATTACAGAAGCTCTGTCAAAGCCAATTTGTGGCAAAGCGAAAGGGACTACATTTACCGCGTGCTTTGTACACAAAAGTCGATGACGTATGAAGGTTACTACACAAAGCTTGCAAAAATGGATAGTGTCGAGTATGGTTGAATGACTTGTGCAGTAAAAATCAATGACTAACGGATAAGTGTCAAACTTGCTGAGTGCTTATTTAAATGAAACGATATGGCACAATATTTTCATTTGTATAATAGATTCAAACAGAAAATTTAAAGACGTATGACGGAATTTATATATCACTTCATCATCTTAGATAGATTTTTCGCGCACCTGTCGTTGATAGCTGTGAAAACTTGAATAACGATGGATCCATTGAGATTAAAAAGTGGGCTTCCTACACAACATTCGTATTACTATAAACTTATTAAGTCTGGTAGAATTACTGGGAAAGCTCGAAACAAGACAGATTACACGCCGTCAACAGAACCGAATGTCCATGATGACATTGAGTGTGAGAATCCATTTATTACCACTTCTGTTTCTCCAGGACTGGAATTACCTGGTGAAAACAGGGAGAAAATCAAGGCCAAAAATTATGCAATGAGATCAAAATCCCTACAGGTATGCATCATTTGAAGTATACAATGCTAATTGTTACATTTTCCTAGAAATATTGACCTATATTTGTATTCAGAAGTGTACATGTATCAGTGTATTATCAACCACCAAGTCACATGATCATTCATTAAATATGATATATATCTTAAAAACTGCAAGATATAATTTTAAGTAAAATGTTCGTATACATGTGTATGCAAGAGAATCAACAATGATCGAATGGCTGGCACAAAGGAAGAGGCATTTTTTAAAAAATAAATTTTATGTAATTGAACTAATGAATGAAAAGGTTTTCTGTTGCAGTGACTCTAAGGAAAATAATTTCTTCAGAGAAGAAATAAGAAATTGGCTCCTATTGTAGTCAAATCAGTGGAAATTTGTGCAGCTTAATTTTTTTTCTTAAGCTTAAGATTTTGATTGTATTCTTCACTATGTTTAATTTGATTTTTATACAAGTGTGAGTCTTGATATTTCCTGCTAAAATGTATAATTGCAGACACCTTTGCAATTCTAATTGTCCCTCATGAGTCATGCTATAGAAACTGTGTGAATGGAATGTTCACAGTATTGGCATTTTTTTTAAAATTGTCATTTGATATTATGACGTTCCATCTTATTAATATTTTATGATGTGCTAATTTAACTGTGAATGGGACTACAGTAATAAAATTTCTGCATGCACTCATTTTTGTGCAGGTCCTCTTTTGGGCTTTGTGAAATAATGATAATCATGATAATTGTAAGCATAATATAATCAGGAAGACATTTATCAGTAATTTACTGTATTCTGGAAAATAAGATTATGTTTATATTAGTGATGCAATTAATCAGTATATTTCATTTGAAGGAACTTAATTCAGTTAAAGCAAAGTAGTATGTCAAGAGAGAGAGAGAGAGAGAGAGAGAGAGAGAGAGAGAGAGAGAGAGACAGATGGACAGACAGCTAGAAAGACAACCAGATAGAGTTTTTTATTCATGTACCCTACATCACTATGTGACTATATGACTAATTAGTGAATATTTTCTCTCTCTTTTTTTTTATTTTACTGTTTTTCTATCTGTGATTAAATAACTCTTGTAGTTCTTCATTGAAACTTTATCACCACATATATGAAAAATGATTAAAGAGAGATAATGATATAGATTTTGGATTTATTTTGGACAAAGGTCAAGATATTTATTGACAGAGGAATAAAGCTACAGAGTAGGCCTTTGATACAAATTGCCAGTTTTCTAGCTTACAAAAATTTACATACATGTACATGTCTAAGCAAGTGCTTCAAGTCACATTCAGGTCTACATTGTTCACATACAAATTATTAGCCTCTGGCAGATACAAGATATATATACACCTTTGTAATTACACCTTGTGCATGTATGTTCACTAAAAGTTGTACTACATAATCCCAGCCAAAGTACATTCATTACATGCCCAGAATTTTGTCAATAGTTTTCAGTATTATTTTAAGCCTTAAAGGTGTACATTGTTGAGATACCTGATCAATGTGTTACTGAATTTAAATGCATGCATTATTTTTTGTTTGATTAGAACATCTAGACAAATAAGATGAATCAAATGACGAAAAAAGAATATGCCTCATATGCAATTACAAATTGATTTTCATAGAAATTTCAGTTAATGAATTTTTGGAAAAGTCTGCTTCAAAAATGCAAAAGTTTATAACTAAGTGTAATTTTTTTTATTTTGAAACAGGTGAATACTATAATTATGAGATGAATGATTGAAAAATTGCACAGAGATTTAATTACATGATTGCATATGTTTCTAACTAAATGTAATGTTTTATTATGAAACAGGTGAATATTATCATTATAAGATGAACAATTGAAAATTTGCACAGAGAAATTACATGATTTTGTTAATTTGCTTATTTTCTCACTTCACGTTATTCATATTTTGGTTACAGGATTTAAAAAATGCCAGACGAGAAACTGGACACATCAGCCATCATGGAAATGGAATGGACTCTGAATATCTCCAAAACCTTTACAAGAAATATCCACACACTTTCCAGAGAAGAAACCCAAAAGATTCAAGGAGACCCTCAAGGCAAATGTTCAATTCTCGTCTTCATGTTCATTTTGATGATGAAGTTCATTATGATGATGATGTTCGCAGTGTTAGTTCAGAGAGACCAGCAGTAACCAAATATGACAGAGAAATGGAGAGGATTTTTGGGCACCATAGACATCCTCGTTCATGTTTAACAAGTCCCACTCCTTCTTTAATTCTTGACTCAACAGAGAGGCACCGAGAACATGTTAGATTGCCTCCAAAAACCAAGTCTTATACTCTGCCAAATCGTCCTATGCACCATGAAGGCAATGGAGAGGTATCTGGACCACTGAAATTTCAAAGAGCCAGCCAATCAGAAAGTGATTATGGCTCAGATCGTATAAAATTGTTAGAACTAGAACTTGAAAGGAAAGAAAAGCAGATACAGAGTTACAGACGTAGACTGGAGTTCCAGCAACATATTCCTCACAGTACCAATGGTACCTTATCTGACTCCTCACATTGGAGAGTTCTTAGTCCAGATTCCCCTCCTGATAGTGCCATTGATGTTGACTCCTCCTCTGTACAGTCCTCCAACTTGGGCCCCTCACACCTGTCACCCAGAAATGATCATCTACCTTACCACACTGGTCAGCTGAATCAAGAATTCTCCCCTAAAGAGAGAAAATATGGCTCCACTGATCATCTGAATCAGATGTCCATTGGTGGTTACCTGCAGCATAGACACATGCAGAATGGAAACCTGGTGCAAAACAACAATAAAGGTAATGCACTTAAGTAGAAAGGCCTCCCGCCTACTACATGTCTATTGTCTTTCATAGATCCAGTTTATTTATCAAATTTATCTAGATTTTTTTTTTTTCAATATTAGAGTGAAATTTTATTTTCTGAGATTTTTTGTTTGTTTGTTTTTTTTATTTGGTAATTTATAATGACCCTTTATTAATTTGTTTGCTATTTCAATATTACACACAATCACATGAAAATATTCATGCCTTTAGATATTTTAGGAGGTTTCTTTTATATTGTCAGGGTTGTCCTAAGACCCGGGGGCAGGGGAATTTCCCCACCTATAATGACATTATTCCAGCTCCTCTGGTATTCCACCTCAAACCCTTGTTAGGGGAGAAACCCCAGACCCCCTTTCTATTTTTTTATGTCCCATCCTATTTCAATTCTTAGGAACAACCCTGATTGTGCATCAAAGTGGCATGAAGACAATACCCTTAACATGTTTGTAGATGAATATGTTCAGATTTGTAAAATCTTTGAATAGAATACAAAAACTTCACATGGATCCAAGAGCTTGTAGTGTACATAAGAGCTTAGAATATTCATATAAACAGTACGGACTTGACCGCATTACATACATTGTCTATGAGGGGTGTTGTTCTAGGGGCTTGGCCTTGTTTGGTTAGCCGGCAGGTAAATAATCTTATTGATATATTTACTCATAAATGGCATATTTTAGAGGGAGGCTTATCATAGGGAATATTAGGGTATTGTCATGCCCATCAATAATGGCCTCTCAATCGATAATATAAGCCTGAGTTTTTATCTATCCCAACACCAGGTATCTCTTTGTTTTTGGGGACCCATTTTCTCACATGATTTAAATGTAACAACATATGGTATGAATAGGCTTGTTTGACCTATTGATCCTTAGAAGACCTGACAGAGATTTTTTTCTCATTGCTTTATGTATATATATGCATTTTTTCAAAATTTGTGCATATATATTTTTCTAATTAGCTGTGATTTTGTTTATTTTCATCATGTTTAAGAAGGACAAATTAAGATTGTTACTTAATTAAGAATGATCAGTACAATGTATTTTCTAACACATCAAATTTGTAAATACTCGGCAAAGGGATTTTTAAAAAAGAAATTTGCTCTTCTATATTTATTTTAATAAAAAGGTTTATTGTTCATGTTGTAAATCGTATGAAAATCGTTGCACTGAGGTCACACAAAGCACACCTTTCTTTCCATATTTTAGACAATGTGCCCTTCATAGGAAATTAAGAACAAATATTTTTATATCCACTTGTTCAGAAGTTCAAAAGATGAATTAACAATTGTAAAAGGCCATTCCTTAAACAATTTTAAAAGAAAATGTTACCCTTTAAAGCCCTTACTGCAATGAAATTTTGGTTAAAAATCGATGTCCTTTGAACTTGAATTTAAAGTTTACCTTCATACTTTATTTAAAGGCAATAAATTAAAAAATATATTAAATGAAAACATTTTGGTTCAAATGTTTTGTTTTTTCTCCCTTTTTCCCTATGTGTGTTTTTACTGATGAACATGGCAACTCAGAAATTAAAATAAATACATGTACTAGAAATTACACAGTCTCTCTCTCTCTCTCTCTCTTTCTCTTTCAGAGATCAAGATGAGTCATAAAACATTATATTTAACCTAAATATCATTTTTATCACTGAACGGTTGAGGCATTTAATTCGATCCCACTATAAATCAAGGTTTTGATAACTATAATTTTTTGAGAATTTCATTGAAGGGTTTGAGATGTATCTTCCATTTTGTATTCTAATCCATCAGCACAGTTTCTACATGTCAGGCAATTGTAAACCGTCTTTATCAATTTCTAGAAATTACCATAATAGCATGGAGTGTTAAAAGTAGTATCTTTTGTATGACTCAGAAAATTAACGATGCAGCAAATTAAAATGATTAATCAGCTGTATAAGCCTGTTTACTCAATTTCAATATTAATTGGTTGGAAATTTACGTCACAGTGTGTTTGGGAAATCAGTTAATGCTTTCAAAAACAAAAAAAATCTAACTTAGTTTGGTACTGTGTGCGTATTATGGTACTTTAAAAAATTATTTCATTTGTCAGAAGTGCAGAAAATATTTGCCATCCAGAGTAATATGTTTTGATGGTTAAAAAAAAAATTATGTCATAAATAATTATTGATTACACACAGAAGATTGATGTGAAATGTCTATACCTAACAAATAGACCTATTGGTAAGATTGAGGGACACACATGTGTAGTTTTATTTTATTTTCATAATGTTCCTTAATTCTACAGATTCTGATGTGGATTCCGGTATAGCGCAATCATTAACAAGGATGAGATTTGATAAAGGAATTAGAGACCTCCGTAATGGGTAAGTGTTACATCTGTATCAGTCATGCATCACTATCAACACAGCATTCAAGTTTAAAGAGCAGAAGCTTACAACTGATATACATGTATACGTATTTGCCCTTTCCACCAGCTTGTCTTTGTTTGCTCCCCTTGTTGCTTTTTTTTCTATCTTTTTTTTTTTTTTGCCTAGAATGTGTGTTGTATGTTCATAATTTTTTTTTAAACAATATTAGAAAAAAGATAATAACTTCTGTTAAGTGTTAACATATTGGTTGTGTGAACTTTTTAAATATATATTCAGAGACAAGTACCAGCTTGCATTTTTAGCTATTTTTTGGTACCTAATATCGAAGGAAATAATTAATGTACACATTATCATAATATATATTAAATTTTTCATTGTCTTTCAGTAGCCACTCTTAAATTCAATATTTTCCAGCAACATCATTTCTTTCTGGGGCAAATAGTATAGCTGTAAATTTTTTCGCAGTCCTGAATGCAGATCTTTAGTTTTAGATACATCTTTTAGATATACATGTGTTTTAAATGCTTCAGCTGTTTTGTCAAGTTACAGTATATCAAGTTTAATTACATTATAATTAGCTAGAAGATCTGGCAATGCCACACACATTAAATTTGTAAAGACCAACCATGCACATGACGTACATGTTTATAGCTAGCTCTGTGCAATTATTCCAATACCATGGTCTTTCTATTTAATGTTTATTTTATTGTTGAAATTTTTATTTGTAAGTTCATCATATCCACAAACTTAAAATTTTAATTTCAAAAAGTTAATTTAATTCACTTCTTTAGCCTAGTTGTAATAAACCTGAACATGGATAATAATGTTATTGTCTAATGGTGAATATATTTGAAGGTAATCTGCTTCCTGCAAGTCTTTAATTTTTTGTTGTATATGGGAAAATAAGAGGTCCGATCTAAGCTTTTATGTACCGGTATATTTATGGAACAACTATTTAAGAGATTTTAATAGTTTTGGTAGCTGCAGAACTGTAGCTCTCTGGTTGAGAAAATTTGGACAGACAAACCAGAGAGTGTTAAAATAAGTCTATCAAATAACATACACATGCCAAAAAAATCTAAATAAAATTAGGGGGAGGGGGGTCACATATCTATAAAAGAAGGCAAAATACATAAAAAAAAAAAAAAAAAAGATGTAAACTCAGATTTTATTTTTACCATGACCCCAACATGGATGTCAGAATGTGAACTTAAAAATTGACCCTCTAAGGCCATATAGGGCTGTTTAGAACCATTGAAAGGTAAATAAAGTAACAAGATTATGAGTAAAATATATGATTAAACAAGGGACACCATGCTTTAGGCAACGGAAATGCATAGAATACAAGATATGGTACCTGAAGCAAGCAACAAAAAAGTGGCCCCATAAATCAAAGATTATTACAGTGCTTGGATCTTTAGCTCTTGTTTTTCTGGCTGTTTTTCTCAACCAGAGAGTTACAGTTCTGCAGTATAGTTTTGGTTGCTTTCCTCAGAATTACAGTTGCATTTGCAACTACAATATGCATCTTTCTTTTGAATGATTTTCATTTTTTTCTCTCATCTTATGTATGTATGGTAAAATGAAGTCTTTACATATTTATTGCAAATTGAACATACATCCATTGAAGATCCGATATTCTATATATTACATACAGTTTGTTCTGTATTTATTTTTAAAGGACATCTGTGTGGGATTCTACCCATCTGCACCACAGACCAATGTCAGCGGTGGAGTTTGGTCATACAAGACATGCTTTAGACAAGTTTGAATTCCTAAAAGACTCCAGAACATCAAGGTACCCAACAACTTTCATGAATACAAGGAATTTGATTGGCCGATTTTTTTCTTCAAAATAGTTCAAATAAATTTTATGCATATTTCAAAACATAATTTTCAAATCTGTATAGCATATGGTTATTAACTATTGAGTTAAAAATTAAAAAAAAAAAAAAAAAAAGATTAACGTTTTATCACACATTGCAGGAGGAAAGATAGTGATGATGATTCTATCATTCAAGAAATACAACATCACCCTGTGATGACTGAATACCAGTTTAGGGCTGTGAACCAGCAACAAGAGGAGGAGGTGGATGACTCTGATCCTAGCTTTGGGCTTCCAACCATTACAGAGGATGATACATTTGTTCGAGAAATCTACCAACAAAGAAAGAAGCCCACTCCTTACAAAATAGTGCAGCGGTGTCTGACAGCAAGGCCAAATAGTGCTCCCACGTGGAAGAACTGTGCAAGTGAAAGCCATGTGTCTGTGCTGTGTACACCAAGAAGAAATGAGAAATCGTGGAAATTTTCTGCAATAAGTCCTAGGGAAGAAGAGACAGAAAATGTCCAAACATTCAAGAGCAAATCAGAGAGTCATCTACATGGAAAATCAGATGCCAGGTCTTTTTTCCATGATGATGATCAATTCAAGTTTAGTCCTAAGATTGAGGAGAAGATACAAAGACACTCCAGAAAGTTGTCTCAGTTGAGTGATTCTGACCTGTCAGAGACAACTCTCATCTCCTCCCAAATAGCTCTCAGTGAAAATCACCTCATTGGTGCACATTATGGTGATCATAAAGAAATACCCCTCTCTCTGGAAACTCCTCATAACTTTAACCCAAAGGAAAGAGTAACTGATAACTCTTTTGCAAAACCAGGATTTAAGGAGCCATTATCAAAAGTGCAATTCAGAAAGGATCTGAAGTTGACAGATTTGAATGATGACATTTTAGGACACATGGGGGATAGTGATACAACTAACTCAGGCCTTTCAGAACCTGAGAGACTGACACCATATGAAGCTTCTGTGATAAAAATGGACCAACAAGGTTTAGATGTAGAGGATCTGATTGAAAGTGACTCAGACAATGTATTTGCTAAGCCTCTAGTGTTAAACAAAATTCCGAAGTCAGAACATCGAGAAAAGGAGCTTAGGACTAAATCTCCAGAGAGAGTGATTAGTTCCCATGTTACAGTTAGCAGGGAATCATCAGCTTCAGTGCCAGAGTCTGAGAATACAGATCCTGCTTCTGGCTCCTCAGAGCTTTCTGCAGAATCGGACAACAATCAAGGAGATGGAAATGCAGCATCACCATCCGCAGAAGACATGTACGATCCCCAGGACCCAGACTATGCAACTGTTATGTGTTCTCCTGTTGATGGAATGAATCAACTCACCATATCAGGTGTGTGTTGTATATATTACAGGGTCTCATGACTTTCTATTTCTTTGGGGAAAAAATGCCAAACTCTGGTGGTTTTCTTTTGCATGTTCTTTTACAATGTTTATTTTAACTTGTCTCTTCTTTAGATCCTGTACAAGAAATGACGAAAGAAAAACCCGATACCTCCCATCATATCTATGCCAAAGTGAAACATGTTAACAGAAAAACAGATACATCTGACTCAGAACAAGAGAAGGGTAAATTTAGTAGCCCAGATGAAGAAATTAGACTCCATGGTAATGGAACTAACAATTCTGAGAGTTATGTAGTGGGACCGGGTACTAAGCTTAGTAGAAAAGTGTCACAGAGTACCCCAAATGTGGCAGAGACCTCTACTTACAACTCTAACCAGGAAGTTCCTCCATTACCGGACAGGAATTATGGGTAATTAATTATAACAATACCTTTTTTAAAGATAAGATCATGTATATATAAGGCAAATGTTACAAAATGTTTTGTTATTTTCAGAAAAGAATAGTCTCTATATTCTCTAAATAGACTGTAAAGATTGGTGCCGGTATGTCCTTGTCTTGTTTCTATATATACATTTTCAGCCAAAATATCTACAAGTCATAGGAAATGAAGATACAATAACGTATATAATACAAAAACTATATGAAATAAGTGTGTTTTGGAGAAATATTATGGTGAAAAATTATTTAGGTTCCTTTTATCAACATTTTACATAGGAAATGCATTGAGAATTGCAAAAACACTGATTTGACAAAATCTAAAAAAGAAGGCTGGCTTGGTAGGTTAAACAATCCAGAATATAGCCTGTTTAGTACAATTAAACCTATTTAAGAGTTCTTGAAAAATTCTATACAATAACCAGGAACCTTGCCAATGTCCTTAATTCTGTATATAGCGTTATTTTCACCCCATGTTATTTTCACTCTTTCATGCTTTCAGAAAATTTTGCCCTGTTTTAAATTCACCCTGACACAGTTGTGTTAAAGAGATAATGCTGTTTACTTTGAATTCGCAGCTTTTAAATTCGCCCACTTGTGATGAGGGTGAAAGGGGTGAAATTAAAACGGAAGCCAAAATTTCCCTGTATATAGTAGTCATCTATACATGGCTTGTTCGATTCATGTATTTTCAATTATTATAAATGCAATCATTTTTCACTAAAAATAAAATATCTTATGATAAATAATCACACACATAAAGGAAATTGGTATTGTAAGCTACAACTTCTTATATATTTTAATTTTCGTCTGATCAGACTGGATTTAAATTGCATACCATATTTTAGTGGGGTTTTTTTTAATTTATTATACAACATATTAATTTGCTGATAGAATTTGATATCCAATTGTAAGTATAAGTAGTATCATTTTATAAATATGTAGATTTTTTTTTTAGAAAGGAGTATTGATAGGCATATGATTTGCAACCAATTTTTTCTTTTATGTTACCTCCCTAAATTCAAAAATTATTATATAAAATAAGTACACATATTTTAATTTATTATAGCAAAAGTTAGTACTAAAATTAACTATATGATCATTAGTTTTGTTGATATATGTAGAACTTGAAGATTAATAGTAAAATGTGTAAAACTGTTCAGGAATCTTGATTATAAATCTTTCCTGTATCCTATTCTTAAGTGTTTGAATTATGTATTATATTACTTTAGTACAATGTTTTGTTTATTTTTTATGAAAAAAAAATTAAATGAAGGTTTTAGAGAAAAAATAATACCTGTAATGGAATACTTTGTATAATTGTAGAGTTCATTTTTTGATCACATGATTAAAGGGGACAGGTAACATTACATTTAGAACAGGAAAAATTTTCATTGGAAGATTTTTTTCATGAATAATTTCTAGGCATGCAAAAATCGATTACCTTATAAATTGCAGATAAACATAGGTACATGTATAAGCTATTGAAGTCTGTTATCTGCACATGTCTTTGCATAGACCATCAGCCATAATGTAGTGCACTGAAGTTTGATAGCAGTAATGATTAGCTGTATACAGTATTTAATCCTGTTCTGTCTCTAAAAGCCTGGAAAAAAATGATTGAATATTAAAAACTGGATATAAAGCTTATTAGAGTAAATATAGATATTTTTTAACAACCTTCAAAACAGGAGTACCACCAACTTGGCCAAGAGTAAGGAACTGAGTGGATCCAGGATTTCTCTGTCAAATAAGATGAGCAACCTTCGGGCAGCAGCAAAGAGCAAGTTCAAGACTCTGCGAAAGGCCGTAAGTCTGGATAAAGGGATCAATAAGACGCAGGGGGAGTTCCGGCCAGAGGACCTCTCAGCAGACATGCCTCCTCAGGGAAAACCCCCAAAAGCCAAGAAGGGGAGATCTCTCAAGAAATTATTTGGGAGGAAAAGTTCCAAACACAGATCCACAGAGATCTCTAATCATGGGTATGTGTTAATACTGTAATGATAAATGCAGGGTTTGGGAAACATAGAAGTTCTTTTAAATTTTACAAAACACACAGTTTTGAATAATTCATCATATGATTTTATGCCCACAGAACTCAATCTTGTTACAATAAAAATAATTAATATCATTCTAAATATGTATAGAAAGATGGCGTAGTCCCCCTCTAATACTTGTATTTTATGGATATATTTCCTTTCAGAAGCACAGAGACTTCAGATAAGGTGATGGTGACTGGACATTGTAGTTCAATAGAGTCCAGGAAATCAGAAGACGAGATCTCGATCAGTCAGCTGAGGGAAGTCCTTCCTGATGGGACACAGATCGTAGAACTGAACAGACGACACAAGGGACCAATCGGATTCTACATAGCAAGAGGGAGCACACAATTCAAACATGGTTAGTGTTATATTGAAAGAATAAGACACTTTTCAATTAAAAATTATAAAAATTAAAATTAAATTCCATGTAAACTTGAATCACAGACCAAACAACTGTATTTGCTTGCCTTGTTAGATTTTTTTTCAAAATTGGATTGAAAATGGTCATAATCTGCTCTGAAAGGGAAGAATGTCTGAGTTGTAATTTCTTAGTAATTTCTGTACTAAGGTAATATGGTTATTCACACTTCTAATTTAAATTAAAATTTTGAAGGAAATTAAGATTTGAGATGGTAAGTAAATCTGGTGTGACAGATTTTCTTGATGTACAGGTTCTTTTTGGTTGGTAATTTGGCATCTTTTTATTTTTTATTAACAGACTATTTATACACACTACACTTGTTCTGTATCATGTAATGTATTTCTAATCACATTATGGTATTGCAGTCTCACTTTTTTGGGTGATTCAGATTGTGTTTTTTATTTGAGACAAAAGATACAGTTTACCAACCGTTCATTGTCTCATGTACAATATATATTCTTTTCAACAGTATGGAGTGCCCTATGGCACTAGTTTTCATCAGATAAACTATTCTCTTACCATTGTGCTCTACACATATTAGAATGCAGTGATTAATGTATTCTCTTTATAGCTATCATAATGTATTCAAAGACATTAGTACATCAACTTGCTTGATTTTACTTTTAGTTATCAGATCCTAGCATTCCTGTGCTTTAGAATGGAAATGAAGATATTTTTAAAAATTCAGAAAATGGGAAATGGTATGACCCCCCCCCCCCCCCCCTTCTCCCACCAACATCCCTTTTTAATTGGATTGACCCTTTACTTTGAAAAATGCTGCTGTGGCTTCACATTCAAGAAAGCTGAGTAACTGTGAAATCTCTTCTTAACCCACAATTACTTTTTCACTTTTTTTTGTTGAAACAAGCCATAGATGAGTAGAGGCCCTGTAGAATATCCTCTATAGTTAAGAGTTTTTTCCCCTTAATTAGTGATATTCTTTTGAAATGGAAAATTGCTTTTGCCAAGCTTATAGAAGAAATGGGGACATTTACATGACCAGCAGAAATTACTGAATCAATTAATACATTATAACCTTTCATTATTCCTTTGAAGTTTCTTATAGAAATAAATATACATGTACATATAAACTATTTTTCATTCTTGAAATGATATTCTTGCTCTTTCTTCCTTAATGAGAAATCTAATAATAATTTAAAAAAATAAAACAAACAAACAAAAATGTTAGAATTTCTGCAAATTTTCTCCAAATAGTGTTTTAAAAACAAGACTTTAGTTTATACAAAGAATGAAATAATTTAAGTTTATCTTGTTTTTCTGTTGCTCTTTTACATTGTTTATTTTTAAACTGACAGGAATTGTTTATGTTTGAATTGACAGGAATCTTTGTGTCTCGATTCTCAGAAGAGGTAGATGCTGATGAACGATTTGCTGGACTGTTAAATGTAGGAGATGAGATATTAGAAGTAAATGGACACAATATCAGTGATGCGTCACTGGACGATGTGTACGACCTCATGGCTGACCAGTCTCTAGAGGTCAAGATTTTACCACTGTTGTCTCGTAAGGATATTCATGAACAGTCCACGTGCTGAATTTCTTGGGAGATGTTACATATTCATATTGAATTGCAATAATTAATCTACAGTTATTTGCATTTGCATGGTATAAAGATATCTATCAAAAAGGATTTTTTTTGCAATAGAAGTATGCAATTATTGTCCACTTCATTGCACTGTTTTACAATATTTACCATAAAGAAATGTATCCTCCCAATTATATTGTGTTACACAATTTACATAATATACTAATAGGAGTATACCAGAACTTAAATGAAAGGTGTGGTGGATCTTACATTTTTTTCAAACCATATTTATTTAACGAGTTAAATTTTGACATTTAATTGCCAGAAACCAATGATAAAGAAGCTATGTTCTATTGTGATGGAGATTATGTATTCACCTCTGTGTTATGAAAATGAAATGTTGATTTCAACTATTGTGTGTGATTAATTTAAAACCAGTTTTGTGACATTCTAAAACATATCATTTCCAAAACTGTAAATTTTTGTAATGTTTCATGAAGTTAACAAACAAGTCAATTTTAAATACAAATGTGATGAAATATTCTGTTAAACACTTGTTGAGTCTTCCGCTAAATGTTTGAACCACCTGTTCAAATTTTGATCATGCCAACTTTCATGTTGAATGTGTAAATGTTAAATGTTCTCTTTAATTAGAATTATTGTACTTTATATACAATTTTCAAGTGTAGAGTATTTTATACAAATGTTCAAGATTGATTCTCATTCAAGATCCCAAAAAGAAACTACTGGTAGATAACTTTAAAGATTTAAAAGTTATTGGATTCTGCATATTTTAGTTATTTTGAATTCATTTTTGGTGCACTACTTAATGCCCATAAATTAGTAACCACAGCAAACTATTTTATGACATTAAATACTGGTGCATACATAATTTTATATGTGCAACTTCACAACCCCATCATATTTTCATCCCAACTAAACAGAAAATTCATCAGTCAAAAAGTGTCAAGTTCCCAGTAAACTTAAATGACTTGTTGTAAGGAGATGGGTGAACATGATGAGCGATAAGCCTATAGTGTGACAAACATGAAGATGAAAAATTAAATTTCAAATCTCTACAATTTGCAAAAATCCCTCAAAGATTGAAATTATTTGCCTGTGAAATATTAGACACACACTAAAGCGGGCAAAAAGAGTCATTTTCTCATACTATAACACTATTTTTCGATATGAGTGGGTCTTCGCTCCACCTTTTTGAAAGATAATCCTCAAAGTTTGCATACAAATGTACATTTTTTGGTTACCAAAAATATGGAGCAATGACCCACTATACCTTAAAAATATACTTTTATGACATAACATTCGCATCTTTTCAAAAAATAGTTGAAGTCCATTAAGTCAAGGGTCATATCACAAACATGATTTAAATGCCACTATTCATCAGGACTTGTGTAGTCTAGTGGTTAGCGTGCTAGTCTCGAAAGAAAATGATACTCAGGATTTTTATTGCTAGGGTTCAAACCCCACGAATACCACATTAATTTTTTTAATAAAAGAATAAATTTTGCGGAGAAAATTTTCCTCAGAAAAGTTTTGTATATCACAATTTCATAAATTTCAATAATGAGAACTTTACTCTAAATATTAAATTCACAAACTGAACATGATTTTTGTATTTCTGAAGCTATAGGCTTTCTGCACGCTATGTTCGCCCGTCTCCTTTGTCTTAAACACAGTCAAGTTTTAATTCATTTATGGAATTTCATTAAAAGGTCCTCTTTTACCAAGGACATAAAAAAAAGCTTTTTTTGAAGTTGAAGACACTAAATATGTATGATTTCACCATAAATATTATCAAAGCTCCTCTTTATTTCCATGAACTCTCATCTTTAATTAAAGTCCCCACAATTAAAAGGCCTGGGGTTTATAAATTTTCTTAGACTTTAAAGTTGAAAAAAATAATCTAAAATAATACAGTAGATGTGAATTTGCATATTTTTCTATAGACACATTGTAAAAGGTACAGAATATGAGGCTGTAACCTCTACGCAGATTTAACAATCTTGCCATGTCTTTTGTGATTTTAACATTTGATATTACAGCATTATTTATTACATTGTATTTATTTTGGTACTTCATATTTATTGCATGTATTTTACATCTATATGTGTATTTATAATACAGAAAATGATATTAACAATGACTGTTTTGTCAATTTTCTTTATCTAGTGAAAGGTATTATTTCTAAACGTACAAAAATTCCACAAAATTTTCAATGTCTTTTTTAGGTTAATAGGGGTGTCAAGATTGAATTAATTATCCACCAAAACTTTGACACAGTGCCTTGGCTGCAACCAGGATTTGTTTTTAAGTGGCAAAAGGATGGAATTTTTTAATGGAATTAAATATCCACAATTTTTGTTTATAAGGAGTGGGTTCCATTGATCAATCTGTTAAAAAAATGAAAGGACAAAGAAAGATAACTTTTGATATCTTTGAAAAAGGGAGATAATTGTATTTAGTCAACAAAAGAGAGGTAAATTCTACCTTGCTTCAGAGAGATTTAGAGCTTAATCAGTTATATGAACACCATTAATGTAAAAAGTGATGTCTGCTTTGAAGTTGTAGAATATACACAGGTACATGTATTACTAAGCCATGTCAACATGTATGCCGTCTCTGAACTTCTTGATTTAACAATTCGGTAAAGATGAGTACATTCAAATGCTGGACAACAAACTCCGACACATCTTTTATATAAGAACTGGTCCACATGAGACTAATCTTCTGGAAGTCTATTTCTCGACTTTAGCAGACACATATGCATGTGATGATACTGATCAAGCCTTTACCAAAATTGTGCATGAACACAAACAGCAAGGCATTCAGCTCCAGGATGAGGCTTAGCCCAATATTTTGCAAATACATGAAACTGTTTTATTCCTGTCAGTGTTTAGGAGACACAATGTGTTCATGATTTATATAAAGAATAATGAGGTCAATACAAGATAACCCAGTCTGCTTGAAGTCCTTGTTCAGCTAGGACAAAGAATTGATAATGATTGGCAATGACTTTTGAATGTAATGTGCTTTTAATTAAATTGGTGAAATTCAATTGTAAAGGTCTAGGCTTTAACTAAGGTGACCATAAATTGAAAATAAATAACATTAATTTGTAAAGGTTCTCTTTTTTTATTTCTGGTCATGACATCATGAAAAGCTTCTGCAATCCATAAAATTAAAAAGTTATGGTCTCAATGAAAACTTTACTTTCTATCTTTGCATTTTGAATCTACAGCCCTCATAAAAAATACAATTTGAATGACAGGACACACTACTGGTTCTATATCAACCTTTAATTGTGCCAAGTGTGAGGAAACATCTCTTCATATAAGATATACATGTAGCCTTACCAACATTGGAACAGAGGGACACATGGACAGACAGATGAACACTGCAATTCCAATATACCCTCACCCCCCCCCCCCCCCCCCAATTTTTTTTTCTCATGGAGTAAAATTATATTGAGAGGGAACACTTGGTTTCATAGCACACAAACTTGAAAGAATAATGTCTTGTTAATCTACCAGATGCCAATATTTTAATTACATAATCTTCTGGAAAATATTGTTTAGGAGCCAATCATGACAAATTCCTCTATAGAAGAGGAAATTTTCCTGGGGATAAAATTCATTGATTTGTGATCAAATATGATTTTGTGGAAATTTTAATTTTCTTGTTTAAAAAAATAAATTTATAAAAATTTATTTCTGGGTAATGATATCAAATGAAGTACCGGTAAAGAAAATTTTTAAACTCTAATGAATATTTCTGGTTTTACAATATACAGGAAAGTTTAATTAAACCAAGATTAACATAGGCAAAGTATTCCAAACTACAATTTAATTGCTCATTCAGTGTTTTGGATAGATACATGTAAGTCAAGTAATTTACAGATCTGCACTCGAACATAATTATCTGGTAATGCAGATCATAAAATTTTTAAGAATTTTTGACAAACATATACATATTACCTTATAATTAGAGTACATGTGTATTTTGAGAACTAATAGAATAATTTAATGTATTTCATTAAAAATTGCCACTGATTTAGTCGATCTTGAAAGATGCCTTTCCAAGTAACTGCAGTCTGAGTACATGTACTATGAATATAGTTCACATTGATTCTGTTAGATACTTTATGGATTTCTGTTTACAATGTCAGATTTTGATATCCTTATTCACCTAATATGTTGCTTTTCATCAGGTCTGAGATTTTTCAAAATTTTCAAACAGTTTAGCCACCTCCATTGCTGTCTGAATCAGATTAACAGACATCATGTTCACTATGACCACCACTACCACTCCTTTTGGTGGATGATCCACCATTTTGGTGGATGTGGGCAGAATCAAAAGAACACTGCTTCCACCAACAGCAGCACCTGTGTGAGAGGCACAAAATCTTGTCTGCTTTCCCTGTCCATATTTCTGACCCTCTTCATCAACAAACCATCCCATGCCATAGAATGCATCTTTTTCTTTACTTGCTTTAAACAAAGGTGTCCAAATTGATTTCATAGTCTCTTGCTTCAGAAAACCTTGTTTTAGAGAATCACTAAGACTAGTGTTTGAGGAATTGTTGTTTTTGTTTGTGGAATTACTTGGACACTGGTAGCTGTACAACATGGCGTTTCCAAACTTCAGAAGATCAGGGATGTTGGACAATAGACCTCCTCCTGCCCACTTATATGACAAGTCTACGTACGGAGCATTACGCAGCTGACTTTTATTGTTCATGACATAATGCCTGTAATAGAAATATATTGCATGTCATTAAATGACAATAACTGCAATTCAAGATGGGACAAAAATGGATAAATTTAAGAAAATTTGAAAATGTTCATGACATAAGCGTGAATGTATAACTTTGCAAAAGTTTCTTTTGATTTAAACATCCTATACCAAACAATATCCAAAGGAATATTACATGCTTTGAAGTTTCATATTTGCTAAATAAACCATTATGTGTTGCCTTGTGATTTCTAATTAATTCTATAAAGGTAACCAAAAAAACCTGTTACCTTCCACGGTTATAAATAAGAGGAGAATGCTCATCTAGAAATGTGTTTTCCATGCCAAGTTCCCTCACCATTTTGATAATATGTTTCTCAAATGGTTCTTTGGTTACAGCTTCTAGAACAGCACTGATCAAAGTCCACCCATGTGTTGTGTACAAAAACTTACTTCCTGTAAAACATAGTAAAACCCATAAAACAAATTCTGTACTACAACTTCTCAATGAAAAAATCATAATTAGATAACATGGTGCTGATCATTTATGGGAAAAATTAACAGGTTGTAAATGTGTGTTTGAGGGAAGGGGCAGAAAAAGGGTGGAGTTTGTCAGTGGGTACTTCCTCTCCCAAAAAAAATCCATCAAAATGATTAACAAGTATGAAAAGTACACTGAAAAACATACCTTGCAATTTGTCGCTTTGTTATTTGGATATATACCCTCTGGAGAAAAAAATTCTTGAATAGGACCCCCAACCCTACCCAAATCTAGTCAATTGACACAAACCTGCAGTATCTGTAATACTTCAGACTCCCTCCCTGTGACAGTATTACTTACCTAGACTGTGGTCCACCAGATCATCCTAAAATGAGGTCAGACATACCTAGACTGTGATCAAGTGGGTATCCTGAACAAGATCTGACTTACCAAGACTGTGGACCAGTGGGTCATCATGAAATAAGGTCAAACTTATTAGGACACTGGATCAGTGGGTCATCTTGAAATAAGGTCAGACATACCTGAACTGTGGACCAGTGGGTCATCCTGAAATAAAGTCAGACCTTCCTTGACTGTGGGTCAGTGGCTCATCCTAAAATAAGATCAGACTTACGGGGAGTGTGGACCAGTGGGTCATCCTGAAATAAGGTCAAACATACCTGGACTGTGGACCAGTGGGTCATCCTGAAACAAGGTCAAACTCTCTGCCACACTTTTGTACTTTCTGGTGATATAATATTCCTCTAGCTCCATTTCACTCTGTTGTGACTCTTGCTTGTTGTTACTACTTTTACCCTGTTCCTTTGGATTCTTTTTTTCATTCTTCTCATCTGTTCAATTTAATAAAATATTATGAACAGATAAAGAATTTGTCCATGTATAAAGAAATATTATACATGTATTTCTGTTATTCACTGACATTGAGAATAATGAAACTTACTTAGATTTGCCTTTTCTTCTTTTTCCTAGAGTAAATTGATATAAATTATATAAATTAATGAATAAATGAGCAACCTGCATGTACTAGGATGTAAATCACAAAATCAAAAACATTTTGTCCCTCGTGCCTAAATATATAATGTTCTATCACAGGTCTGAGTTTTTTCGGTTTTACTGGTGCGAGTTAGTTTTCGGTTTTACTCCAACTTGAGTTCCTTGAATATTTTTACAATGTATTAATGAATGAGAGTTGGAGAAAAACAAGCAACTAATGAGCAAATAAATGAAAGCCTTTGCAGAACTTTTAAGAATTAAAGTATGTGTACATTATTACTTTGCAGATCAAGACAACTTATCGCATCTGCTGAGATCATGGCAACTAATTAAATTAGGGGTTGAAATATATGGTACCCGACGCCCGGGCTAGTCATTTTAAGACTCGGGCTAGCTAATTTAAATGTAATGATAAGCCATCGGACTAGCAGAATGGAAAAAAAAATTTCGTCAGTTTACTTTTGCTTATCTATGTAGACTGGTTTCTTTTGAATAAGAACTACATTGTAGTTTAATTTGTTTCTGACACCACAGCGCATTTAAAACTTTAATTTAACTTGTTATGTTTTCATTTTGCATAAAATTTTTTTGGGGCTAGTTAGTTAGAGGTTTGGGCTAGTAAATTTTTACTGATCAGTAGACCCTGGGCTAGTGGGTTTTCCAGGAAAATTTCAACCATTGTAAATGCACTCTAGAGTTACTCTAACAGCATCTATGAGCATACTGACCTCTTTTTTCTTGATGTAGTCTTTACGGTAGTGACGAATTCCTCCCATCTGCGACACCAGCTGGCGTGTTGTTAACTGGACCTACCAAATATAAGAAAAGGAGGTCCATTCATTCACTTTGCTCTTATTGAGAATAAATTTCCCAATAAAATGTGCACCTCTCTTACCCATCAAAGGTCATTACAGTCAAACCTTGATATCTTGAACTCAATTGGACCAAGAAAAAAATCAGAGATATCTGAGGGTTTGAGATATTGAGGGTTAAATACTTAAAGAAAAAGTGCTTGGGACTTTTAAATCACTTCAAAATATCCATGGTATTTGAGATATCTGTGTTCGAGATACCGAGTCTCAACAGACTCCTCACATGTAAAGATGATTTGGAAATGTGTAAATTTAGTCAGTGAGATTCCACAGAGTGATAATACATAATCATTAAAAATTTTTGCAAATGAAATTAAATCATTTTAAAAAGGCTTTTCAACACCTTTTTAATAGGAAAGGAGAAAATGCATGACTAGGTCGTGAATCGAACCCAAAATCCCTTCATCTCTAGTCAGGTGCTATACAAAATGAGTTACCTATGCCCGTATCTATGACCCAAACCAATACATTCCTCCCTCTTTAAATTGTCTTCACCCTTGAAAACACAATCCAAGTTCTTATTTGCCCCTGGCAGGACTTTCACCAGCAAGTCCAGGGGTGGTCAACAGCACCAAATTATTTAAGAGGAAAGGAGAAAATGTATAAGTGGACCAGGAATCGAACCTGGAACCCCTGCATCTCTAGTCAGGTGCTCTACCAACTGAGCTACCCAGGAGGATGTCCAAGACCCAAACCATTACATACTAATGTATTTCATGTTGTTAGTATCCAATGGAATGTACAAATTTGGAGTTCCTGACTCCTTAATGAATAAAATGCTCTTGGGTCATTATACTCACCCGAGTCACATTGCTCGGTTTCCGTGAAATAAACATGTACTAATAACCCTAACTAAGCTGAAGGTCACATATATATATTCTTTAGAAAATCTAATGTATCTACTGCAACGGTATACTTGCAGATCAATATGACTTGACTTCATCCTTACTGTTCTGTACAAAAGCACTCTAACTTGTAGAAATTTACCGGTACTCTACGTTTATCAGTAAAACTTCGAACATCATTCTGACCCTAACATTATAACTCTCTCAAGTTTGAATCTACACTACTGTAATTAAATGAAGAATGAGTGCCCTTTTCACTGTTATGTATTCTGCAAAGTTTACATACTGTTACATCATTGACTTTCTTCTCTGGGAATGAAGGCACATAGTACTGCACAGATTTGTCAAGGTCTAGTTTTCCTATTTCCCACTGCTTAGCAACAGCTGCCATGGTGATAGGTTTACTGATGCTGGCTATTCTAAGAACAGTCTCTGGCCTCATTCTTGTTCTGTTTTCCACATCAGCATACCCCAATCCTGCAGAGAAAAAGTTTGTTATTGGGAGTCAGCTACCTCGTTTTGAATTTGAAATACACATACACATACCTGGCACAAGTGAAATATGTATGTGCTGAAAATAATGTCTGCACAGAAGGCAATCTCCGAACACAGTACATAGCAAACCATATTTAAAAATCAAAGTATTACAAGGGTGTAAAGAATTTGCATTTGTTTTCACACATCTCAAAACTGATCAAGTATCATCAATTTTTTAATAAAATATCATTTCCTTAATAGCAGGCCTCTAAGTGGCCTCTAAAATTTAGGCACCAGCTGGCACCTTATCAATAAAATTTAGTCACCAGTGCAAATTTTTAGTCGCCAGGAAATTTTTCTACGGTGCCAACTTTAAAAGTTAACGGAATATAGAGACCATTGACATGTCTAAGAAAACACGAAATGTCCATTGCTAAAAATAATTTCCTCTTCTTTTAAATTTCTTTTCACTTTTTCAGAAAAATTGTTAAAAATGTGAAAATTTCCAGAATTCAACGATCGTTAAGTCAATTTAAAATGGTCGCCAATTTGGCGACTTATGGAAAAATTTTAGGCGCCATGGCAACTAAATTAGTTGTCAATTAGAGTCCTGAAGAGTCAAAAAGAAATTACAATCATGTACTTGTAAATGTGAAGACATTTGAAAAACTGATCAACAGCAGCATTTAGAATAAGAGCTGAATTTCATAATATGGTAATGTAAGAGTGGTCCATGTTTAACTGATGCTGACACTGACCTTCTGTCCATACTGTTTGACCATCCACACTGACCCCAACAACCAGACCTGGACTTCCACACTCATCCTGCAGACATAATTAAAAAAAAAACTGTGTCATTCTGAAATCTACATGCAGCTTGTTTTATTTCCATTTTATTTTTGCTAGATGTACAGCTGAAGAGATACCAATCAGTGTACATTGCATACAGAGTGACAAAATGCAGTAAATGATTCAAGACTATTTTATTATGTGTATATAGATCTGTTGATGACATTTTGGTCATATAATATAAATTCTAATTACTTTCTTAATAAATATATTTGAAATGACATTTTGGCCATAATATATTTAGTTTCTTACTATTGTACTTAGTAGAATTAGATTAAGTGCACATAAACTTGCAATAGAAAGTGGTAGATATATATCCACACGAAGAAAGGAAAGATGTTGTAATGCTTGCAATACTGGTGTGATTGAGGATGAAATTCATTTTCTTTTTCACTGTAAATCTTATTCTGAGCTAAGAAACACATACCTTAGAAATGTTTGTAATATAACAAAGAAAAATATTAATCTGGACAATGAAAGATACATGTTACAATTATATGTAAACAGTGATACACTAAAATCTTAAAAGTTACTGTGAAATTTATAAGAGACTGTTTTGAACATAGAAGTCAATTACTTAATACTGCATAAATTTTGTAAACATTATCTAATGATGTTCAATGGGCCTTTGCCAATTATTGTAATTGTGTTTGTGCCAATAAATACATGTATTTGTATTTGTATAATATGATTAGTTTCTTTCATTTGTAAATCTAAGGATTATTGTATTTTAAAACCATCTGCAGTGTACTGTGTTTTTAAAAAACAAAACATACAAGTGTTATTAATGTGTATCACTTACCTTAATTTGTTGAACAATATCCCGTGCTTTTTCAATAATTTCCTCCTGTGATAGCTGCCTTGGTTTAACTGACACCCCTGTGTCTATATCCTCTTTCTGGGTAGAAGTCTTGCACTCAGCAATAAAACCATTTACATTGTAGATATACACGACACCAACACTTATTCCTGCTACTGCAATATAACGACTCAAAACATTAAAATAAGCATACAATACAAGAAATTATATGTTTAGTTCTAGGAAAACAAATGCATTACATGTATGTTTACTGAATTGTTGTATCTGTATGTTAGTTTTCTTATTGCATACATTTTTTTGCCTACTATAACTTCAGTGTACTTTTCTTGTTGCATACAGCATATATCTGTATCTTTTTTTTTTTTAATATGAAAAGGCATAATGGGGGGGGGGGGGGGTGCATTTGAGTAACATAATTAATCAAGCTATTTTCACTAAATAGCTTATATTATACCAGAGGCATAAACAATAATAAATAACATTCTATCATTGTCTCTGGTTATATAGATACCTGTATACATGGTAAACTACATGTAAATGATTAGACTAAATGTTTAAGAGTACAACAATTTGTAGGATAAATATGCTGAAATACCAATGCCTAAAGTAACTGCTGTTTTATTGTTTGAATCTATCCATCCTCTCCCATCGTTATGAAATGACCGAGTCCCTCTCGAGATCGGGATCGAACACTGTCTTCTTCCGGAAAGACCTCTCACCTTTTTTGCATTCCGACAAATATGTTTTACTACATGCATTTTAAATACTTATGGCTCAGTTTTAATATCCTTTTACAAAAAGTGTTGCCCTCTACATCACAATTGCAGAACTTGCTAAAGCTGTCATTCAACCGAATCAACGACTAGACTACTTGCCAGCTGATCTCCATCTCCAGGGAAGAAAGACCGATCCCGATGTATTTGATCCTTTTTTTCCTAGGCACAGAAGAAAAAATCACACATGTGAAAATGTAAATTATAAGCACTTTTGAGGAGATTCTGTCAAAATACAGCTTTCACATTGCATATTTTTATTTTACTATTTTTTATTGTTGTTATTTTATATTTCTAAAGGGGATAATATGCACGACCATTTCCCGATTTATGACGTCATACCGCGTTCAGCGTATTTTTTTTTTTATCAACACATAATGACAGAGTATATGCAGGTGCAGACATTTTACATATTGCAAATGAACAGGAAGATTAACTAAAGGTAAGCAAAATGAATAATATTCACCTACGTTTCTTTTTTAAACTTATTTCATGCGTTGCTATTACAGATGACGTCATGCTAGGTAACTGCTAAGGAGCTTTGCGTTGTAGTTACCGTTGTTAGTTACTTACTTCGATCGATAGCGAGTAGACGTGTTTTTCTCACAGCAACAAAAATCGCAAATATTGCAATGAAAAGACAAAGATCTTCAGAGAGAAAAAGCAGAAATGTGTCTAAGAGGGTAACGCATCAAGAAATTAAATTTTACTGTTCAAAACTTGTTTTTATTGTAAAACACAACACAGCTTACAATTAGGGGGGGGGGGGGCTGACTGATTTATCTGTACATATTTTTACACATTTTATGCAGCAGTCACTGGCTATCCGATGTACAGTAAAGAACGCCCATTTAAAATGCGACCATGCATATTTCATTTTAAAGGCATATTAGTAAATACATGTAAGCAGGAGTTAGGAAGGAACGGGGGGGGGGGGGTAAAGCAGTAATTTCTTATTAATATGTAAACAGACTGTTTAGACATTTTAAAAGAGATGACAAGTTAAGTGCAGTGTACAAATGATTTGGAATTGTATGTTAAGATATTAGCTTGCATTTCTATCATTACCAGTTTTCCAACACTTTAAACGTGTCATGATATGGGGAAAAAATCCACTGGTAAAAGGGAGTGGGGGCGGGGGTTGTAGCTGGGTTTATCCTTTTTAATAAATATATAATATTTTTTACTAGTGACTGAGAGCCAGCATGCAAATACATATTGTATTATATTAGGGCCAACATAATCATACATTAAGTAGATATGGATTTGTCAAACTTCTTATTGAATTTTTTGATGGAAATGATAATTAGACAGATACGTTAAATAACAAGTATAACCATTTCTAGAAGCGATTTTCTTCTTTGAATAAATGTTACAAGAGCCTCTTATCTGATTTAGCGCCGTCTAGAGCCCTCATCAGATGACAAGCAGTGGTACGAGGTGATGCTAAGTCTGGCGGCTAAATCTGCTGTAAGTCTGTCTGTCTGTCCGTCTTCTCTCTCTCTCTCTCTCTCTCCAAATCTTCAGTCGTAACCTTTGTCATTTCTCTCCAGTGCAAGCCAGTGTCCTTTCTGACATATTTCATTTTGTCAAATAAAATCTGCAACATGACTATTTTGTTATGATTAAAGATAAAATTTCACTTTGAATTTTAGTCAATTAATATTTCAATTTGGGTTAAGATTAATGTATGTGGATATTTTAACATAACATTTTGGGTATTCTCGTTTTATAGGAATTATATAGTAAAGTCTTTATTTTATTTCCTGTTACAATTTCAGATATATGTATAGAAATTTGGTAATAGTATTTTATTTGATGAAAAAGAAGGAATGTCTTTGAAGAAAAAAATAAGTACAGGTAATTGTCTAAAATAAATAATATGTGTTACTCAGAAGATTTGGCATGAGGGATTAGTAAACTGTTTAAGCCTTTAGCCATACAATTATGTAATTTTGCTGGAAAAAGAGAACAGCAGTAATTTGTAGATAGGTGATGTGTTTTTTTTGTATATTTATTTATGGGTTCTTTTATCTTTTTTATCTAGTGTCAAAAACACTATCAAACGAAGTAGAATCCATTAACCTATTGTTAGGGGATTAACTTGTTAAGTGGCAGGTCAAATACTCAGGTAATGGTCAGTTCATGTCATGTGATTTTTCAAAATACGATATTTTGGCTATTATTGATACAAATTAACAAAGAAAAACTAATTTGATTGGACAAAATGATTCACGGCAAGCGTGGGTCTCCGAATGGAATTGTGCCCGCAACTCGGCCATTCTATTCGGAGACGTGAATAAAGTAACATCGTTTTTAATTTGATCCACGCTTTGCTTTTCCTTATTACAGGTATGGTAAAAATGTTTTATTTGGTTAAGTTATTTTTCTAGAACTTATAAAGAAAAGATTAATTAATTATTTATTAACATTTGCAATTAATTTCTGGAGTTTACAAAAATTTGAGCTTTAGTTTACAAAATTTGAGCTTTCATTAAAATAGAAATCTATTATAAAAGTATTATATTGAGATCAGGGCATTTATATTTGATGTGTGTTCTTATGATTTTTCTTGTATTTTGGTAGCTGTAGTCCTATGTAGAGTGTAGTTTTATAGTTAGACACGTTTTACTTTTTATCGGTTTTATACCGGAAATATAATGCCTTTCTTTGTTTGGCTCTATTATTATTATCAAACTCTCCAGTCGAGGGAGGTAAATTTAAATGTATCCAGTGTAAACAAAAGTACGAGCTTTAGTATTTCAGTTGGAAATTACATTGTCTAGATTTTTTATTATATAGAGTGAGTCTTTTAATATTGTTTAATCACTCTATGAGTCACCAGATGTTAGGTAGGTTAAGGCACACTTGTTTGTAATGCTACGAGCAACTCATAATGATTTATTTTATTGTGCCTGGTGACTTTTTGTTGTGCATTCTATTCGGAGACGTGAATAAAGTAACATCGTTTTTAATTTGATCCACGCTTTGCTTTTCCTTATTACAGTGCACCCAAACCTAATCTGGACCTGGTGGCTGAAAAGCAGAATCATTATAAATAAGGGTCTCTCACAAGCGAGCGAGCTAGACAAATTCCCAAGATAAGTGCGGTCACCCAATAGGGCGACACGACAACTGGTGGGGTATCCGAAACCCGGATGAACCATATTGTGGAGTTGAAAGAAAATACAGCCTTTCACCGATATAACTTAAGAAAGTACAGCAAAATGCCTGCTCCATCTAATGCTTCAGCACCGGAAAACTCCGACACCATCGAGGAAGATTACAACCAGGAAGAAGTGAGTTCGTTACAGAGAGAGTTACGAAGTCAACAAGAGGAGATACAACGTCTCCAAGACCGCAGAAACCGAGAGTTAGACGAAAAAGAAGAAGAAATCGAATCCCTAAGGAGACAGTTGAGGGAAGTGTCAACCAGACAACCCCCAATCCCACTCACTTTTGATCCACCCTCTTCTTTAACCAACAGGAATTATCCAACCAACTCTCAGGGAAGCTCATCTTTTCCCAAAGTTAGACTTGAAAAATTCAATGGGAAGGTGTCTGTGGTACAATGGTGGTACAAGTTCATAACCTTTATTAACCTCCAAAAGCTCACAGAGGAAGTCGCCATCAACACCCTCCCTTTTTATCTGGAAGGGGCTGCCGAAAGCTGGTTCTACGCTTTGGACCGCACGGTAAAATCGTCACTAGAGTCTATTCGCAGGGCCTTACATAATCGATTCCAGCCGTCCTCAAGACATAATTTACAACTGATGGATGTTAAACAAAAGGACCAAGAAAGTGTAGAGGACTTTATACACCGAGTGACTAGTATGACCAATGACCGAAGTGTAGACCAGGACTGGCTAATTACAGTCATAATTAATGGACTGAAGCCAGACATAAGTGCGGATGTGGTAAAGGATGACCCTCATTCTTTAGAACAACTGAGGAACTGTGCATGCCGAGCCGAACTTGCCAACAAAATCAGACAGAAAACCTCATCAGTGCAGGACTCAACCAATTTAGCCTTGCTGAATGCTCTACAGGAAGTGAGGACTGACATAAACGCCATACAGGAGTCAGTGAACGATGCCCAATTTTCTCAGCAGGCCCCACCGAGAGAGTCCCAGCCATGGAGGAATAATGGTGGACCCCGTAGGCCTTACCAACAAGGAAATGGTGGAAACCGCTTTCAACAGGGAAATGGTGGAAACCGCTTTCAACAGGGAAATGGTGGCTATCAGCATTCCCAACGGCAGGCTAGACAGGAGACACAATATCAGGGACCCAGATCCAGACATCCTCAGAATAGGCCAAGCAATGGGAGAGGTTCCTGTCACAACTGTTCTGGTGAGTTATGCGATTCTTTCAATTGCAATGCTAAAAAGGTTAATATGTCAAGCTGTTATTTTTGTGGTAAATTGGGTCATTTTAAGAAAACTTGCTCTTCTTACGCACAGCACTTACAGCAACGTTCACGCACAGTAACACACTCAAAATACCACAAGCACACTTCCTCGTTTCAAAACAGTAAACAATAGGGGTGCGCGCCTGTCTTTAGAAAACATTCTAGAGATGGGCACCATGACAACCAGCCACAAGTCAATCTAGTGGCACACATGACAAAGAACACAATTCCACTGCAAGTCGGTGGAAGAAAAACTAGTGCTTTAGTGGATTCTGGTGCTTCTGTTACAATTATGAATTTAGAGTTCTTTAGAAAGACTATTTATGCTCATGATAGGTTGACATCACCTGATTTCCGATCAGTTAAGGGTGCTAGTGGCAAATTGTTACCTGTGGCAGGTAAGTTAGAGATGAAGTTAGATATCAATGGTCAGGATTATAACTTCTCAGTTCATGTGGTAGATGGTTTACACCATGCTTTCATTTTAGGAGTAGATTTCTTGTGTGCAAACAACACAACTCTTAGGTTTTCTGAGACCAATACACTACACATTCCAGATCACAATGGTGATACAAATGTTTGTTCAATTTCGATCAACAATGGGTATGCCCGTGTAAAATGTGCTATGAAAATTCCCCAAAGGTGTGAAATTAATGTCCCTGTACATATTTCAAGACAAAAATTAGGTGAGCAAGTACTGTTAGAACCTCATGAAGAGTTGCAATCTTTACAATTATCTGGTGCTAAATGCTTGGTAAGTATCAGAGATGATGTGGTTATGAGGTTGATTAATCCTACATTTGAGGATGTGTACTTACCAAAGAATTTTGTAGTAGCTAATGTGTGTGAGGTGCAAACTCGAGAAGTGTATGCCTTAGAAAATGAGACAATGAGTATCAGTGCGTTGAATCCAGACAATTCCAAAGGTCAAAAACCAAGTGAAATTGCATTTGATTTAGAGAATTCCGATTTAGATCCAAATCAAAAAGAGGTTTTACTGAAATTTTTAGCAAAACATCGAAGTAACTTTGCTGTTGACCTCAGTGAACTGGGAAGGACAAGTGCTTACAAACATAAAATTGAAATAAAACCAAATTCAAAGCCTGTTCGCCAACAGTTTTACAGAACATCATCTCAAGCTTCAAAAGAAATTCAAAAACAAATTTCAGAAATGTTAAATCATGGTATTATACAACCATCAAATTCAGAATGGCATTCGCCAGTGGTTTTAGTAAAGAAAAAGAATGGTCAATTTCGGTTTGCTTGTGATTATCGTGCTTTAAACAAAATTACAGTACCCATGTCCTTCCCACTTCCCCATTTGGAAAGTGTTTTTGATGCTATAGGTGAGGCACGAGCAAACTATTTTACTAATTTAGATCTCATGTCTGGATTCTGGCAAATGGAACTGGATGAGGAAAGTAGAGAGAAAGCAGCTTTCATAACAAGAGAAGGAGTGTATGAGTGGAAACGTATGCCATTTGGCCTTACTAATTCCCCCATTTCATTTCAAACACTTATGTCAAATGTGCTGAGAGGGTTAAATTGGAAATCGGTACTTGTCTACGTGGATGATATTTTAATCTTTTCGCGATCCTTTGATGAACATCTGCAACACTTAGAACAAGTGTTTGATCGTCTGAGAGAGGCAAATTTGAAACTGCAGCCATCAAAATGTCACTTTGCCGTCAAAGAAGTTAAGTTCTTAGGGCCCATTATATCACGTAAGGGAGTACAAGTAGACCCTGACAAGACCCGTGCGGTCAGTGAGTTTCCCATTCCCAAGACACAGAAACAGGTACGTAGCTTTCTGGGTATGGCAAACTATTATCGGAAATTTATCCAAGATTTTGCTAAAATTGCTACCCCACTTAATGCCTTGTTATGTAAAGAGAGAAAATTTCAATGGTCTGAATCTTGCCAAAATGCCTTTGATACCCTCAAAGACAAGTTATTATCTGCCCCAATTTTGTCATACCCAGACACATCTAGATCTTTCATACTGACATGTGACGCCTCTGACAATGCCATTGGGTATGTGTTGGGCCAAGTAGATGAT